CCGTTACATATATGTGATACTACCTGTAAATGCACCAAATTCTACAATACTCTAAGTAGTTCTGCTACTGTCGGAGATATGCGTTATATAGAGTGCTCATGTGATGATGTACTGAAGAGACCTAGACCAGTACGTGATACTACCTTATACTGTTCTAATCATCGGTTCCGTAGTAGTACAATATGAAACATTAAGTATTAAAACCGTAATGAACAGGGTATGTAAATAGCTATACCAGAATCTGTGATTTTCCAATGTTGGAAAACGAAACAGCTCCGGCAGCGTGACGGTCTTTAGAGGTCGATCTAATTGGTCACCCCCCCCCGTAAGCTTGTTATAAAAAGATACCGCCTCGAAACACAATTTTGAGGACATAAATGCGTGCTAGCCTACACGAGCATTGCTACTCAATGAATCTAAAACTTGTGATAACCAAAATAATGGCTACTCCGCAAAAAAATACACTTGGCTTGCTAAAATTCATAATCTCCAATCAACTTAAAGAACCGTCAATATTGAGTCACAGTATACGAATTAGCGCTTTAAGAGTATCGCCTTTTAGTAAACATATTGGCTGTCTGAGACGTCGGAAGGTTGAATGTCACCACAATAAAGTGCAGCAAAGCGTTGGACGGTGTGGCCTAATGGATAAGGCGTCGGTCTTCGGAACCGAAGATTGCGGGTTCGAGTCCCGTCGCCGTTACTTATGGTAAGGAGATACGATGAGCGAAGCTACGTGTATTATAGCGTCTTAGCCGTTTAGCAAGTGTTAAACCTTATACGGCAATCACATCATTGTGAAACAACGTTAGCAGTTCAATAGGCATACCCATTCCCATCAAGACGCAGCAAACGAGGACCCGAGCAACGTGGCAATGGATTTCACTTATTATAAGTTTACAGTCGCGATAAAGCGTTCTTGCGCGACAAGCATCAGAATATTCGAACTCGGCTTACCGACCTATACGTGTTACCTACGCTCCGTAAGCAATACAAGTAGAAATCATGCCGCAATAAAAACATGTTTTCAACACAACAATAGTGACATTGCTACTGGAATATCTTTATAACAAGCTGTAGAGAGGCGTCACCCAATTTTGTTGTGTGTAATGGATGCATCCTAGGACAAAGTTAATTGGCCCGGTGTAAAAGACAATTTTGCAATTACTTATAAAACATGTCACCTAATATATGTAAATGTGATATGTAATGCCACCTTTCTTTTATAAAGCACCACTTGCAATCCCTCGCAAGGTACCTAAGGGTCGCATTATTCCGTTATGTTCGCCAGACATAAGGATCGGAAAGTGTCTCATTACATTAACGCCTAAAAGAATCAAAGCGGAATCCTTGGATAAACTGCGTTTTTCGCTGAAGCGTATTTTGAGCAAACAGAAGGAGAGAAATGTGGATGTACACGCTACCTACGCCGTAACAAAAAATCCAGAAGGCGTCAAAATGGGCCAAGGCAAAGGAAGGATACACCATTACGTTGCACGAGTCCCAGCAGGATATCCCGTTGTTCACCTTCCGCAGCTTAAGCCATTGAATGGAAGTAAACATCCCTTGTTTTGGGGATTTGCAAGAGCGGTTGGGAACCTACCGTTACGTTGCCGTTTCAGATCTCAACAAAATGAATTTGAGATTGATAAACTGTTTGTAAAAACAAAACAAAGATTGGGTGACGATGTTCATAATCAGCGAAAACTGCTGAAGAGTAGATTCCAACATTGTTAAAGTACATTCCAATCCTATTTCTAATTAGTTAACGTTTGAAGGCGTGTAAGTGCGCCGATGTAATATTCAGGTTTAGAAGATGCGTAGGGGTGTAGGTGCGTCTAGGATATTGAACGCCAAAAATGAACAAGAAAAATGGGAGGCCTTCTCTGATTCTTTTACGCGTGAAAAACTCGAGACGTACAAGCGAATTATAGAAGACTTCAAGGTAGATCTGTACGCGTTTATAGCAAAATACAAAGAAGTAATTAACGCTGATCCGTCGTTTCGTATAGAGTTCTTAGAGATATGCGACCTGTTGGGTGTAGACCCGCTTTCCTCTTCGTCCTCCGCGCTTTCTAGAACACTTGGTCTGACAAATTACTACGTCGAAATTACGGTGCGCTTATTGGAAGTGTGTATCCAAACGAGGGCGTTGAATGGTGGGTTCTGTGAGATGGACGAACTGCTTGCGGCGTTCCCCCCCAACTTAAACGTAACTAAACGTGATATCATTAGATGTATAGAACAATGCCCCATTTTTGGAAAAAACAGCATCAGGATCCTATGTGTCCGGGACAAGACCCTAATTGTCACTGCGCCGATGTTGTTAGGTGCTGAGCATCGGGAATGCTTAGATTTCGTGGCTACTGTCAAAGGCGGCATATCCATGGTTAACCTTTCGGTTAATTTGGGTTGGACAGAGCAGAGAACACAGTCTATACTCAACCAGTTTATAGAACGACAAATTGTGTGGGTCGACCAGACAGATGACGAGATGTACTACTGGTTCCCATGCCTTTCTAAAGTTTATAGCTATCAAATTTAGCAGCTCAACGCCAACTTTGCCTAATGATTAACCATATCATAGTCGGTTTGTTTTCATGTGCTTGTGCATGGGATGCCGAACTTCCATATCCCGTCATTGAGATAGTGTAGATTCTCAATGCACATGTCCTTGTTTTTCTCACGTCTGATGGTTGTATTTTCATGGTGGAAAAACTAACATTTCCGCTGTGGACATCGTTGTGACGCCGACGGCACATGCGTGTTCTCTTCCATCTACGACAATTTGCTGTATACGAGCTGGTAAGTTGAATGACATGAAACCAACGACAACCTCGCCCCTGTCGACATCGTCCATGTATCCTCCTTCTGATGTCAGTCCAGGGCACATCACATTTGATCCTCGTAGGATGAATTTTAGAGCTCCCTTATCAATTTGCATCTTGGGCATCATATGCGGATCTGACGCTAATATTTTAATGCACACGGCTGTCATACATTTATGAACCAAACGCAGGGACGGAACCCACGGCCCGTCGCGTTTCTGGAAAAAGGCGATTTCTCCCCCTACTAGCAGTAGCGTTAGGTGATCCTGACTGCATCACTATACAACATAATACAAGTGTCTAACCATTTAGCCAAAATTATATTCCCCTTTTTTGGCATAACTGCATCGATTGTACCTCTAAAACCGGGGAATTGACTGGCAATCTACAGCAAATCATAGATTTAACGTCACACATTGCCACAAACCGCCAATTTTATGCCCCTCTGTATTGACGATTTAATGAGGTTTTGCGATACAATGTCTTCCGTGCTAAATTTACGCGCCATTTTACAGTGTGAGATTGTCTACATCTTTGTTGACGATGGCGTGCTGGGGGATGTCCTGCAGATTTTTGACATACGTCTTGCCTTTGTTACCTTCAGAATGTTTATGTATTCGACAGAGTCTTTTTTAACAAAAAGTTTTTGGGAGAGTAATCTCGAAAATTGCGACTGCAGCGTTGTATGACTCGTAAAGCGCGACTCACCAAATTGTTGAACTGCACGGATAAGGACACAAGCAAATCTTCGAAATCATTGATTCCCACGTTTATCTGTTAGTGATATAAAGCACGATGCTTGAAACGTACAGTGGTCTGGAACTCATTGATCTTCTGCTTCCTCAAAACCTCCACAGATACCGTATCAGCTTCCGCCGCATTCCGAACATCACCCTGTGTGTCATTTAACAAAATTTCCAGTTTTTGTTTTGCGAAGTCGTTTTTTCCCTCGTGAACTTCTATTACTTCATACATCAACTCGTTCAACCGATCCATCACATCTGTCATCTCGCAATCAACCTTTATGGAGTCTTGCAGTTTATATCTTTCAAATATATTCCGGGTTTCATTCCAATCTTCCAGCAACCTATTTGTAACGTGTGAGCGATCACAGATACCAACCTTTTCATGGTATAACAATGTTCCTGCCACAATACTTGGTACACATGGAGATTCTCGCGTGCCTGAGCTAGTATGACAGTTTTGTCTACTATAGCATAGCAGATGGGTGTTTTCAATGATGAAATCACAGTTGCGAACCTTTTCATGGTTTGTCTTCGTTTTTCCGCGCCCCTCATTATTAAGCTACATTTTGTATATAGCGCACATAATTTAGCACATACCGGCTTTAGTAATAATCTGTCCAACGTTTTCCACCTGTACATCGTGTACCATCGAATGGTGATAGCAGCTACTGGAAAATTATGGTTTTTACCGTTAGTGCCATACTCACTAAGTTTTACAAACATTGTCTTCCTTTTGTCGAACTTTTCATTTGTAACCGATGTGACCTCCTCTAGTAGCGTCTCTTCATATCGCACCAATACCTATAGCTATTGCAGATACTGACCTTCTGTACTCACATGTTTAACAAGATTGTATATGCCCATTCTGTTGTTGCTCGCAGCTATTCTCAGAACTGGAGGGGGTACGGGTATACCATATTTCTCCAATATTTCCTTGTCGTGGACAAATTCCAAATCTCGGATGCCATCTGAAGTCAGTTATCTGAATTTATTTCACCAACCAAAGGCCATGTTTTTTATGGGATAAAGGGTCACGATCCCATCCGAGAGATTGTTTTTCGTCTTTGCAAGGGATTAGTTTCAAATACAAATGGCAATACCTTGCGAGTTTTGGGCGCCATCTTAATACTTTTATGGGTGATTGGGAACACCCTACTATGCATAGCAAATGTCAGATTCGGAAAACAGCTCCGCCTGGAAGTTTTTTACGCGGCCAGAGATGTTTTAACATAAGGAGAGAACCTCTCGCTGCGGCAAAATTCCAAAGACTTCGAGGAAGGGGCGATGCAATAACCATCCAATGTAGGATTTTCCTACAAATGATATGAATAAAATGGCATCACGCACCAAAAGTAGGTCGGTCAAAGACAAAGCTTCGATTGATTTCACGATAAGATCACGATGTTGAATATTATCAATTGCCTTTATATGGGTCATAAGATCGTCTAGGTCTAAAAACAGAGGAGTAATGACCTTTCCAGTTTTTGACGTAATTGTAAGATTCCGAGAAAAAAAGAGCGCAATTAAGCTGCTCTTATGTGAACTAATAGGCGCATAAATATCTTCCAACGATGTCTGGTAAACGTTGCGTTAGGCTTTCAGTTCCACTAACTTGACGCGAGCTGCGCACGAGTTTGTACTTGACTTTAGATGGTAGCCTCTTTTTTGTAGGATCTACCTTATCTAACCAGCCACGCAACGTCATAACCCTTATGCGCAGCGGGGAGCACCTGTATTCATCTAAATGTGTTTATTGTGAAGTCGATGATAGGTCGTACCTGGCGGCTCTGTCTGAGCTATTTCTGCGAGAAAGTCTGTGGCATCCTTAGAATCTATGAAAGCTGTGATGATACATTCCTTTCCTATTGTCAGAGTGACCGGGGACGAATACTGTGACTCCACGACAAAGACTAGAACGTCATCGAGAGAACCGAAGTATTGGTGTGCACGAGGCTTGTGTATTACTTTGCTATTCCAATTCAAAGGAAAATCCGAAATGGATTTTCCTACCCATAAACCGCTGATTGTTTGCAATGGTAGCAATATGAGTAAAAACGACGGGGCATACGAACCTAATGTGAAGCGTGCCTTCCACCCAAAATACATCTGTGATATTATGTAGAGTGACGGGTCATAATAAAATCCACCAATGATCACTTTAAAATATTATGTGTTGTGGTTAATAACTGCACGTCTTCATGCTGTTGTGTCGCGGCACTTCTTTATAGAGCGTGGTGGCGCGATAGCGAGATTTTCGCAACCGAAAAATGCACAGGTATCGTTGAGATGTCAACCAACAACACCATTTTATGTATCTAATAATGTCCGCAGTGGGTTACAGGCGACACAGTTGCTTGCCTAAGGAAGGGGCGCAAATATCCGTACCTTTTGGCGTTTCTCAAAAAAGAATGTGAATACTGCGAGGTAAGTACTCGCTGCGAAATTCAATTCATTTGCAAGTATATGGAACCTCTAATCACACAAGCTGATAGGGAGTTTGGTTTACACATTGAGCGTTTTGACGTCGCCTCGTCAAACAATTACGCGGTATGCTGGTTATTCCACATAAAATAATCATACACAGCTTATGATACAACTCGACAGACAGGTGAAATGTGGAGGGCTACCTTTTTTCTACAATATGCGTACACATAAGCACATCTGTGGCGCAACAACGTATCAAAATTTGGTGGCGTGGGCTACCGGCAAACGTTCCGGGTGGGTTTCCTCTGTTCCAAAAAAAAATTAACAGTGCTTTGGTTTCCCCTCCTCTGAAAGAAGATGAAATTAACGCATCGCACAGAAGAACTGTAAGGCACACATATCCACCCACACATTTTGCACAGGGGTTCTTTGCTAGAGTGATGTTAAAGATTAGAGATGTTCGTTTAAAATTTCAAATTATCCATAGAAGCTTAGATTTTGCTGAAGGGGGAGAAAAAGATGATGGATCGCTTGAACAATTGAACGAAATTCACGTCAATAGGAACTCGAGAACGTGATATATGTGTACATATCATTAATTCTATGTTAGTAACGCCATCCTGCCATTTATATCAATTCGGATCGCTGCGCTGAATGTAGTGGGTAACAAGTATGTAACAGTTACATCCAGGGCGTCTCCTCCACCGGCTTGCCTATTGTCAAGTGTAAGTCGCCTACGAAACTTTAGGTGGTTCTGAATCTTAAAGGGTCATCGTTACTGAAGTTCTGTTTCGTGTAACCTATCTCTTAAAATGCGGCAACTCGATTTCGCAATGTTATTGAGATTGTCTGCGTTGCTTCTGAGCAACTTGACCATGTCATTTGGATATGAAATCAAGCAACTGTGGCACAACTTCGTCTACAATGGGCAAATAGCCGATTTTGGGGATTATGATGGCAACGGTCAACTTGATGCTATATCTTATTATACCAAGGGCCATACAACGACTGTATGTATATATACGGTATCGAATGATTCTGGTAGGAGTGAACCGCTGGAAACTGTTGAGATTCAGGGAACTGTTGAAGGTGTAGTCGGCGTTGATATAAACATGGACAGTGCACTGGATATCCTAGTCATTTTGAAGGAGTCCAAAGATAAATATCGCATGCTAGCGTTGTACCAGGACAAGGCCACTGGACGTCTAGGTAATGGTTGGAATTCTACTGGTGAGATTAACCCAAACAACATTGGCGACATAAACGGTGATGATGGAAATCAACGTCATGTGATGAAGAGCGGGGAATATGAGTACACATCAATGTATCCTCTAGTGTTAGATATAAATGGTGATGGATACGTCGATATTTTGTGCCAAACTCAAACTAAAAAGTTATTTGTGTGGACAAACCAAGGAAATGCCTTGCTTCCTTTTCTTTTAGAACACGTACCTTTCTGTCGTTTTGATGGTCTTGTACGTGGCTACATACCTTCTCCACACTCTTCGGCTTTCGTGGACATCGATGGCGATTGTAGAGCGGATTTGGTACTTTTAGTGCAATACGAAGATAACCAATTTCTGCAGATTTGGCAGTCCACGGCCAACAAAAACCATATGTCATACGTCAGAAAACCAGATATGGATATACAATTGCCAAAATACCATGGTCAGGTGTCATTTGTTGATATAGATGGTGACGGAACGATAGATATTGCTGTTCCTTATTGCACAAAAGTGGACACGAAAGGTGCCTGTGTGGAGGGGTGTGGTGTAGCCATGACGTTCAATCATCAGAAGCCGTTTTGTTCGTATATTTGGAATAACCCTAACAGCGATATGTGTAGGAAAGCAACTGAGCTGTGTAGTAAGTCGGAATTTAATTTTAAACCTTTGCATAACACACCACCGGTGTCAATTTCATTACCACAAGATTTCCAATTCGAATGGAGCGAAAAACACCCAACCACGCTTTCGTTTGGAGATCTCAACAATAACGGATATCCCGACCTGATTGTTTTGGCCCGAGATCGAAGGAACTCAAAACCAGTCGTTATGGTGTATGAAAACCTGGAGAACAAGGAACCTTCCGAAACCTACACGAGACGCTTTGAACTATCAGCCAGGATTGATGTTACGGATCTGGAATTACACGAACTTCGTATAACGGCCATCGACCTTTTTGAAGATGGAATAACGGAGATTGGTATTTTTGCGTCAAAAGGTTCTGCTCATAGTGATGCAATTGGTAGATTCTACACCGTTGTGAATGAATCAATAGGTTTATTCATGAAAGCAATGGTCAAAGGAATATCGCACGGTGAGACTCCATCGTCAGTAAATGTTTTGTCTACTGGTTCTAACGTGAATGGTAGGTCAAATCGACGCGCATTATAGCCTTGCCCAGGCGCAGTGTTCAAGATCACGGTGATTGACGTCTACGGTGCAAAGTCGCCACGCTGTTCGACCATAAGACCACAGTCAGCGCATTCACCGCTACTACCACCTTATTCCATGTTCGGGTAGGTTGTGTGTAATCCTTCTCAAGATCACTTAGACTGGGCAAAACAAATAACTATGTAGAAGAATTTTACCTGGGTATGCCGAGCAAGTCAGAAAACTACAGCAACATGTGGATCTCTATCATTCCCAACTGCAGTGTTGTGGCCATTCCACATAGGCTATCCTATCCGAACGAGTAAGTTTAGAATTTTCCACTATATATATATGTTATGCCAGGTGGACTTTGAAGCTATCGTTGAGCCCATCCAAGGATATATACAAGATTTATATAGCGACGTTGATTTGTCTAGTTAGTCTGGGGGTGATCATCGTTGGGTTTGATATCAAGGAGAAGCGCGAGGACTCGGAGCAGGAGAAGGGGTTTCGACAGAAATTTATTATAAACTGACGATGTTTCCATTTATACTTCTTCTCATAAATTCTGCATTTTGTTATAAAGCTCAAGTGTGCAACAGATATATGCCGAGCACACACGTCACGCTACTTAAAGGTAACACAGCAGTAAACAAATCTAAATTACCATAGATATTTTTCTAGATTGCGCTGGAACGTCAGGTATGTAAAATGTTTATATATACTTATGTAACGCAGAATTTGGTGATATAGTTTCCGCAGCAACGGTTAGACAGAATCCACCCATTTATCAAACTTTTGACGCATTATTAGAGCTGCAAGATTAATCCACTTTGTACCATATTTGTGGTTTACAATGGGCAAGTGACCCTGTGTACTGGTAACGTTCGCACCAGTGATGGATTCCACAAGAGGACTGGGTAAGTAGCGTTAGAAATTGTAAATGTGTTGCTCTCTCCTGCCTACTACACCGTGACTATTGCGTAACATACGGCTTTAGGTCTTGGGTCGGACTAAGCAGCAGATTACAGGGACTGGCTGACTGCGTAGTGCCAAATAACAAGGATCAAGTCTGTTATTCCCTTACACATTCGGATAAAACTCACACACAACGATCATTCGTTTCACAGGTGGGCTACAAACCCGTGATCAGCAACGAACCTTCAGCCGGAAAACAAAACGGCGCCTGAGTCATGCAACATCGGGATGATAACAACCAGTTGTCGACAAGATTTTTTTGGTAAAGACATCCGGGCCGACGGTGGAATTTATTCGGCTGCTCCGTACGGTCAAAACGTGCCTAAGATTAGGGGGACACCTTGTGGGATCAGTGGCTCAGTGGGTTTATATAATTTAAGCATCTAATCTACACAGATACGCCCAGATGATTACCACAAAACGTTTTACGCCGGTGACGTAGTACCTGCCGTCTTTGATAAATCCAAAAAAAAATATTTTAGCGGCTTCGTAACCCCAGCGAGCGGCGCGTAACTCACTCCTACGATTAAAATGGTAAAGCTCAAAAGTAGGTTTGTATAACGTTGTTGTGACAGTGTGTAGAGGGTTCGAAACGCCAGAACCTGGCTAAGAAATATAACGTAAGTTCTGCACGTTGTACTGAGTTAGAGTGCCTTAGATTCAACGAATGGTTGCCGCACATAAAAAAAAGGCGCGGAAACTTAAGAACAAAGGCGAATTACGTAAGTGGCACCAACGTTCGATGTACACGATTTCCAGCTGTCACGCGACGGAAACCGGAACCAATCCCCAACTGCATTTTCAAAAAAGAAGTGCTGGAAAACATTAAACGCACCAAGAAACTGACAGATTTACACGCACAGGAACAGCAGAAACGTCGGGAATCTTCACAGGTACACGGCGGCAATGGAAGCGCCGAGAGCTTTGCCGATCCGTTACCTATTGTGCCACATTTATCATAAAACGGTAGAACGGCCCTAGCGACCGTAATTTTGCTTTATTCATGAGAGTTTTTTGGTGAGGTGGGCAATGACACCCTCGGTGGTAGGGGCCATGCCCTTGTCTCCAGCTTTCCAGTTCGCCGGACAAACTTCTCCGCTCTTTTCGAACAGCTGTAGCGCGTCCACGATCCTTAATACTTCATTTACCTGTGCAAATAATGTAAAACGAGTAGAGCTTGCGTCATATAGATTGATTAACGACCAAGGACGTTTCACGAAAAGCTAATGCATTCGCCGCGTAAACGGTGTTAACCCTCACAAGTTAGCCAACAAATACGTACTACATATACGACATACCGATCTGCCAAACGGCAAATTGTTTACTTGCTGGTGCTGCAGTATTCCGTTCTTGTCAATTATGAATAAACCCCTAAGTGCCACTCCTTCATCCGGGATGAGGACTCGATACGACTCAGAAATAGACTTCGTAATGTCTGCTAAGACGGGAAACATAACGTTCCCAATACCCCCTTTGTCTCTGGGCGTGTTGCGCCACGTTAGATGGGCAAATTTGGAGTCGACGCTACATGCGAGAATTTGTACGTTACGAGACTCAAACTGTGCAATCGCGTCGTTGAACGCCACAATTTCCGTCGGGCAGACAAATGTGAAATCCAGGGGGTAAAAGAACAAACAAACGTACTTCTTCCCGGCGTAATCTGACAATGAAACCTCCTTGAAAGAGTTGTCTGGCATCACGGCCTCGCAACGAAAGTTAGGAGCAGGTTGACCCACGTGAACCATTTTTAATTTATGAAGAATGGTTACCGAGCCGCGCAAAAGGAATGCCACACGCCAAAGTACGATATTTTCAGGCAACACGGCGTCACACCGAACCTATCTGCTTCGAGTATAAATAAATAGCGTTGAAATCACGGTCGTGTATATCTCAATCCGCAATAGGGTGTAAACTGTAATAGAGACTCCCCCAAATTTTGCTAGTTCCGCCGCCACACAACAGAAATGTGGTGTGCGAGCGGCTGATGTCAAATGGGTGACACGTGTGCTGTTAAAAGAACGGTATTAATGTGTTTATAGTTCCTGTGTCTGTTATGTTATTTAAAATAGTGTGTATTTGCCTTGCATAAAACGTTGTAGAGGGAAAAATGCTGCACACACTATTCGTTTCTTGTCGAAGACCCGGCCGTTCAGCATATATTGTGCTCTTCGGCTTGATACGTCATCTCTGAACTTAAGAAACACTTTCCCAACACCTTCTCTATACGAAAGATCTTCTTTTGGTCGCGGAATCACGATATCTTCCAAATGACCGTACTTCTTGGCCTCTTCCATTATAGCATGTTTCAATTCATGGTACCTTTTGTCTTGTATAAGATCCTCGTGGAACACAATATTAAGTAACTGCACCACCCTAGACGGCTGCGCCCCAACTCGCCGTCCAGATTGCATCTGCAGGCCGAGTAGTGGATCGCTCAAGATGGTCTGCGTGACAGAATTTGGCAAGTTGGTGGCCTTGCAATCTGTCAATTTGCCACCTGATGCAAAATAGCTGAAAGCAGCATGCTTTACGCTTAAAACAGTTTTGTCTACTACGAAACCGTTCAAATGACAAACGGCCATCTTGGCAGCCCTTGAGTCATCGAACTCGAAAAACCCGTACCCTTTATTCTGCCCTGTTGACAAATCTTTTACCACATTCGCAGTGCGCAATTTGCCATGTTTCTCCAATAGGGTTTTGATGTCGGTCTCGCTCATTGACGGGGGAATGTTTTGCACGAAAACTTTGGTGTCATCGGAACTTGATGTTGTACCGTAGTCGATGGGACGCCTTATTTTGAGCACGCGACCCTTGTAATTAATGCCGTCTAGCTTAAAACACTTATCCGCCAGTTCGGGAGTGACAAATTCGAGAAAACAATATCCTTGATCCTCATTAAAAATCTCCGTTTTAGATATCGGCGGCGTCCCGGCATTGGTCTCCGAAGACCAACTGGGTAAACGTATTGCTGCAGCGATGAAATCCACCAATTCGTTGTACTTCGTTCCTGCGTTACTTAGTGAGAATATAGCTCAACATACCTGACGGTAGATTACCGAAGTAGAGTCTACGTAGTCTTTTCTTGCTTCCTTCACTAGCAGGCTTATCAGCTAAATCATCTATGGGTTCAGGCGTCTCATCAGGCACATCCCACTTGCTCTCCCTAATGCGTCGTCGCCTGGGCAGAGTTCGTCAATGAAAGATCAAAAATTCTATACCTTTTGGAAGGATTTACGGTGCTCGTAATTTCCGATGTATTGTCTTCAAGTGTAATCGCGGGTTCCATCGTTTTGAAGAGAATAAAAAAAAAGTCCTTACAAAACTTCAGCGCACAGTCAGCAACCTGGTGAGGTATCTGCGATATGTTCTGATGTTGCTGGAATGTGCAAAAAAATCTGTTTTCCGGTGTGGATAAACATCGTAGAGCGTGGTGTCCGCGATTACTGCGCTTCCGAGTCACGTCTGTCGGAGATATGCTAAGAGTATCTGACGTTAGTGTCTGTATATATATAGATAGTCGACAAAAAATAAAAACAATGACTGCGGTGGCCTGAAGCCCAACCTTCCAGCAGATTGTTCTCTAGTATGGGACCGTGCAATGAAACCCGTTTTTCGTAGTAGTATGCGGAATCTGTATTTATTTATGCAAGAAACGCCAGTGACAAAGCGCCAAATAACCAATATATGTGTAGTAATCACCCCATTGGTATGAAATAGTGTACCTTCCGGTGGCTGCAAATTCGGCGTGTCTTCGAAACAGGTGTTGACTGCAAGTGACGTGTTTCATAGGTAGTTCGTAATAATTAATTCTGTTTGGTCAATCAGTTTTGGTTCCGCATACAGCACAGCTCTTTAATGTGTGTTTGTAACGCGCTAGTTAATTGTGCAAATTTTAGCGAGGGACAAATATGAAAAAAATAAATTTCGATTCCTCTTCTCACAAAGTACGTTTTTAAGGCGGCTCATAGAATTTTTTTGTAGGTTATTCTAGCTGCGGGAATGCAATGGGGAGATGAGGGCAAAGGAAAGGCCGTAGCTACCTTCGCAAGAGATGTAGACATTGTAGCAAAGTATAACGGTGTGCCTAAGTGTTGCTAATTCATAAAGTCGTCAGGCGGTCATAATGCGGGACATCAAATAATTCTAAATGGAAAACAGTATAAGTTACATCTTCTCCCAAGTGGCACAATTTATACTAATACGATAAATGTTTTGGGCCACGGTATGGTAATACATCTTTCGAGTTTGCTGAACGAGATCAATATCTTGGCAGAACATGGAATCGAGATTTTGGACAGGTAGACAATACTGTATAGGCACAATTTTTTGCAGACTATTGATATCAGACCGCGCGCATTTACTTCTGGATGCTCATGTAGAAATCGATCGCAAAATGGAGAAGCGGCGAATGTCTAGTGGAGGTAATATTTCATTGGGGTCATCTATATGTAATGCAGGCGAAATAGGGACCACTTTACGTGGAATTGGTCCGTGCTATTCCACCAAGTCATCTAGAACTGGTGTCAGGGTCGGTTTGCCATTTCGGTCATAAGAGCCTACAGGTTGGAACCATGTTGCATTGGGAAGATTTCAAAAAAAGAGTGCTAGATTTTTACAGAATTCACGGTGATCCTGAAACATTTGAAAATATGGCTAGTGAGGAGATTGAAAGACAAAAAAAACTGTACGACATTTTCTCCAAGTGCATCTGCGATACAGGATATTTTATGAGCGAGGCCATTAAAGCAGGCAGACGCATCTTACTTGAGGGATCGAATGGTTCTTTATTAGATATTGATGCAGGTACGTATCCGTATGTTACGTCGTCTACCACCCTAGCTTGTGGAACTTACTTGGGATTGGGGGTACCGTTGGATTCCCCAATGTTCCGCATAGGTCTGCTAAAGTGCTACCAGACGCGAGTCGGTATGGGCCCTTTTCCTACTGAATTTTTTGACGAAAATTATCAACATATACAAAAAGATGGTACCGAAATTGGAGTGTCCACATCTAGGTTACGAAGATGTGGTTGGCTCGATCTGGTTGCTGCCAGATATGTTCAAAGATTGAACTGCTTTCACACCATATATTTTACGAAGCTGGATGTTTTGACGGGTCTAAAAGAAATAAGGGTTTGTGTGGACTACCGCAATAAAATAACTGGTACGTTTTTGGATCTGGTCATTATAATTCGCAGGTAATGTTCTGGAGAGGGGGCGTTTCCCAGCTACTACGGCACTTTTGGAGGAGTTCGAGCCTGTTTATAAAACGTTTGCTGGTTGGACGCAAGATATTTCGAATGTGCGCAATTACGATGAACTGCCGGAGAAAGCCCGTAACTACGTGGAATTTGTGGAAGCACAGCTGGACACCTTTATCCAATGGGTAAGCCTAAACATATGAACGTCAACGTCGTATAGATTGGTGTCGGCCAAGATGTTAAAAGTGTCATTGTTAGATGACGATTACATTAAATGATCGAGCATGTTATTTATAGAAGATCCTATATCCCCGTGCTTTAATGGGCTGTACAATAAAAGTAAGAGGGCATGAAAATGTGCGGCTAACCCATCAACAATGGTCCTTGGCATTTGTATGGTGCCTAGTTTCTGTAAAATGTCCTCGGCGGCGTCCGTTCCATTATATACGGCATCTACGACGTCGTCTAGACACAGCAAGTCGGTGCCTCCGATGTGATCTTCCACCACGGAATTACTGCTGATTAACATCGTTTTTCCACCAGGAAGAATAGTTGTACCCCTGATGACCGTATACTGTGGGACTTTAGCTCTCACCTCTTGTGTAACAACTCTCGGACGTGTTTTAGTGTGGGTGTACCGAAGAATACGAAGGGTTCTACCTGTAGCAGGTCTTTCAAGCTCTGCTCCGAATTGGAAAAAAATCTTCCAGTTCCAATTCGCAATAGTCCCATAAGCTGCTTTGTTTCTTAATGCAAACGATGTGGGCAAACCTGCAGCGTCGACCTTGAGATCGAAGACTCAACAGCTCGTCTGTTACGAACAGCCAACAAAAGCTTGTACGTTTTAACGGCAGAAATCGTTTTTTTTTTGTTTAGTGCGGTGGTCCTACAACCGCCATGGTACTTCATCACACTCTTAATACCTTTTTATGTCTAGTGACCTGCGCACTGATTTCTTGTGGAGTGACTGTAGCGACACGATTGTATTGATATCTCTCTTTATCTTATTTTGCTGATTTTGATTGAAAGGTTTGGGGGTATAAGCCGCCTACCGATTTAAGCCGAGCAAACTCCTTGGCAATTTCCGAGCGCTTGTTCAGATGAAAACGGTGGCCCTTGAGAAGGGTCTCTTTTTTCTTTGTATCATTTCTTATTTCCTCCATTTTTATTAATAAAGAATCAGCAGCTTAATCGTGCCATCTGTTTTCAGTTGGTGTGTTAGGCACCACCAAAGCATCCAGTTCTTTCAAGATATGAATGTGACGATTTCGGCAATCTAATAAAGTGCTATTGTGACCACTTGCTTTTTAACTGTGTGTTGAAAATTGCCATAAGATATGTGTATCTCTAAACGCCATAAAAGGCGTAATCACGGTCATGTTTCTTGATGTGCCTCTTCCACCCTTTTTCGAAATCTTTGTTGGTGACAACGTATCTGTTTTTCCTGATAGCTTGTATGCCTGCTTCCTGACAAATCGCCGCAATATCTGCGGCTGAAATTTTTTCCGGTCGCGAGACGACTGCAAAAAAATGACAACACTTAACACAGTCAACGTACAACTCTCAAGGTCCACATCGCTTGACAAATTCATCTTACTCGTTATGGTTTGGAAAATAAGTCTTCTTTGTCTTCTGTCGGGCAAAGGAAACTCGATCTTTCTATCTAGTCGTCCTGGCCTTAACAAGGCGGGATCCAACGTGTCTGCCCTATTTGTAGCCATTATGACCTTCACGGTGGCATTCTGGTCGAACCCGTCCATTTGATTGAGTAGCTCCAGTAAAATACGTTGTACCTCTCTATCCGCGCCCGTTTGAGCGTCAAAACGCTTCGTTGCAATGGAGTCAACTTCGTCGATGAAAAGAATAGCTGGGGCGTTCTCTCGTGCCAACCTGAAAATATCCCTTACCATTCTCGGCCCTTCCCCAAGGTACTTTTGTACGAATTCGCTTCCTACAACGCGAATGAAACTGGCACCCGTGTGATGTGCAACAGCTTTTGCTAGCATCGTCTTGCCCGTGCCTGCAACTTATGAATCACGCATGGCAAATTTAGTAAAGCAAGTACAAATTCATGAGATGGCATACAGCTGAAATTGTTAAGTGAGAATGAAAATTTCACATGTGGTGTGCGAACGGCATTCGTAACTTACCTGGAGGTCCGTATAATAGCACTCCAACCGGGGGGTCAATTCCGATTTGGTGGTAGAGTTCAGGACAAGTAAGGGGAAGCTCTACCGCTTCACGTACCTCCTGTTTCTGGGCATCCAATCCCCCGATGTCCTGTACGATACGAAAAAGTTGAACCAAAACCAACCGCATAAGACACCTCAGGTTTGTCGGACAATTGCATCATCTGGATTGATGAGTCCGCTTCAGGTGGAAGCAAATCCACTACACTGTGACTGTGACGGTGCAAAGCGACGCTACTATTGGGAGTTAGCTGTTCCCTATGCGTGACATGAATCGTCCATTTCAATCGAACTACCTGTTGATAGTTGACAAGATGCGCACATAGTAATTGGATCCTGCAGTAGACGAGACTATTCCGTGGTTTCTGTCTACCATGTCCAAAAACTGGCCGATTACCAGCGGGACACTTTGTATCCTTTTAATCTCCTCTCGCGCCCTAATCAACTCGAGCTTCAGATTTTTATGTTCTTCCTTGACATAGTTTTCCTGATTTTATTATAACTAATTCCATATTTTTTCATACCTGGATGTCATACAAAACAAGCTGTTTTTCCAGGTTTTTGAGCCTTGTGTAAAGGTCCGCGTCCGAAGGCAAAATCTTTCTCGGCAAATATTTCGATCCCATTATGAAATAATTAAAGACAAATTTCGTCACGTCTCTATCTAGATGAAAAGCTATGAATATTGGCAAGTGGTGATCGTACCCTATGTGGACAACAAATGTGTACGGTAGAAGGTTTGTATTGAACTTCACTCCATCATATAATGAGGTTTATAAAACGAATCTTGCCATTATTGGAATTATGAGATGATTTTAGATATCAAGGGGGCTAAGGAAGTTGATTCTCGGATTTTTGAACAGGTTAGCTTCACAACGTGCACAGCCACAGTCAAATATGCTAATCGTTGAAGTTACATAGCTGTACATTAATTAACTACCGTGCAGAAAGCTTACCACAATGTAGAAGAGGTTATTAGACTGCAAGCCATTAGTAAGAAACTTAAACAAAAGATATGCAATGTGGACGTTAGTTTTAATACAATTCCCTTGCTAATCGTATTGCAGCTTCCGGACGAAACTTTGAAGAAATATAAATGTCTTGTGGGTAAACTTCGACATATAATTGGGCGCATCATTGCGTGCAACCTAGGTGAAGATGAACCGGAATCAGGTGATGAGGCCCAGTTTAACTACGAGTTCCTCGGGCCATCAAAGCTACGCGTTGATGAGGATGTTCTGGAGATATCGGAGGATGAATGCGATGAGAAACGTGAAAGCAACGATGTCTCTGACTTCAAATGTGTTTCAATCAAAGAACGACCAGCATACCAATTATCAGACAGCATATTTGCACAGGCGAGTGTGTTCGATAAATTGTATATCCACCAAAAACAAGGTGTGAAGTGGTTGGCAGGGCTCCACCATCGTAGGCATGGAGGTATTCTCGCAGACGAAATGGGTTTGGGCAAAACAATTACTGTACTATCGTTTTTAAGTGCCCTAATCTTTTCAGAGGACTCAAAGAAAATTGACCTAGGTGGGGGATTAGAAGTGCTCATTGTTTGTCCCATTACATTAATTTCGCAGTGGATAGATGAGATGGGTATATGGGCACCATCGTTCAAACCTGTGGTCTTCCACGGCTCCTTGGGAACATACAACAAGCGTTCGATGTTGACTAAAAAAAAAAGTGCGAGAAACACATGCCTCATAACTAGTTATGAAACATTGAGGGCTCATGTAGATCATATTAATGAGCACCGTTGGTCTTATGTCATACTAGATGAGGGGCAGAAAATAAGGAATCCTGATGCTGCTGTAACATTAGCAGTGAAAACACTTGGTACGCCGCATAGGTTATTGCTATCTGGTTCACCTATCCAAAACAACCTAATCGAATTTTGGTCGTTGTTGGATTTTGTTGCCCCGGGTCATCTTGGTACTCTTCCTTTGTTCATCGAGCAATTCGTGAGCCCGATAATGAGAACCAATAGCACTTGCAATGATTCGGCTGCCTATAACTGCGCTCTGCGTCTCAGGGCATTGGTGCAGCCTTTCATACGGCGTCATGTCAAAAGTGAATTTGCTAATGCCCTAAAACTCCCTAAAAAAACGGAGCATGTAATTATGTGCAGTTTGACTCCTGTACAGTACGAAGTGTACCTGGCACTGCTGAAAACTGTTCCTGAAATTGTATCGATGGATGACTTTAGCATCCGGTCAACTTCTAAACATATTGTGAATAACGTGGGCAAGAAGTTGAAACCTCACGGTTTTTTGTTGTTACTTACGCTCCTAAGAAAAACGTGTAACCATCCAGACCTGGTTTTGAAAGAACGGCCGAATGATTTCGGAAGTATTGATAGGTCAGCCAAATTGATGGTTGCTCTCGACATCATTTCCAACTGGGAAGCGAGTGGTCACAAGATATTGGTTTTTACGCAGACTATACAGATGTTGGACATCATTTATAACAGCATCGCTCAGCATTACGACCCTTGTAGGATTGCCAGAGTTGATGGAGAGGTACCGATAAAAAAACGTTCTGCTATTGTGGAATCCTTTGAAAAACATGATGATGTTTTTATTTTCCTACTAACCACAAGGGTGGGGGGTGTAGGACTGAATTTAACATGCGCTGATCGTGTCCTGATTTTTGATCCTGACTGGAATCCAATGACGGATTCGCAGGCCAGAGAAAGATCCTACAGGATTGGCCAAAGCCGAGATGTGGTTATATATAGACTCGTATGTGCGCATACTGTCGAGGAAAAAATATATCACAGACAAATTTTTAAGTTTTATTTGAGTGAACGAATCCTGTCGGACCCAAGTGTGATGGGATTTAGATTTTTGCCCGCAGCAGACCTTCTGACGGTGCCCCCGAAGCCGTTTGTACGCGAAGACATTAGTGGGTATCTCAATAATTTCAAGAACCAATTGAACTCCATTGATTTGGAGATGGATATTCGGCGACTCAACAACAGTAGGGACATATACCAGCGCCCCGGTGATCTCTTAAAATGCGGTGCTGACGAAAATCCCATTTTACAGTCCATATTTGCTCATCATGGAATTGAAGGCGTAATCAAACATGACGATGTTGAGAAAACGGTTCATCCCAAGGGTTATGCGGGCTCATCTCTCATTGCGGATGAAGCAGTAAGGTTGTTGAGGAAATCACTGAAAGAAAGAAGTGCATATGACATTTCCGTGCCGACGTGGACTGGTGAAAACGGCCGTGCTGCTGCACCTGTGAACTGCAAAACACGTAAATTAACAAATACAACAAATAAGACCGGAAAGTCATTGTTCTGCAACTTTACCAAAAACTCAAATGATCAAGGCTTGCACCTAACCAAAGAACTAGACGCAACATCTATGGCCAAAATGATTTTCAATTACTTCATCTCCGCTCCAAAGCGAAAGGCGCCAACCGGAGAGGTTTGTTGTATGGCCAATGCAATGTAATGTGCTTTCAGGTGATACAGCATTTTGGGCCATTAATTCCAGGTATGGATTAGAATGGACTTCAATAATCTAATGTAGAATCGAAAGCGGCACTGTTCAAAGTTACACTAAAAAAGGTTTGTCTCTTAGTCCGCCGATATTCAATTGTAGTTGTGTGAATTGAGAAAATCGGATGGTGAGCCCAATTACTGGGTTCTGAAAAAGGGGTTTGTATCGCAGAATAATAAGACAACTGTATGATTTTGTGCTGTTAGAGTAGTGAAAATCTTAGGTAATTAGTGTTCTGCCGTTCACCTTTTTCCTGAAGACATAACATATAATGAAGGCCGATTAGTCGGCGAAAAAAATCGCGCATATTTAATATGGGACATTGGGGCAATAACAAGATATGCATAATTTAGATTCCGGTAGGAACTACATCGTGTTGATACCACATTTCACGCAGGTGAGATCCAACAACAAGACCGCATTGAAGGTACTACTTTATCACATGGATGAGCGGCTCATGTACTAAATCTCAGGAGACACAGATGCAAATTTTATATCACTCGACGACTAGTGAAACTAGTATGTTTCCGACATGTTGATCGATTATGAAAGATCTTGGCCTATAACGAGCTACTGGGCGGCGCTTTGTACCAATTTACAAGCGAAAGGACTGCTCTACACCTGGATATAGAAAACATAACGTCCAGAAGCATTATGAGCACAGCATATTCTTCATTTTATCATGGGTAGCAATCCCTGCTATACCAATCAACCTGACCTTATGTTACTCATAGCGAACAATCAAACGACGTATGGCGCAACATGAGGTCATACCAAACGGATTATGGCATAGGAAAGGAACTCTGGGAATCCGCACGAATGCTATTAAACTAATGTATGCAGTTATAAGTCTTTTTTTAGAGTCAATAAAATTGAGTATTTGAACCACGTTCATCGTTTGATTTTAAACGTCCATGTGATTCACTATTCCGTATTTTACTTTGTTCACTGCATTCCATACAAATCAAAATATTGCTAACATTTTTTCATAAAGTGAGGAAAGCACTATTGCTAAGGTCGCAAATAATCAACATTCAACCAGGGATGTATGCTCTACCTCTGGATGAGGGCTAAACGATGCTTTACGTTTATATATCTTGCGAGGAAAGAAAACAGTACGCATTTGCATTGCAACAGCTTCAGCATCAATTAAAATTAAGAACAAATACATTTAACAAACATGGACCACCCAGAGTGAAATCTTTACCAACACCGCACCATACACGGGAAGACGTCCCTTGTCATGAGCGGACAGGTAGTTCTCGAGAATCTAAGTCAGCGATCTCCTCGATAACACTTCAATGTGTGTATCATGTAATACATCCGTGATTATAGTTTAATGTGTTTGGATGGTACGCTGAAATGCTACCACACGTCGCTTTCGCTCCACTTGCAAAAATGAGCGAGAATAGCATTGATATATGTTGAACTACAATAATTTGTTTCGGGCTTTTAAATGACCAAACCCTGTTTAGCAAAGCCTCAGCGCCTAAGTGCACAGTATTTCAATCGCTATTCTGACGGACTCCTGTAAAGTGCGATTGTTTTACACATCATCATCAAGCTGTTCTCCACTTCATAGAAATGGACACTTAATGTTTGCTCTGAAAACGGATGGCGTTTCTCATGCTACCATCGGTCACTCATAAGCGCAGACTTGCAACACTGTGCACCTTAGGTGCCGCTACAACAGTGCACTGTGATGTCGCTCTTGGAATCTACCATCAGTTCTTAATGGGCATCTGAATTACTGAGAAGGACGTGCAGAGATTGTAGGCCAGCGATATTCTGGCCTTTGGATATCGCGCAGGAAGGCCCATACTCACTTTCTTGGTAGAAAATTGGCATTCTAGCCCCTATCGCATAGGGATTACGACGCAAATATAGCGTATAAATGCGATATATTATCTATGAAACAAAGTTGATGCGGCATCCTTTTATGATTCTGCATACGTTAACTTCTGAGGAGGGTCTAGCATCGTGAAACAATAAAGCATTTAGCATTGATCCATATCGTGTGTTAGCTGGAAATCGTAAAATTCGGAACCCCCAAGAATACAACAGAGGCGCATACATATTTAGTGTTTGCACATCCTAGAGGAAGATTGGAAGAAAACATCGATCTTAATAAAAATGGCTACGAGTTCGAAGTGTTCCGTCATGCTGACAATTTGCAAGCTGTTAGCTTTATCAATGATTGGCTACCTTGCTGGTAAGTGCATAGTGTGTAGAAGGTGTCGCGCGGTAGTACGCCGGTGTATGACGTTTACGTCTACACATAGAGTTTTTTGCTTTCATGAATGCATAAATAGGTATTTCTGCATGACTGGCGGATATTATACGACTGTCTAACAAACGTGCAGGCAATAGGGCGAATGCTTTACACGTGGAATATTCCACGTCCCGCAATCACCACAATGTCGCGCCCACGGTGTCGTTCGACACACCCGGATCTTATCTGACGTTCGGATCGAAATCATCTCTCAAGAAAACTCTCCCTAGCATTCCTAAGGTTTCTCATGATGTACCTATCAGTGTGCTTCCCAAATCGGCCCAGGTCGATGTCAAGAAACTTATTGATTACTACAATGGTCTGGGCAACGGAGGACAACGGGCATTAACTGCCAAGTGCCATGAGTGGGAACCATTGACCAATTGTTCGAAGAAACAATACCTCCAATGTGTGAGCCCCAACGATCCAAGCATCATTAAGCTATGCTTTAATGACGCATGTGGCACGTGGTCTCCCTGGACTGTATGCAACAACAATGTACAGTACAGATTCCGCCCAGAATGTGCCGGTGAGAATATCGAATACAGAGAATGCACAACCAAGAACTGGATTTACGTGAAGGAGGAAGAGAAGCGCAGGGAAGAAGAGGACAGAAAGCGTCGTGAAGAAGAAGAGAGGGAACGACAGGAGGCTGAAAGGAAGCGCCGCGAAGAGGAGGAGGCTGAACAAAGACGTCTGGCTGAGGAAGAGAAGCGCAAGGAAGAAGAGGAGAGAAAGCGTCGTGAAGAAGAAGAGAGGGAACGACAGGAGGCTGAAAGGAAGCGCCGCGAAGAAGAGGAGGCTGAACAAAGACGTCTGGCTGAGGAAGAGAAGCGCAGGGAAGAAGAGGAGAGAAAGCGTCGTGAAGAAGAAGAGAGGGAACGGCAGGAGGCTGAAAGGAAGCGCTTAGAAGAGGAGGCCGAGCATAACAAGGCCAATGACGTTGTCGAGGCTGTTGAGAGCGCTTCGACGGTCCTGCCTTCCGATGAAGAATCGTTTGATTCAGAAACTCCGGATGATGACCATGAAGAAACATACAAAAATAAAGAGGAGCAAAGTTCACAATCTTCAGCAAAATCCTTGGCTAAGCAGGCTTCCGTGGGTCTTGCAGCTGTAGTTTCTGCAGTTGTTGGCTCATATGTCTATTGCAAAGGCCCTTCAGCTGCGTCAAGTTTGGTAAATGGAGTTGAGGATCAGGGTTTCGATGATGAATCCTACGTTACTCACAAAGATGATGATATGGAGGCCAAAATTCAACTTGAGGAAAACTTCTGGGCTGAGGGTGACTACAACTAAGGTCCCAAGTCTATTGCGCAAGAAGTAAATCGCAATTGACCACTAATGTTTGTGCACAAGAAATTTGCGTACCGCACGTGACACTTAAATGCAGTACATTTTGAACTTTAATCTTTATTCCTTTCTAGATCTCAACTGTCTAGCCAGAATTTTGGTTACGTTTTAAAGTAGTGAAACCTAGTTACAAATGTGGCGCATATGCGTTTCACATATTGGGGAGCCTTGTTTTGTACGCGGTATTAATCACGGCACGTACCTGCTCGTATTCCGATTTTCTTACAGCGCACTACTGATTCTCCAAGGTCTCCTGATGCTCCTAATTTCGCACAGCTTTAGTTGTGATACATACTAAAAAAACAATGTCGGCGCCACGTTCTCCAACTTTTTTTCAACAAAAAATTTTGAAAATGGGTACGTATTCATACGGCATTTACACTTTGTCTAGTGTTGCTCATCGCGGTGTGTTTTACGCCTAAAGCGGTTCGACCTGAGTCGTGTTCTGATTGGTCAACTTGGTCCGACCTTTCTAAGGTTAGAAACGATTTTATGACCGTATATGGTGAGCTTCAACCTTTACCTGAAGGCACAACCGATAAGCATCACTGCCGACTGTTAAATCTTGAGCCGATTCAAGGTAAGTCATGACAGATACACTTGAAAAAATGAAATCAAATTACGCCAATATAGGTTTGTCATCGACAGGACGACGAGTGCAAGTTTCCGTGGCATTGGCCGGCGGTATGGTTTGCACCGTAGGCCTTGCAGCATCCGTCATTGCCACATACTTCTACACGAGACTTGGCACGCCTCCAGAATTGAGATAAACCTATTTAGAGTCGGAGCACAGTTGCGCTGACCCGTCCGGTTTTGGAAGAGCTTTTCCAGTAAAATAGTAGTTGGTGTGGAAGAGATATCCGAAAGTAAACACCGCCTGGTACAAATTGATCTGGATTAGTTTAAGCTTTACTTACCTGAAACACGAATATCATAAATGCAAAAGTTTTACGTAGCGGTGACGAGAAGCCTGTTGCTGCATGGTTTGTTGTATAATAGTTTTCAATATAAGAGCCGAACGATCGCTTGGCGATTCCGCCGGTCGTTGAATGATACGTCCCTTTTAGAACTCCATGCTGCGTCGCAATGGTACAGCTATAGGGAGCTACAATGGAAACACAGCGTGCTCTTGGCATCCTTGCCAAGGCGGCGGATACCCTGGTAATCATGTTTTGGTGATGTATGTGGGATGTGCATAAGAAAACACAACCACCATTGGAAGGTTATTAGAACACAGTTAATTTCTGCTTTAGCAGATAGATTTAACATAACATCTTAACAATAGCGTGTCGTTGTGTAGTGCACGTGTGGAGACTTCGCCCTGGCACAGCTTTACAGGGCTCACATTGAACGATTCCGCTAACCAATATTATTGTTTCAATTGTCTCTTATCATAAATGTGTTATTTACAGGTGATCCCGTACGTCAAGAGCGAGCAGTGATCCATCACTATGCTCTTCGCCGTGTCGCGGAACTATGCGTGAATTAAACACACCGTTCTATGAGGGGCACACATTACTGTAATGGTTAATAGGCTATTGTTTACCATGCCATCTCACAGGGCAACAACATTCGCAACCGGTAACCACAGACCTCACGTTAAAAGACGCCACTGCACCTGTGGATCCTGACACCCTTAGTTATTGACAATGAAGTGGTTATGATTCGAATAGCAATATCAAGATCGAATAACGTTTCACCAGCGATATGTTAACAAAATAAAAGTACCAGCTGCGCCGTCATTTTCATCAGCATTCCGTGCTACCCCGTTTACCGGCGTTACCATGGGAACGTAGCTTCATCAGGCCGCATTTTCCCAGTTGTAGTTATTCTATATACAGAAAATCGTATATTAGGAATATCCGGTTTGTGGTGTGAGGGTACTGACGCGCAGCCGGCGTAGGCGATGAGTGGGTATTTGCGACAGCATTTACGTGATTCCTCGTTGTCATGCCTCGCATAATTCTACAGTGAGGTGTTCATGACATTTATCGCATTGGCGCAGGTGTTCTACTTGAATATCGCATCTTCAAATTATCGCAATGTCCAACGCCTCTTATCGCGGCCGCGGAGGAAGACGAGCGGGAAACCGCACACAGGAAGGGAGTCTGTATGCAGATGTTGCGAAGGGTGAATTTAAGACCCAGTGTACCGCAGGCGGTACCGTAATTGTAACCTCTGTGTCAAACGGTTCCGGTAACGCGCAGCTTCCTAAAGGCGGACGTAAACAACAACAGGCGAATCAGGATAACGGCGGATCAAAACAATCATTTAAGAGTCATCGAGTGTTAAATGAAGAAGAACTTGCGACATTTCGTACCTCTTTTTGCACGAATCATCACCAGAACAAATGTCCCAATAGCGATTCATGTGAGAAGAGTCACTGTCTTACATGGCAGCGTAGGAATCCATATGAAATATCGTATTGTCCGCAACTCTGTCCGGAGATACAGTTTGTGAAAAAGTCGCGCAAGATGGTTCTGTATCGGCGTTGCACTCGCGGTAAAAACTGCAACTTCGCACATTCTAAGGAGGAGGAGCTTTATCATCCTCTGGTTTACAAGACGAAACAATGTTCTGCGCACCCAAAGTGCTCTCGATACTTCTGCCCTTTCGTCCATGCTCCCTCGGAGACACGTGATGTAAGTGAATTGAAATTGACAGGTTTGGATCTAACCAGCGGATGTCAACTCCAGGCTGATAAAGAACAGGAACCCGAATCACCTCCTGAACTTGCAGAACCTGTTGAAGGGCGGCGATACGAAGACGTGGTGGAGGCGCTGAAAACGGATGACGACGCAGCGTCGGGGATGTGGTATGAGCCTCCAAGCCTCTCCGCAATTTGCGGCTACGATGACGTCACGTTTAAAAATCTATACGGTTATGGATGCCCTGGGTTTGCGCAGGTTCCCACGGACGACTACTCGGCCGGCTTTGATTTGCAAAATTGTGTTACGTGGCAGACACTTTCGCCCGCCAACCACTTTGAGGGGCCTCTAATGGAACAGTTCGTTGATCCAACCAGGTATGTGTGGTTTGAGGGCTGCACGACTCCTTGGCAGGTACGGCATTGGTACCGAGTTCGATAGCATGGGGGGATCTCAGCAGTTCACTGAGGGTTTAGAGGGTCAATTTGTCCACCTAGTCGACACTGACCTCGAGGAACAGTTCGGCGCTTTTTCTCTGCGGAAGGGGCATGAGGAACCTTTGGATAGCTACCCGCTGAACGACATACTAGTGAATTTCATGAACGACATGGGCGACAAATAATATTTATTATAATCTATACAGTTATGCGTAGTCACTATAATCGCACATTAATCGGCTGCTGGGATCGCGAGCAGATCGAGGCCTCCATAAGGGGTCGGCAGGCCGAGCTAGACAGCGCTTCCCCTAAGAGTGCCACGCGCATTCGTTATCTCAAGAGGAAAATATGTAAACTGAGGCGCGCCTTGGAGGAGGGTACACCGGTAGGAGGTAACATACTTCCTCAGAAGCGCATCCCTCCGTCTACCAAACGCCGCGGAGAGAACCCAAACGCGCCGGGCGATAAAAAGAGAGTAGGACACCTTACTAGAAGGGCGAGAAAAACGTGTTTTAGATGTGAGTTGTGTGCGTGGAGCTAAGTTATGAGCAGGCCGCAAGCGCGGACACACTTTGCAGGAGTGCGACGGCTCGGCGGCCGGTATTTGCTTTCGTTGCGGGTCTAACGATCACGTACTTCGCTCCTGTACGGAGACGGATAATGTGGGTGGCACGTAGCAAAAAATAGCTATGATTTTTAGGGCACTCTGGCGTTCACTTACTGCTTCATATGCGAGAAAAAGGGACACATTGCGTCGCAATGTCCCGATAACCATAAAGGCATTTATCCAAAAGGTGGCGCGTGTTTTTTTTGTGGTTCCGTAACACACGTGAAAGCGGACTGTCCAGAGCGCCGTAAGAGGGTAACGTCATGATGGTCTACTCGCTGTTGTGGTAACCCACCGCCAGCTTTCAGCACTATGTGACACGACATATACTAATCGACACTATCACATCCATAATTTTGCTCCGCTGAGTAGTATCACCATATCTTAATGAGGCGCGACGTCGTGTTTACCTTACCACACTCACACACACGCAAGGAGTCGTGGCCGAAGGGTTCATCATTGAAAAATGGCGGAAGGGAATATCGTATGGTTAATACCATGATATAACAATGCGTGGCATCACTGCTTCAATTGGACGCCTTTTGCCGATATGTGTACGTCTCAAACAGGAAACCTTTTAACACCGTCCAGTTCATGTGCCTTATCTTCTTCGTTGTCTACACGATTTACGTTGAAGTTTGTTTCCTTTGTTCACAATGCACTGCCTAACAGTTCGTATGCATGCCGTTTTTCCAGCTAGACGTGGATGCACAGTATCGATTACTCAGCCTGCAGAGTGAGGGACGCCTTGAGCTAGTGAATTGTAGGTCCAAGCGCGGTCAATAACAAAATGCAGTTCACGCGCTAGTATTTATGCTAGTGTGGTCATTTGTAATGACCACGGTGACTGATCCGGGCCACATACCTGGTATGTAGCGATGCACGGCCTGATGCTAATCACTTTTAGACACCTGGAAGGCCGACGCTACGTCTATGTATAGCTGTAAGGAACGCAAGGAAAATGGTCGGTGCATTCTATATATGTCTGAACGTTCCTTAGGTGAATTCAGGTACTGCCAATACGAAGCCTGCTACAAGCCAGACCGTGCACACTACTGTCGTCAACTTGGCAGAAATGTACTGAAAATGGATCACTACTGCCCATGGGTAGGTTGCGAAATTAGAGTGCAAAATTGCTTTTAAGGTCTCTAACTGCATTGGTTTCTATAACTACAAATTCTTTTTTCTGACGTTATTTTACGCAAACACAACCAGTTGTTATATACTACGCAACGTCTGCAGCGCGTTCTTTACTGTTTACATCGACCCCAACGCGTCCTTCAATCATTTATTCTATTTAGCGCTGATAGGCACCCTTCTGGTAGTGATTACGGCGTAAGTCTCGCACGTTCGATTGCAAAACAAACGTCACAGGGTGCTACTACCATTCATGTGCTTCCATTTATGGTAAGTTAGATATATCGGACGTTGTTAATGAGTGGCCAGGCTGATTTCGATAAACAAGACTACCATTGAGTTCTGCGAATTTGAAGCATCGCGGTCGTACAACTATAATCTTGGCACGCTGGAAAACTACAGAAGTGTCTTTGTAAGTACATATTTTGTTACAATATGATATCTGTAGGGAAGCAACCCACTGTTTTGGCTTATGCCATACGGGTACCCTATCGGTGACGGTATCCATTATCCAGGTGCGTCCATAGCAACCACCAATTTATTATCCAACAGACGGCATCAAGTACCACAACTTCGTAGGGATATAAAGCCAATGATGGGGGAAAAGGACGCATTATTTGTGTCACCGGATGATAAAAGCAGCATCCCCATAGATGTGTCTACACAGGATCGCGAAGCGTTTGAATCGCAGTATGTACATGACACTTACAACATCATCGCACCTCATTTCTCTCATACTAGGTATATCCCGGTGACAACCTAAGACCTTACGTCGCTCAGATACAATCCGTGGCCCGGCGTTGTGAAATATATACGGGCAGCCAAACACCACTCAATCGTACTTGACGTTGGCTGCGGTAATGGCAAATATCTGGAACTTCGCAGAGATTTGCTGTTCGTTGGCGCCGACCGCTGCATGGGATTGCTGGAAATTGCGTATCAGAACAAGAAGTCGAACTTAGTCTGCTGCGATTGTTTAAGTTTGCCGTTCCAATCAAACATAGCGGACCTTACGCTGTCAATCGCCGTCATACATCATTTACCATATCCAGAACAACGCCGCGCGGCGGTTAACGAAATGTTACGCTGTACTAAGAGCGGTGGCACGCTAGTAATTTATGTATGGTAAGTGCTGCGACCAATACTTATAATTCATTAGCTCTAGGGCACGCGAACAACAAAGATGCACTGTAGGTTACCGTAAATTCGAGTCAGGAGATGTATTGGTCCCATGGCACGTGCAGGAAAAATACCGCAAAAGCAATGCCGTGGAGGCACCAGGCACCGTTCCGTCTAACGGCGTGAAGGTGTATCGGTTCTATCACGTTTTCACCCTTGACGAGGTGAGGCAACTAGGCGCATCGTTCAGCGATGTAGCGACTGTGGACTCGGTCGAGTTTGAGGCCAACAACTGGATTCTCACGTTAATTAAACTTTGATCCGTGGTGTTACGCCATTTCCTTAATCCACCTTCTCATACGCACCACAAACCGTAGCACCTACAACTGCAAAATGTCGTAACACACCGCACAATGCGCCGATAAGAGCCTTGATTTCTCATACAAGGTCTTGGCGGAATATGTTTACGGGTGCAGCCGTATCTGTTCGGGCATTGGTGTTGTGTCTGGCAACCACTTATGTCTACAGTTACTTATTTGTACACTGATACAACATCAAACATAAACTACATCAAGCATACACTACATCAGGTGGTTTGATTGACATTTGAGGGCGATGCAGTCCACGAATTTAAAGGCACGGAAGAGATCTTAAGAGGGCGAACGGTCAAAGGATTGTATTCGCACAATTTATTACAACTGAGAGGGAAAGAAAAGCATATTCAATTGCTTTACGAATGAGTTTTAAATAGCCCCTCCGCCTCCTCGGAGTTTCACTTTTTTTTACGTCTTCCTCTTGCGTTCTTATCGTCCTTTTTGCGTCGAAGCACCTTGCCTTGTGAATTCTTGACAACCGTCGACTGGGTTTTGTTATATTTTCTACCTTTAGATGCTTTATTGTTCGTTTTGATAGATCTTTTCGCCGACTCCTGGAGCTCCGCATGTGTTCTCCCTTTTCGGGCTACTCCGGCGTGGCTTTCCATTAGGTGGTCCATCTGTTTCTCCACGGAAATATTGCTGTTGCGATTTTTCATTAGCTTAGCCATGTCTTTTATGAACTCGTTCTTGCGCTGCCGTTGTTTCACCTGCTTATCAAAACCCTTCTTGACCTTAACATTCTGCTTGCTACTCTTTTCCTGGATTTTCTTCGTGCGTTTCGCTATTTTTTTCATCACCCTCTCCATCTGAACATCGCTCTTGATCATGTCGGCGTAGAAGTCTGTAGGTCGATTGAAATCAACACCTAATGCGGCCAGCTGTTGCAGTCCCCCTTTCACGCAGCTAGAAGCGATCTCTTTGAAATGTGCCTCTATTTTCAGAGTTTCGTTGCAATCAAAATCGTTTCTGCACGGCTGCTCATGAGTCACCGAGAGCGTTTCGATCCATGGCAGCTCTTTGCCATTGCATCCTGAAAGAATCTCTTGAATCTTCCCTACGATTTCTGAGAGTGAATAACTATGGCAATATATGCATTTTACCAGTTTCCTTGTAAATGTGTACAGGTTTCTCAACAGTTGTATCGATTGAAACGTCGTTTTCCGCCTCCTCGGTCAGCTCCGCGCTGTCTGAACGCCTATGTGAAAAGTTACCGCACGACCAAACCTGTAAAGCGCTCACCCGGCTTTAGCACGTAACCTAGAGCTCTAATTTGAAGAGGCATTTTGCGATACTAAAAACAACTTTGACGCGGCGAATTCGTGGGCAGGTGGCCGACGCCTGTGCCACCAGCACACGCATTTCAATTTCAATGACGCCAACTCTGATGAAAAAAAACAAGCAGACCGGAGGAGAAGTGACTCCTACTGAACCTGAGTCAAAAAAACAGGTCCTTTACATGCTTTCTTCCAGCCATACAGCCGAGACCAAACAGCTCCTCAAGGATTTATATCAACTATGTAAACCGTGCTCCATCTACAGGGAAAACTACCATAATGACCTTGACATTACTGATAGTTTGAAGATACAGATCAATGAACATAATCACCGCCTTGCCGAAATGATTTCCAACCGTTTAGGTTGCGGCCTATACGTGGTTGCGAGCTCCAACAAGAAAAGACCTATGAGTCTGGGGTTTGGCAGAATATACGATGGCAAGATATTGGACTGCTGCCAGTTGCGCGCAACAAATTATATACCGTTCGATTTCTTCAAGGGTCCCAAAGGTGGGTTGCATTATGAATGGTTGACGTTCTAACGTCGAACCCACGTGCTGGTCTTGATTATCTATTGGATGAGACGGTTTCATTTACATAAGTGCTAAATATATGGGAAATGAACCTTGTGCACGACATAAGGTGCCTAACCACGCTGCCGGTTGGACGATGCCTTTTGGTCACGTTGAAACGGCCCTCATACATGACGGCAGGCATGGCATATAATTTTGATTTAAACGCATCGTGATCAATAAGCAGTGATTGCAAAAAGCATTTATATTCCTAAATGGTATCAATTGCTACAGACCTCGAGATATCTCATTACTCGTATCCCCTGGTTGTCGCCCAGGGCGCCGGCTTCGGTGACGAAAGTGGGCCTATGCGTACCGTGCGAGACGTACTGATAGATGTGTTCAGGCCTCCTAAAACTGGACGTGTATCGCTTGAAGGCGTACAACAGGTGATAGTGCTCACTAGCATTGATGGAGAAGACGCAGAAGCGGCGCCGGGTCCCCGTAAAATCCTTTTCCGCCGGTACCAGGTCATTTTAAACAAGGCCAATGACGACCCCAAACTACCTAATGTGGGTCTTAGGGAGATTGGCCCGCGAATCGATCTAGAACTGCTCGATTGTATGGAGCCCGATCCCGACATCTTCAAACACGCCACGGCCGTGTTAAGAAAACCACAGAAGTTGATTTCAGGTGTCGGCAAAGAGCGTTCAGTGCCGGTGAAACGGAGGAAGAACCTGACAACCACGTCTCTCGGCCACACCGAGGGTCGCGTTTATTTAAACCGGCAGTCGCTTGATGAACTATACACGCCGCACACCAAAACTTTAAAAGCCAAAAGACATGGATAATTTATACAATGGAGAATAGGGTCTATTGGGAGAAGCAGGATCCACAATCAAAGTTATGTGCGCTGCACTGTCTAAATGCCTTCCTCCAGGTCGTTACACATAGCCCTCGACTAATCCTCTACAGGGTCCTAAGGTCACGAACGATGAGCTATTGGGGATTTCAAGGAGACTTGGTAAGACGGAGAGTGCGTTACTCGGAGCTTCGGGTCAGTATTGAAATACCACAGCAACAATCAGCGCAGGCAACCGCTCCCATGGCGCGGATGCCATTGGCTACAGCTACGACTCTGATGGAGGCGATTTCGATGTAACGGTTAGTTGTATGTTCGCGTGTATTAATTTTTGTACAGGTGCTGATAGAGGCGCTACGGTTGCGCAACTTTCTGTGCAACTATTACACGGTGAATGATATGAAGCTCAGCATGTTCCAAAGGTAAACCGATACGGCGCAATAATATATTTGATACAGAAGCGATCGGTGGGGATTTATCTGCAATGTGCATAAGCACTGGTTCTGTATTAGGATGCTCTTGTCCGACCAATGGTAGCTCCCTATCCGTCAGTTACCATTTTCCACAGGTTTATATTGGACAGCCTTCGACCCGGTCCTCAAGAGATAGAGTACGGATCTCTTTATTCATACATTACCTCTCTCTTGGAAATGAAACAGGGAGCAGTGTTCCTAGTGTCCCCGACGTTGCCAGGTATGAAGCTTCCTGTGGCTGAACCGAGGCTCTTCACACACCTGGAAAGCCATCAAATGTTCCTCACACTGAAAGAAATAAGAGGTATATTCATAAAATTCGCTACGGTAATGAAACTGCAGAAATGAATGATAAATCGAGCAACTACGATGTGAGTAATCTACATCTATTAGTCAAATGTTTTGTCAGGACGAGGAAGAAAAAAGCTTTCTTTATCGCGCTGGAAAGACAAAACAGGCGCCTGTTGTATGGCCTACTACTGGGGGCATCCGCCTGGATCAGTCAGCATTGCCAAGTGTCACAGCAGCCCCCGCAAAGGGTTCTGATCAGCCGGTAAGCCTTGTGAAGTTAGCAATGGTATGCATAAAGACCTGACTATTTGTTATACATATCTGTTTTTAATATAGCAGGTGGGTCCCCCGATGACATAAAGCTATACACTTGTTTTCGTAGCGGCTTGTTAAATGTGAAACTGTCTCCTTCGGCGGACAACAAACCATTGGAACCCTTTTTGTTCACTATGTGTTGCCATGGTGTTTTTTTTTATCTTTGATTATGACTGCTGCATTTTCCCACAGAATGACGATGAGTACACGGACGCGGACTCACGCACTGTCGCTGTCAAGCTCACCGGAACATTACGTATAACGCGCCGATTCAGTCCCAGGAGTGGCATTAACGAAGTGTTCACGTGGGTGGAAAAAAGCATAAAAACCACAGACGTCACGTTCTACACGTTATTACAAACCGTCCCCAACAGGCGGTTCGTGAAGTACGTCAACGGGTGCATAGAGAAAATACAAAATAACGGTACACCAGTTGACGTAGCTCATGTTTCTCTCGAAGAAGCTGGGTTCGAATCGCATGAGTTGTTCATTTTGCGTTGTGACTAAAACGCTCACCAAAGGTTTAGGTTCCAGATACGCACTTGCAGAACTCCGTAAGGTCGGCCGATTCGTTCGGCATACGAGTTACGAGGCGTACGCGGGCGTCACTTCCTGATTCTATGCCTGCTTTGTCTGCCAACCGCAGCAGATCTTCAACAGTGATGCGGTCTTTACCACCAGTGAGTCTGCCGAAGGTCCCCGCAATTATATCTTCAAGGGAACGAAGCTTGAGCGTGCTGTTTACGGCACCGATGAATGTCGAGAAGTCCAGTTCCTGGCTCTCGCTGCGGTTATCGTGACCATGTGTCGTTGCGTCGTCTGCGACTGTGCCCAGGCTTATCAGGTGTTTCATGGTATAGCTCAGTTCCTCACCCGAGAGATTGGTATCCAGCATTTCCGAGAATGCGTAATCTAATTCTTGCAGTCCTAGTCTGCCCCTCTTGTCACGGTCAAGCACCTTGAAGACAGACAAAAGCTGCTGTGTTTTCAACGGCCGTAGGGTCGACACCATAGCGTCCAGACAGGCCAAAAATAATGAAATTACACTCCTAGTATTATGCTATTGTATTAAATTGCGTACACATGTGAGGCTGTAGTGGCGAGGGTGTGCGTCAACCGAGGGGTGGCGCTCGCCGTGCCAATTCGTTGGACTGATACAACCGATACATTGCGTAAATACGATGGACCTCCTCGATGATAAGTCGCGACTCTTGTGCACCTGGAACGGAGGCGTGCTCCCACCGTAGCGACATGAGGACCTTCTGGTAGTGTAACAGTCCGTTTCTGACATCTCTGAGTTTCCTCAGCAAGGTTAGCAGTTCCCACCCCGTTTGTAATTGAGTTGAATCTTCGCTACTTTCGATCGGATGTCTCAACGCCGCGTCGCTGTCATCATTGATTAAAGGTTTACCGCGTGACCCAGCTTCCATATCACTTACGCTAGGTTCCCATCTACGATGAATGCCATCATTGAGGCCATATGCACGCGTATTACCTCCGCTGACACCATCATCTGCCTCTAGGTCTGTAATACTTGACTCCTTATATTCCGATGAATTGATTGTCCCTGGGCTCCCGCTGTCATCACCATCCCCTATAGGCAGATAAGTTGCGCCTGCCTCGCTGTTTTTATGGGTGGGTATTCTTCTCTCTGTTGTCTGTGTTTGCGATACAGTTCCGCTTTCACCGTTGGGTTGGAATGTTCTTTTGCCCCTATCATAGGTAGTGTCGCTGACTTCGTCATCCAATTCATCGTGACCCCTCTTCTTTCCACGTAAAATCTGTTCCTCCACTGCTATACCGTGGTCGTCATACACATCGTCCTCCATATCCTCTTGAGGCACCAATACATCACTGTCACTTGTCGTAATGGGTTGCTTTTCCAGATGTGGAAGTAGGCCAAAAGATTCACCGGGTGATTGAGGAGCCAAACCTTTCTCGGGGCGCACGAATCTTCCGGTTACATCATATACGAAGGCACTGTTGTCTGGTGCCACCATATATGTGTTCCCTGGAGAATCTAACCTGCGGTTGTTTCGGCTGCCGCCAGCTCGTGGGCGTACCCCGTCACTTCCTAAGCCAGCCACTTCGCGTGCCATGGCGTAGAGCTCATTGCACCTGGTAGACATGGTATACAGAGATTGTTTATGAGCGTGGACAACGCTCTGATTTTCTTTGATTTTATCTATCATTGCCGCAAGCTTAGCATACTCTTTGCACAGCTTGGTTGACATCAGAATAGGGCGTTTGTAATGCTCATTCCAAACCTCCACAACACGTGTTATTCTGTCGTTTAGGGTTCGGATGCCTTCTCTGTCAGCACGTTCTACACGTGCCTCCACACTCTTAGCTATTGTCTTGGAACGGTCGCACAGAGCTGACACTTCAGTTAATATTCGATCGACCTCGTGAAAACTTTTCTCGCCCAAAGTGGGACTTTTCATTAAAGCTTTTATGGCATTGCGTTTGTTGATCATGTTCGTACGGTAGCTTTCCAGAATTTCCCCGCTGCCCTTTGTGACCATAACGTCTTGCACTGCTACCATTCTCAGAGGCATGATTTCCGTATATAGAACATCTAGGCATAACAGATACGAAAACATGTATACTGAAGCAGCTCTAATGCGATTAAGGTGAAGGCGGAAGGCTTCAGTCGCATTGAACATTTGCTGATGCAGGTTCACGAGTAGCTTGTACGCTTCACCGATGCCCATCAACGACGAAACCGCGCTATTGATTACCACACCCGGAGTCGTGTAATGTCTCTCGAAATCAAGTTTGATCGTTTTATACCTTTCTATCACACCGCTATATATTGTAGCAGCCTCCTTCATTATATGTTTGCGAGCATCATCCGACTCCCGTACGCTGGTCTCTACTTTCGCGACGTGTAGTATATATCTGCGAACGAAAGAGAGGTGTCTCAGCCCAGTCTTATCCTCCAGCATTCGTGGCAACATATCCGTGTATCTGTCCAATGTGAAACGCAATTCCTCTCTTTTACCCGCAAACATATGGTTATATTTTTCTATTCGCCTGTATACACCGTCTACACAACTCATGGCCTCATCCGCATATTCGAGGAGTTTAGGACTAATTACCTTACTCTCCGGCCGTTTTTTAGCATCTTTAGTAGTATATATGCGCGTCAGCTTATCGATTCCAGATATTTCCTTGGGTAGCTCCCCATCCATCTTAAGAGGCCCAGAGGCATTCAAAGGTATGAAGACAGCGGCCTCATCTTCGTACTCCCACTCATAGCTTCGTGCGTCTGCATCATGATTGCCGCTGGGTGGAACCTCCCCAAACACTGAGGCTGAAAAACGCAGACCACCGAGGACTATCGCTGTAAGCGCTGCTGTCACAAATGTTCTAGGCAACATAATCTCAAATTAGGATTAAGTATTGTACCAAACGCAATCCACTTGATTCCTTCGCAGGCAATAATATATTATCTAAACTCTAAATATTTATGTGTTCCAGCAATATAGGTTGATCTCACGAAATTCGTTCAGAGCTATAACAATATCAATATAGATCCGATCGTTATTACTATTATAAGCAGCAGAAATGTAACGTGTGCGAAACTTTTGTGGTCACAAAACGAAAATTTTAAGCGAGAAGAAAAGTTTCGCAATGTGGCGTTCCAACCAGTGTGATCTGGAGGATACTGTTCTTTGTGAACTTTTAAACCGATCTGTTTCGCGGATTGTGAGCGAATACTCCACGTTTTAAGATGGCAGAAACCCCAAATCACCACGAACACATGACAAATAGAGCCGCGGATACCAGTCGATATCTATTGAATCTAATTTCCCACTGTTTTTCCTCCCGCTAAAATTAAAATCCCAGTATAAATTAGCACGATAGTGTGGAACCCGCAAATCAAATTAATATGCTAAGATGCAAAACAGCTGTGCGACGGCGCATAGTGGAGAAAGCTCAGTGGCTACATATTAAGCAACATGTTAGGAAGAGACAGCAGTAGCGACGGCGCTTGCGACCGTCCTCTTGAGCGGACCGTAATATTTCTGTTTCTCGGCAGAGGTTTGGAAACGACCATGACCCCATTTGCTTGACGTGTCGATAAAACGCAAATTGATTTCTGCGAGGGCCTCGCGCGATACCTGAGGTGCCAAAGTCTTGCGCAGTACAATCGGCCTCTTCTTAGTACCTACTATACACCCTTTAAGCATCAAAAAGTCTTCTCTCACAGGCCCGTAGTGCGGAAATCCACCCATCGGCGTAATTTGCTTTTCCGTGAGGTCTGCATCAGTCGACGCATTCCTGGGGTTGCTACCTAGACCTAATCTATAAATCTTTTTGTTACGCTCCGTGCGGTGGAAGTAACCCTTCTGTCCACTGCGTGGAACTTGGAATTGTACCCTAGCAGGGTGCCACGAACCGATGCACGCAACCTTGCGTAAACCCCTGTGTGTTTTACGCGGCAGTCGAGTCACACCAAAACGGCTTATAACACCTTTCATTCCATGGCCTTTGGTTACTCCCAAGACATCGATCATTTCATTTCCCGAAAAAACGGCATGTACAGGCAGCGGCTGCTCAAACATCTTCGTTATGTAGTCAACCTGTAAAACAGTAAGCAACGTGTGAAAATATAAAGCCCATAGAACAAAAATCCTTAAATAGATCTACGCCTCTGTACAATAAACAAGTGCACGACGGCGCAAGGCACCGAGTAACCGAAACCCTCGGATCTGGCGCGTTTGCGGCTGTGCCGTTCGACATGACACTTTCATGGTTTTCCCTACCAACAACTGACCCTGAGGGCGTGCAGAAAAGCACCGTTGGCAGGATTAGGAATATGAAAGTCACCGGGAATTTTGCAACTCGACCGGATTTTTATAGGACGCCGCCAAACCAAATATACGCAACAAATCAAATGCGTTGGGAGCAGGCACGACCGCGGTTGGTAACCACGATCAACGTCCAGAGGGGCAAACAACCACGTATAAGTAAAACATCTACCGAATTGCTCCAGGTATTTGATGTAACTACTTAAACCACAATTTCATCAAGTCATGCAATGCATGCCAATCACAGTCTTATACGTACCTTCTCTTGAACGGTGCCTCCATTAACTTGTATTTCTATGATGTAAGCCTTCTTCATAGAAAGCGGTGTCTTGGACGGTTGCGTGTGACAGATGGCCCTTACCACTGTGCAGTAGTTCGCAATGCGACTGATGTTTTTGCTCATTTTAGTCTCTGCGAACTTCTTGGCATACTTGGTGAATGCCTTCTTCTTCGACTTGTACCAATTCTTGTAGAATCTGCGTCTACACTCGTCGGACAAATGTCCAGCCCAGACTGTGCTAAGCACACGGAGACCCCTCGGCGTTTCAATATAGCCCACTAGTCCCACTACGATCATGGGAGGAGTTTCAACGATAGTTACGGCCTCTACCGTGTCCTTCTTGTGAAGCTTTGACCCTGGCTTGTCGGGCTCGTGGGTTACGTGTGTCATACCGGCCTTGTAGCCCATGAAGGCGGTGAAGTGTGGCGGTTTTGAAGGATCGTCCTTAGGAAAGGATCTTATCTTGCCCCGTTGCGTTTTGCATCTTTTTTTGGGAAAGAACCCGAGGGAACCGCTGCGCGGCCTCTCGAATTTGCGGTGGGACATTGTCAAATACTGAGCAACGTCGCAAAAATGGAACTTCCTGGCCCTTCGCGATACCTATAATTCGCGAGGTGTGCAGAATTAACGTTGAGTGATACACCGGCGTAATCCTGGGCCCAGCCCCCACGGGCAAGGTACGGCTTAAGGGGATATGGGGACCAGGGCGAGGGGATGTAACCAGCAAAAAGTACGTCGCACAGGTCGTAACTAAGCCTCTCTATAGTCGAATCAATTGTTTCCCCATTCATGTACCACTCATCTACGCCTTTCTGAGGTCATTCTGAACACGAATTGTGTGCCTTGTTTAGTTCGCTAGTTGTTGTGGAAGTTCAACATCTAACACATTGATATCTGCTAATCAGAATGAAATAAGCCACACGTAGCCGTCCACTTAATGCGACCTATGTCAAGAGCCCATCGGTTTTTGCAGAACTCGCACTGTCGCTTTCGGACGCGTCTTTCTTGAACGGTTTTTCTGTACTGTTGTGTTTTTAGTAACCCGTAACCACCAAAAGTTACAGTTGTTTAGCTTTGATGTGTGCGTGCCAATGTTATGTCACGGCAGATTTGTGTGTGTGTGGAATCTTCCGGGTTCGTTGGTATAGCAGACACACGCGTCCTTGGACGTGGTGTATTTTTTTTTCTTTGCATATTCACTCTATAACATGACACACCTTTAATAGCAGCGACGTGAGCATATGTTTAGCCTTTCGTTTGTTCTCAGCTTAATTTGGGTTTGCTTGTAAAACGCCCATGTCTAAAAAGGCGGTGGACGCGTTCACAGACGCAGAGAAGGTACGTTGAATATGCTATAGGTAAATGTAAGCATGGTCCAGGCGGCTTTCGAGTGGTCCCGGCGCCGCCGTGGAATTTCACGGGGAAGAAGGCGTCGGTCCAGGTCTCTGGAACGGATGTATCCGAAACATCACAGGAACCGCCGTCACGACGATAGTAGCGATTCGGATCATCCAAAGGATCCATTCAACCCTCTAAAATTGGCACATAATCCACGGCTCCGACGTCAACCGTCGTACGTTCGGAGACGGTCACCTTCTAGACGCTCGAATTCCCCCAACCAATGGGAGCATGACCTCTACCACAACGTTGAAGAACAGGTCGCGGAAGAATCGCGTTACCAACGTCGTCGAGTGGAACAGGATAACACTACACATGAATTAGACACTCGCCGAGGTTCGTGGCGATCCAAGGCAGGTGGTGTATATTTGCCTCCTGATGGAAGTAAAGGCGAATCCGATGATCTGTACTCAGATTACAGACGTAAGCGGAGTCGGTCACCAACTAGAAGGTCGTCAAGATCGCGATCATACGAGCGGCCAGATCCTGTCTACACACTAGACTGAAGAAGATTGTGTGTATCTAGGGGATAGCCCAAATGCCAAGTAACAATAATTATGCGAGGTTTTGAGACCGGCATACGAATGGGTGTTCTAAGTAGCAATGCGCAGCGTTGCCCCGGGGGTGGTGGTGTCAAACTTCCTTGCATGGTACAGGCACATTAAATAAGCAACATATTAACGAAGTGGTATTGCCGTCCGCAATTATTTTTATAGCACGCCATCACGTGGGTACGGGGACGGTGGCATCCCTGACGTCGGTATAGCGACATTTGTGTTGCTTTTTTTGCTAAAACACCTGGATGGCAAGGTATGTAGCGCGAGAAGGTTCTGTAAATTTCGATTCTTGCCCTCACTGGCAAGTATAACTTGCCGTAATCTGTAAGGCTCATTCGGATTGTGGGCGTCCGCGATCACACTTGTTGCAACTGTTGGCCATACTTTAGGCGCCAGGTCACCTCTAGAACCATGTTAACACAGAACTTCTGCTATGTAGACGGCATGGCAAGCGTCACCGTTTCGGCGGTCCTGGCGTATCGGTTGTGCGCGTACTCTATGTGCCGCAGGCGACCAATACCATATACGGATGCATCGGCCATGAGTTCTTGGCCATATAAAGGTTCAAATACACTGTATACAACCCAATTGTACCTGACTGTGTATCACAGAATTTATAACAGCTATTGTGAGCTAACTTATCGTTTATGGTAGATTTTACCTCCATTTTTGCAATGTCAGAAGGCTGAAGACACATCCGTCTACGTAGAGCTACCGGAAAAGTGTATACGAGTGACATTCCAAGGTGCATGGTGTGGATGGATTCTATCGGATTGTTTTCACAAGTGGGCGGAGCTGGGGAACCGGGTGTCAAATCTGCGAATATATACCCAAACCACAGACTCCTACGTTATGTACACAAGATCTAGTTGCGGTTACATATTTAAGACGTTTCCGCAGAATAAAGGTGTTAAGTTCACTCTGCTGTATGTTACATCGTTTGAAAAGTTACTGCGTTTTCCATATACACGTTATTGAGCTTCCGTGACCAATACCCCCAATTTACAGTCGCACAAACGATTAAAATGGAAGGTGTAAATGCCGATAATCACCAAGTGCTCTTTCTCACCGCTGGTGAGGTAGACAAACGCATTAAAGAGGCGCTTTATTCCAATGACGTCGGCTGTCCAGAAACTGTGCTTTACGAGCTTTCTCAGGCCACTTATCATGACATATTTATGAAGCGGATATCTAAGGCAGTGTGGCGCTGCTTAAATTCCAGTGCAACTCGCTGTAGGCGCATACAAAAGGCCCTCACGTTGCTCACGTACCTCGTCATAAACGGAGCCGATGCGTGCACCATCGATGTAATCAACCACCTCGATGACATTACGACACTTCATAACCTCGTTCTACCGGCACCGAACGGGGAACTCGAATATATAATTAAGGAGAAAGCAATAAATCTGGTGAACCTTGTTTGTGACCCGGAGCTGCTCGCAAAAAAACGCAGGGAGTTTGCCGCCCTGCGATCGCGCTTCGTCGCAGTGAGCTCCAACAATGGACATGTGGAGACTCAAGTGTTACACAAACCCATATATGCCGTAGAAACTCGACCAGGCATCCCCTTCTCGATAGCGGCGAGTGGTTCGAAGATGTGGAACTTCCTTACCAAGCGTGGCGATGACAAAGGAAAGCCCCCCAAGAAATTTAGCATCTTTAACCTGTTAAAGAAAGACCCTGAATCAACTAACAACACCGCCATGCGCGTACCAGTGTTGCGTACTGTAGACGGCAGGACGACGGTGGAGTACCGAAATCAGCCCATATACGCCAGAGCCGACAGGTACGACAAAACCATAGGCGACACAGGGTACTTATTCAGACCGACTTACCACGTGTCATCTGGCAGTTCCTATGATACGCGAAGCATCAGTGATGACCAATCGGAGTCATCTCTGGAATCTGAAAGTGATGTACCCAAACGCAGAGAGGTATACCACAGGAGCGTTGTTGACTCCCTTTCCAGATCGACCAGTCGCAGCCACAGTGCCAGCGATTACGAAACATCTTGGGAGGAGTACAACGAGCGTCGTGGCTTATATCCTGCGAAAAAAGAACTTGCCAGACGATCCACCCACGCCATGACTGAGAGTCATAGGAACGAGTTGTCGCCCATCAAACAGAATATCTATCCACATATTGACCGTGACGTACCACATGGTAGGCGCAGTAGCAGGCACTTAGGTGAGGATGCATACACCTATAATTATTACGCTGAAGAAGATATTCCCAGCATCGCTGATGAGCCCAGCCGTCTAAGTCTCCATGTCGTGCGAACCAGTAACGAGCCGCATCTAAAATCACATCATGATTTCAAAAACCATGGGATAGCTGGCTTTCACGATGGTGTCCCGGGGGCAAGACGCGCCACTAACCCGTTCGGGCATATGACACGCTATTGAGAGGGTGGAGTAGGATGAATTTCACCTTCCTCAGTTTCATCGTCCTCCGGAGGTGGAACCTTTTCAAAATCACTTTGTTCTTTACAATTGTACTGCAACAGGCGATCCACATATCCTTTACAGCCGGCAAGTTTACGGGGAAAGGATGGGTTTAGGCCTGACGCCTCATGCCACATCTTCATACGTGTCACACGCCGAGCACGCTTGGAACTGCATGTCACTCATTCAATAATAGCAATAAACATACCGCGAAGAAGTGACTGGGATGGGTTTCACGTACGGCAGGCAGCACCTAGGAAGCCGCGTGGCACAGGAAAATGTGGATGCTTTAAGCACCACGTAACTACTGCCATTTGCTCGTTTAAATTGCTGCGGCAGCCGCTGCACGTACCGCAACTTAATCCACTCCCCTGGTTGGATGCGATTGTTCGACTCCAGCAGATTGGATACCAGAATGTCGTTCATGCCCATAACCACAGCCATAGATGTGGAGTCGCTAACAACCAAGTTGACCTCTGGTTCCGGTGTGACTTCCAAGACGCAAACAACAAAATCGCTGGCGGCTTCACTTGCACCGGCAATGGTATGCAGGAAGTTGCGATTACCAGTAAGTTCTGCGGCATCCAACTTGGTACGTACCCATTCGCGTAGGCGAGAGATTATTTCGAGATCCTCGTTGTCTACCCGTGTGCGATTTCCCCCGTAAATTAGCAACGCTTCGGACTCCAGTTGCTGTAAAGGGTCAGGTTGACTTTGCTGGTGTGTCTGGTCCTCACCAGCAGTGCCTTCGTCACCCTTTTCAGGCTCATCTGTTCGAACTCGACATTCTGAGTTCGGCCACACTCTCATGGAAGGGTGATTTTTCAGGCTCATGATGATGTTAATGTGCCGATTCCCCGATTTATCCACTACAAGTTTGGTGTCCACACGTTTCAAGCGGATGATATCCCCGTAGTTCACGTGGAACTGATTGGTACAGTTCGGCGCCAAAATTTGTACGGAATAATCTATATCATCACCTTCGGTGGTTCCGTGGATGGAGGGATCGATGGCACGATAGTTTAACAGATCACGTTGCGTGATTAGATTGCGCACCGACGCTCTTATCATCTCGACCGCCACCACATAGACGTTAATTCTCGTCATAGTTTCCTTCACATGAGAAAGGGGGAGGTACTGACCCGCCGGTGTTAGAGGTTTCGGAGGGCACGTCACTTGTACCCTGCGCTCCGCCGAAGCCTCAGATGTCACGTTATCGCACATATCATTCCCCACTGGGGATGATGCCTCTGGAGACGCAGCGGATACGGTTTTTTGAGGAGTCATAGTACCAGCAATGATAGGATCGGTTTGCGCCCAGTCGTCAGAACGGAGGTCTTCCGCACTTCGGGTATCGTATTGCACCGACGAATCGGAAGATCTTGATGAGTCAAGCCTGGAAACCGGCAGTCCAAACGAATGGTGAGTAATTTCAGGGGCAAGGCGAGGGCTGGGGTGTGCATGGGTACCGACAGGTGACTGCCGCGATAGAGCCTGAATTTGGGCCCCGGTCACGGCATCAATTTGTTGGCGCATTAACTCCAATATTTGCGATACTCCCACTGAGACAAAGTTAATGCCGACCATACAACAGACGAAATGTAACGAATGCACAATATACCCGTTTCAATAATGATGTTGATGCAAAAGCGAATTCAAGAAGTCATGTAACAGCGAAGCTTTGACAGCCAGATGTGCGCAATGAGTTCGCATACGCTCTGGAACTGACATAAAGCATACACATCTACACATATAGCATACACGTAATCCCCAACCGGATGAGCCACGTGATGTAGCGCACGTTAAATCAGTCCGCTCAGCCATTGCATTCCTATCAAGGAACCTACCATTCCCTGACGTGCCAGCGTCGATCGAAGATAAGGACGTATGTTCACGCTCAGCATGCGCCTCTCCTAAATGCGAGTTAAAAGTGAGGGCGTCAAACACTACCTGAAGAACGTGCCACCGTTAATATGGTTGAGAGACCCTCTACAAAAGGATCGTTAGACGACTCTATAGCACCGCGACGTTCGTGCAGAGCACGCCGTATGGTAGCTATCCTATTTTGCCAATCGCCGCCGTTATAGTGGGACGAAGTATGAAGTGTGTCCAGCAACTGGTTAAGGGTGTCGAGGATTCCGTGTACCATCATGAGCACAATATTGCGTGTGGAAAAAAACTCAAAAATTTGCACATTATATTTACAATGAATCCGCCGAAAGTGGTCGTAGTCCTGGAGGATGCTACTGTGTTAAGCACTGAGGTACGTCCCATATAGTGGCACGCGCGCCGATTTCATCGTCGAAGGCCGCGAAACTAAGCCGGTGGTTCGCTATATATGTGCTATGCAGAAGGAATCCCGAGTAGACATTCTTCACCAATGTCTTTTGGTTCTGTTAGACAGCCCACTCAATAAGGTGAGATACTAGGGTGTACATTCCATGTCACTCAGAATGGTCTTCTCAAGGTTTTCATTAGAACGGATGACAATACTCTCATTGATGTTTCACCACATCTACGCGTACCGAGAACTCCGAAACAATTTGACAGCTTGCTTATACACCTCATGTACAAGCGGCACGTAAAGTCACAAGAGAAGGACACTATCCTCATGCGAGTAAGAGCTTCTGGGAAATGTGTCTATACGTATGCAGATCGTGAAGAACGATTTGGAAATTGCACTGTCGCCAGGATCACGACGGTTCGGCCTCTCAGTAGGCGGTAGACCGGTGAAACTCAAGGAGTTTTGCCAGCAGTTTAAAGACGCTGACTATCCCGTGGTTTTCCACATCGGCGCCGTATCGCATTCGCAACCAAAAGGGACGGTTAACCAGGTTGAAGAGGTGCTGTCGATATCTAGCCACGGTTTGACAGCAGCGCATGTCTGCGCAAAGATATGCTGCGAACTAGAGTTGCTTAACGGAGTGGACTGACTACGACTGAGTCTGTGAGGCCTCGGATTCAACTTTATTATAACGTGATCGGTATCATAAACGACAGTAATTTTAGGAGTGCCACAACTTGCTAGAATATTGAGAGCAAGATCTGCAACGGATAGGGGGCAACATTTTATAATTGACCTGAATTGTCGAATGTTTGTGAAAAGCATCTTCAAGCAGAAAGTTCAGTGTGAAACACTTATAATGCAGCTCTTAATTATTAAACATTAAACTGAGAGTAGTCATGAAAAGTTGACGGTATATTACTCGTGCGATTTAGCTTGAAATATCTCCTCAGTGGTGTCGTGAGAAGGGTGATATAACCGAGGAGAGTAGCACATTTGTAATGCGCGTGGCACGTTGAATTCCGCTCATGATGCGGGTGACGACAAATCCCAGCGTCCTGCTCATAACATTAGAAGTTGCCTGACGTTTCGCTACAGGTTCAACATTCTTAACATTTTCTTCTTCAATATACATTTCACGTTTACGCTTAGTGGAGGTTGAACGCTTGGGCGCCTCGTCACCGTGTTTCTCTGGGAGTTGAGCCTTTACTTGTACGGTGCTCTTTTCGTTGCGCACCTTTTTAGTTTCACTCCTTCGACCTTTTCTGACAACCTGTGTCGGTACAGCCTTAGAGGTCTTGACGGCAACGACTAATTCAGATTTTTTCGTTTTTGTAGCCTGCTCAGTCACAGCCGTGGGCCTTATATATGCTCCATCGCGTCTTTTCTTGGCACTCCCCTTGGGCTTAGCGGCCTGTGTCGCTATTACTAGGAGCACAAAAAGTGAAAAGGATGCATACTACAAAGTAGGCGCATATGCATGTTTACGTTTCCACGACGAAAACACATAATACTACATCAACACACTACACCTATACATCGAAATTGCTAGTGTGTTAATTAAAAGTGTATCCACGCCGTTCAAAAACGGCCAAGTTGTTCAAGGCATTGGCACACACTTCGCTACGTATGCACTCACCCTCGATTGACCTCCGTTAGCATTGGCCATCTCTGAAGTGTGTAAAGTAGGCGGCAGAGCCTATGTTAACCACCAATATAATTGTGTCCTTCAAAACTAGATTTTCTTTCTAAAATGTTGCGGGGCCAAAGCGGCTGCACTCATGTGCTCGCAGATGGCTGGAGAGGGCTACCTGCGCGTGTCGTCAGGGTAGGATTCGAGGGTAATCTCCTACGAAGTATACACACGAGCATAATGTACTAACCTCAAACTTTCCTCCCAAGAACCGCAGTGCCGCTGGGTACGTTTTGCAGACATATTCCTGTGGGCTGTCGGTAAGGGTTATCCACGCAAGCGTTGCCTTCGGTTCATCTTCCGCTCGCCTCTTTACCAGTGAAACAAACTCAGGAGTCGCAGAGTCGCCGTCAAATACCATTAGGAAGAGGGGACTATCGGCCTCCAGAGTCTCGAGCATGAGACGGAGCTCTTCCGCACTTACTTGCGGGGCGTCTGCTTCAGAGTTCGGGGCATCTGATACAAATTCTCCCACATAACCTAAGTACAACCGTTGACGCGCCTGCACGAACTCAAAGTCGTATTGATAGCAGTTTTCTGTGTTTTTGAATGCGATAACTGCGTCCAATGGCGTAGTATAACCCAAGCGTTGCATCTCTCGATACACCACTTCAATTTCGATGCGATCTGAGAGGCCCACGTTGTTGGCACTCTCGCTTAACATTGTTTGCTTAGCGCTAACTACCTTAGCAATAACCGAGAGAACAAACTGTTTCGTCATTCCCTCACAATGCTCAACACCTGGGCACCGTGGGTAGCCGCCGTCCAGCACCGCGTTGTACATCATCTCTACTCCATTGATGTACATTTGCACTTGGTCATCCTGATCATAGATAAGCAACAGCTTAAGGTGGTCAGAGATGCAACCGGTCACAATGCATTGCTATCAAACTGAAGCGGTAATCCAACCGTGTAGTACACGATAGCTACAATACCATCGGTTTAGCCAGTACGAGGGAACATCATGTGATACCGCACCATGATAGAGTATGCATTACAGGTGACACTTACGTTTCGAAATCGTTCTATGGCTTCGTCAAGCCCTGAAGCGTCCAAGCCAAATTCCTCCAGTACGGAATCCTGTGCCTTCCTTAGTTTTAGCTGGACCCATTCCTGGTTCAAAAGGGCCCGCACAGACTCTTTAGAGAGAGGGGTTTCACCATTGTGAGCTGCGGCTACGCTGTTGATGGCACTGGGAGAAGTCAAATGGCTAGGCGACACACCCACCTGGCAAGGTCGTTGAATACGAGAAACAACGCTCGTGAATTCTTTTGCAGTATCGGTAGTAGCTGGTAAATATTGTCAAAAGAGCTGTTAAAACGCGTCAGCCACGAAATAAGGCGGTTTTTTCGCCAGCTCCCAGACGACAGGAGGCATGCCGCCGCGACTATCACCGCCAGAGTCACTAACTCGAACTTGATGTCGCGTACCTTGGCAGCCATTATAGGTACGTTTATTAAAACCTACAAAAACGTGTCTTTCTTACGAAGATTCTCCCCATAGATGCCTAAAATCAAAACGCTGCCGCGGAAAATACGCGTCGCATTTCCTAGATATGGAAAACCAAGAACTGGTTCTTCAAATTCGGCAACGAATTGAAGATTTTATTGTAAAACTTGAAGATAAAATACCTAGCGAAACAGAGGTGAGTAGACCACTCTTCCCTAAAATGAGTTATCATCCTGTAGGTTCAAGACATACTTGGAAATCTTCGACAACTGGACGAGGTAGACATCGACAGGGACTTGCTACAGAATACACGCATTGGTGCGATACTGACTAAATTGGCAAGGCATTCTTCCGCTAGCATCGACGCCCTGAAAAGCACAGCAGTCGAGCTAACTACAAAGTGGAAAAATGGCTTACGTAGACAAACATCAGGTGATAATGTCTCGGAGGACGCCCCTTTGAAACGTCAGAAGACTGAATCAACTGAGGAAACTTCTCCCAATGAGCCAGAGTACCAATACCTGTTGCACAACCAGGACATACGTGATAAGGCGCTTTTATACATATTCAGGGCTCTGATTACTGGTAACGAACGCAAATATGATCATAAAAAGGCCAGCAAACTTGCTTACGAAGTCGAAAGTGGTCTTTTCTGCAAATACCTCGTAAACAAAGGGAACCAAAAGGAGTACACTCTAAAGCTCAAGTCTATAGCCTTCAACCTTAAGGACCCAAAGAACAGAACATTCAGCGCCAAAATATACAATGGTGACATCGAGGCCAAGGGCGTTGCTTCCATGGAATCTGCGGAGATGGCGAGCGACGAGAAGAAGATGGAACGCATCAACATTTTGCAAGAATCGCTGGAGGCATGTCAGTCCGATTGGGCGGTCAAGAATATACTCATGTCAAAGGACGGTAACAAAAAAGGGCAGTTCAAGTGCTTTAAGTGCAATTCGTCAGATACTGTATACCACCAGATGCAAACTAGGTCAAGCGATGAACCGATGACCACGTTTGTCACATGTCTGCAATGCGCCAACCGATGGAAATTCTGAGGCTACGCTGCCACATTCATCGTATCGCAAAAATGAAGAAAAAAGCGTTTCGTATGAAATGGCAAGGTCAAAAATGGGCGCTTTAAATTGCAGCACGTTATCCCATAAGTCATCATCAGCAGGATGTCATGCACAAACAGTCCTGCTTAGACATATTCGAATCGAAATCAACGCCGTGTTTATACACCCGCGTCATCATCGGTTCTAATGAGCATTTAGGGATTGCGGCTGTTGTTGAATATATGAATTCTATCCAGCACTATTATTTTTACAAGGTGGAGCATGATACTGGTTTACCCCCGTCTTACAAACCCAATAACTACTACACATCGCTTCCAAACATCATTTAATCGTATCAATGCTACTGGCAGTTCTTGATTGTGACATATACGATGAAACGCCGATAGGATGTCGCGCGTAGCGTGCCGTTCGCTGAATGGCACATCAGCTACGGCATAACCTGTAACCTTGCAGTATAGGCATTCCATACGTTTCTAACCACAATGGATTGGCGGTCCATTGGTTCGTCGTTTACCCCTTCCCTCGAGGCGAAGGAAAGCCACACATCGAGCAAGTACCCATTCGAAGTGGTTAGAGATGACGTCAAGCCTCCGAAATACGACAGACATCAGTATGTAGTTGGCATACCTTTGGAATATCAGGAAATAGTTTTGGATACTTTACATGAAACTACTCGCAGTGTCACAGGGAAGCGCGAAACTACCAACAGGCCATTAGCAATTCCAGATGTTTATGTACCATTAAATCGATACTACGGCAAAGGTAGTCGCTTGAGTAGTGACGATGAGCTTGTCAAAAGAAAAGTTGAGAGCTTCAAGGAGCTGAGCCTGGACCATAGTGTAACGCCATCACTAGATGTTTGGCTCCAGTATATCAGGGCAAAGGCCGCAGAGTTGATTGCTATAATGCAACACAATGATGAAGGTATCCCAGAATGGATGTTAGCCCGAATTACTGAGGAGCAAGAGGTAGAGGTTGCCTTACAAAACTGTGAACTTTTGTGCAAGTTAAGCGGCATCGTGAAACGTACACGCCAACTGGAATGGCGAGGGATAAATGGCAACGAGGCTTTGGCATACATGTTTACAATCGTGTTATTCTATAAGAAATTTGTGATACCTGATTTTAACGATGTGCTAGATGCTGTAAAGTGGATCAAAACATGGTCCAACGACTACATAAGGATCAATGATCTCAGACACGAATTACCTGTAGATTTGCACCAAACCGTATCAACAGAACCTCTATACTGGGAATACATTTCGGGAGTTGTAATCCTTGCTAAAATGCCGCACAACAACTTTCTCAGGGTTGCACAATTTTTCATGAATCATCTGCACAAAATGAGCGACATGGAATTATTACGCGACAAAATTGAAAAGTCTGTAGTTGTGTTACTTACAGAGTGTATTTTACCCCGTCTTTTCTCCACGGGCCACTATGCTCTCGGCGTCAACTTGGTCAGACACTGGCTGGCGTACAATTTGTTTCATAACAACAGTTGCGCGAACTTTGGCAATCTCTCCAAGCATTACCTCCTTCACAGCCTTGCAATAGTTCAAAGAGAGTGCTGCGTTGACAAGGGGATGCTCATGGATCTGTGTGACGCCGTTGATTCGAAGTTACTGGAAACCACTAATGACCGTGTTGAATTAGGATACCTTAAACCTCTGGATTACTGCACTGTGGAACCGATAGAGATCGAAAAATTGCCTATCTTTCCACTTCGTTTGAGCTCTGTAAACACCAAAGAATTACTATTTAGGGTCCTCGAGTTGTTTGGAAGCGAGTCGTTGTATCGTGTCAGCAGTTGGAGCAAGTGGTACAATTTCGTCAAGTCTGTGATGCTAGACACTGATTCTTCAAAGAATTTCCGCATTCTGCTGTTGTTACATGCCATAATTGCACGACCTAGCTCCAAAACCCTTGCAGATTTGTTAATACGTGCTTGTAACTCCAAGGACATATCAAAAAAAATTTTGCATCTCCATATGAATCATGCTGAGCTCTGGGAATCGTATGCCAGTTCCACTACAAATATATCTGATGCACAGGGAGTATATAAGGAAGCCATTGAGGTTTTCCCAGATTACTACCCACTATTAGTTTCATGGGTTATATTTAGCTTGGAACACGCGCATGACAGCCTTGAGGAAGCCGTCAGATCTCTTAGGAGTCGATTAAATATGCATCAACATGACAATTCTACTGTTACGGACAATGCAGACGATTATGACGACATATTGCGTCTGATGATACCTTCACATGTTTGTGCAGCTGCCATCGCCTGGACATTGTCGAACAAACATGTGCTGCACGAAAGCCATTACAGAGCAGTATGGAGGAAAATGGTGGAACCATTAAATGAATGTGAGATGACTCAACTGCTAAAAGTTGTGTGCCACTCGGTTCCCCCGAAGTCGGCACAGAAACTTGCGGATTTTATAGTTAGTGTCTACGGCAATAACGAAATTATAGTTGCTCTGTATGTTACCTACAGCATTTCCAAGGGGAATAAGCCGGCTATAAAGCGGCTGTTGACTAGGGAGCACACCATACCCCTAATTTCACTCGCCAGCAGACACATTGAGCGTTTCGCATCTTACGCTCGAGGGGCGGGTGTATACGATTGTACCTCAAGGCTAATGCTTTTGAGTAGATCGGAAACGGGTGTATGTGCATTGAGGTCAATAATTGAGGGCCCAATGCCTTTTAATGTGCCCAAGGTTAGAGTGTTGCTGTACATTTTAGCGAACACACCGAAGACATGCGACCGAATTCAGCTCGTAAGCAAAAATTGCGCCTTCTCGAAAGCATTGTGGTTAATCCTCGTCAAACATCTCCCGGCATCTAGCGAAATTATGATTGAAGAAATGAGATCGTATGGAGTCATGGTATAAACACGGCTCAAGGTTTCGTTGTAATGCAGTCTAGATAAACACAGCAGTGAACAAACAACAAATACACAACACTGGCATTTAATGTGAAAACCTACATGATCATTGCTCCATCCTCGGAAACTGACAGTAGAGCAAATTCATCGTCACATGGAAGAGTCACAATATCCAGTACTGTTGACTTGTGCGGTCTAGTTTCGCTCAACACTTTGCCATTTTTTATTGCGTAGAGCTTACCACGTAAGCTGCTAACTGCGACCACCGGCGTTGAAGGCACCCAAACCACGCGTGTCAGCCTTTCTGATAACATAACGACGTGAAGCTTTGCCATACGCTCACAGTCCCAGGTTATTACTCGCCCATCATGACCTATGCTCACGGCCATCACTAATGATCCCCCAGAACAAAACTTCACCGACTCCACAGTGTCCGTGTGGTCCTCCAAGAATGACGCAGTTACTGTATTCTTCGATAGTTCGACGAAATACAATCCACCATCGTATAACCCAGCCATGGCAAGCTGCACTGTGTCGTGACAGTCTAGGCAAGTCACTACTTCTCCGTGGAGAAGCACGTCGGTCACGTTACCAACGCTGCCGTCCGTGTATCGAGCTATGCTAAGATGCCCATCGTCACCACCCAAGACTGCAAATGAGCTGCCGTTGTAAGTACAAAATTTGCCACAAGAATTGTTGTCCTTTGTAGACACGCACGCCGTTGTCTCCGACTTGGCATCCCAAATGAAAACTGTGTGCCCTGAGCCTCCAAACATTACAGCGCTGTTGTCCGAAAGCCACGAAATCCACTCGATCCCATCAGTAGGCCCGTTCACCGTACACATTTGAGTGTAATCTTCCCCTCTAACGTTGTAAATCAAAAACAACCCATCCATACAGCCGAGAGCCAGGTAAGAGCCATCCGGAGAGTACGCACATGAGCTCACGGTTTCCGAAAAGGGTCCTAGCGTTGTTTCACGAGAATCCGACCCACCTAAAGGTGTTATAGATGTATATGTGCATCACTTACCATTGATAGACTTGAAGTCTACAACTAAGCACTTGTCATCCCTTGAGCCTACTGCTACGTGCGCAATTTCTGGGAAAGTCGGATGAACAGATAAAGACAGCAGTTCGGAGCCAAATTCCTTATTCCAACACACGTAATCGGTGTCCAAATCTTTGTCGTTAGTGTCATCTTCTTCCTCGTCTACGACACAATCCTCCTTGAGGTAGTAAACGTCGTCATTGACTGCATCCTTCTCAGCGATCTCGTGGAGGTTCTTGTCCGCCATTTTAAAATTGTTTGGTGTGTATTTATTATCTTACGCAATAAGATAGGAGTGCCCTGAATGGACCTCAGTGTGCTGCGCGCAGCACCAGTGAGGCAGATTCAGCCGTGTACCATGAGAAAGCATCTCCATAAGGGTGTTTTACATATAGGTCAATAGTAATGGTGCTAGATGGTCTGGCTGAGCTCCAAAGTCTCAGTACAGCTGCAAAGATTGCCCAGATTTTGAAGAATCACCTAGACATAGACCATCCAGTAAGTGACCAAAAATCCTGTGCACATTGCTCCTTAGGATCTCGTTGACTTTATAATACACCTGGCTAAAAAAGCAAGAAGTGCCGTTGAGTTCAACAAGTTGTTGGATGAAAATGAAGCCGAGATTCCTACGGCCCTCGGTGAGCATTTGTTCAATACCGTGAGAACTTTGGATCCTCCCCGAAGTAAAAAAGGTACATCTCATCACTATATGATGATGAAATACATGGTCATAGGTACATGGGATGACGTCATAGCTACTGAGGATGACGAAAGACTTAACTTTCCTGCCCTATCCATAAAAAATAGCTCCATTCAAACTGAGCAACAGCACAAAATCGAACCTAAGAAAGAGGTAACAGTGAAATCACGAATATTATTAAACGACGAGCAGGGTGAACTTTCTGATTGGGCTAAGCAACTTTTGGAGCGAGAGACTCCTGGAGTATCTGATAGTGGTAGAGACCGGCGTCATGAAACACATCGCCACGACCGCTCGGAAAATTCCCATCGCCGAAATGAAAGGGACCGTCGAAGCAGGGAAAGGTACGATCGACATCACCATGAGCGTACCGATCAAGATTACAAAAGGGCCAAGTATCGCAGCAGGGGAGGGTACGACAGTGACCCCAGTTTGGAAAGGGATGAAAGGAGCCACCGTGCTGACTCTCCACCTCCGTTAGAGGTTAATGGCCCTATATATCAGGGACGAGTTACGAACGTTATGGATTATGGCGGTTTCGTACGGTTCCGCACGAAAACAGGACCGTACACTGGTTTGGTCCACGTATCAGAGATTTTGGCGGGAAGCCGTCGACTATCGGGAGCCGATGAAGTGTTAACGGAAGATATGAGAGTTTATGTGAAAGTAATTGCGAAGAAAGGGGACAAGATCAGCCTGTCCATGAAAAATATCGACCAGGAAACCGGAGAAGATCGCAATGGTAAAACGTCATCTACATCTGGGTTTCGTGACTCCGATAGCGGTGCCGCGGACAATAGGCCACAGCTCACAAATATGCCCCCGGATGACTACTCCTATGGAATGGCTGGCAGAAAACGGCGCATGGTGACGGACCTTGAACGGTGGGAGCAACAACAGCTTCTTAACAGCGGAGTGCTCACTAAGGGTGAAAGGGTCAGCTTGGATTTAGCTGCAAACAACGATTCGGTTGAGGAAGAAGAGATAGAAATAGAGATTAATGAAGCGTGCCCGACTTTCCTAAAGGGACAGACAAGACGTTCCGGCATTGAGCTCTCACCGATCAAAATCGTTTCGAACCCTGAGGGTTCACTAGCCCGTACCATCGCTACTAGTTTTACAATCGCAAAGGAAAGACGTGAGACCGAACGACTGCAGGAGGAGACTATGATAAGAGCATCTGGCCATAGTAATACCGATGCATGGGGAGGTGTAGGTGGGCGCCAAGGAGAAAACAGCGCAGCACATTTTGTGAAAGAGTTGCAAAAAGCCAATAATTTGCAAAAGCGAGACGCAGATCTGCGGGAACGCTCTGGGTCGAGTCGTGCGCAACAAAAATCAACATCGATACGTTCTATGAAGGAACAGCGTGAATCTTTACCTATATTCCCTCTACGCGAAGAGCTGCTTCAAGCGATACATGAAAACAATATACTCATTGTAGTCGGGGAGACTGGTAGCGGTAAGAGTACACAAATACCGCAGTACTTGGCTGAAAGTGGTTACACCTGTGGACAAGACAAAAGCATCAAAGTCATTGGTTGTACGCAGCCCAGGCGTGTGGCGGCGATGTCCGTTGCCAAGCGCGTATCAGAGGAAGTCGGATGCCGACTGGGCCAAGAAGTTGGTTATTGCATCAGATTCGAGGATTGCACCACAAAAGACACCATGATAAAATTCATGACCGATGGTATGCTTTTGCGGGAAGTTCTCCAGGACCCTCTACTGGACCGATACTCCTGCATTATGCTAGATGAGGCACACGAACGCACAATAGCTACAGATGTTTTGTTTGCGTTGCTCAAGGTAGGTGGTTAGGTACTCTACACTATATGGCTACTCCATTAGACCGAAGATGACCATAGTGCATAAATCCACAGCACTCTGGACAGGTACCGGTCGCATAATAAAAATGCCAATAGTGTTCATGTGTTATTAATATACATAAAGGTATAATTGGCCACATTTTGGTTCAGGAGTGTTGCAGCAAACGTTCTGATTTCAAGCTCATCGTCACCTCTGCCACGTTAGAAGCTGAAAAGTTCTCAGCTTACTTCAACGATTCTGGCATCTTCTCCATACCAGGGCGGATGTTTCCGGTGGAAATATTGCATACTACGGAACAGGAGAGTGATTACATGGAAGCTTCGCTGATCACGGTATTGAACATTCACCTAAACGAACCTGCCGGGGACATATTGCTTTTCCTTACAGGACAGGAGGAGATCGAAGTAGCATGTAGAACATTGCACGAGCGGATGAAGAGGCTGGAGTCGATGTCACCTCCTCCGCTCATTATTTTGCCCGTGTATGCTGCATTACCAGGTGAAATGCAAAGTGCCATATTCGAGGCCACACCACCCGGATGTCGAAAATGTGTCATAGCCACCAACATTGCGGAAGCTTCTTTAACGATCGACGGTATGTTTTAGTTTCCCCATGCAGTGAAATATTGCGCTACAGGAATATTTTACGTAATCGACCCCGGCTTTGCAAAGGTGAAACGGTACAACCCGCGCACAGGCATGGAATCCCTTGTAGTAGTGCCAATATCGCAGGCTAACGCCAAACAAAGGGCTGGCAGGGCAGGAAGAACTGGCCCTGGAAAGTGTTACAGGCTATACACGGAGGATTCCTACCGGTCTGAAATGCTGCCGACTGCAGTCCCAGAGATACAGCGCACAAACCTTGCGAACGTAGTAATTTTGTTGAAGGCCATGGGTATAAACGATTTCCTGAATTTCGACTTTATGGATAAGCCTCCTGTGGAAACATTGATAGATGCTTTAGACAATCTGTACCATCTTGGTGCCCTGGATGACGAGGGACTGCTAACGCGGCTTGGACGTAAAATGGCGGAATTTCCTATGGATCCCAACCTTGCTAAAATGCTGCTTACATCAGTTGATTTGGGTTGTTCTGATGAAATCATCACCGTTGTTTCTATGCTGTCCATACAGAACATATTCTACCGACCACAGGACAAACAGGCCGAGGCTGACAGGGCCAAGTCACGTTTTACACAAGCAGAAGGTGACCACCTCACGTTACTGTATGTATATAATCAGTGGCGCAAGAACAAATTCTCTTCTCTGTGGTGCCACGAAAATTTTCTTCAGGTTTGTGTTAGTGTATTTATGACATACCGGCTCAGTCTCGTGCCCTGATGCGGGCTCAAGACGTACGAAAACAACTAATATCTATCATGGATAGGTATCATTTCAAGATATTATCAAGTGGTAATAACTCGGAAAAAATCGCCAAGTCCGTCTGCGCCGGCTTCTTCCATCACTCTGCCCGCAGGGACCCTCAAGAGGGTTATCGTACCATACTGGATCAACAGAACGTATATATTCACCCGTCTTCTGCGTTGTACAACCGGTCACCGGAGTATGTGGTCTATCACGAATTGGTGATGACGACTAAAGAGTATATGCGCGACCTAACCACTGTGAAGGCCCAATGGCTCCTGGAGCTTGCGCCTTCCATGTTCAAGCGCTGCGATGGCATCAGCAAGGCTAAGATGGGTCAGAAAATTGAACCTTTACACAACAAATTTGAAGAGAAAGACTCTTGGAGACTTTCCAGGCGCAGAGGGTGACCGTTTCAAACCTCATGTACAGTGACATTTAATTAAGTTATTTAATGTACTATGCGATTGTTCAGTGAATTTCAACCTTCTAGTGTCGTACTTCATCATGTATCGACTCTGGAAGTTCTCCAACAACGGAAATCGCATAACATCCAGGTATTACATCGCCTGTATCACAATTACAGCATAAAACGAATTGTTAAGCTGCGTGGTGGCTATAGACTGACCCAGATTGTTGAAGCGTGCCGCCCATGACTTCTGCGGATCCATGATAGAGATTAGGCCGCTGAAATTTGAACTCGTACAGTCGAGCGTACGTCTTCGGTCACCGTCCATTTGAAGGAATGCGCAGTTACCGCAACCGCGCTCGAAAAACTACACAAATTGAATCCGGTAGACTCCACGGAAGAAATCTTAGAGATATTACCTACCTGTTCTTCGCTCATTATAAGGCGACATGAAATACAGGCACGCAGTTTGAACATGTTGTTCTCTCCCTCGGCACGGTGGCGGTTGGCGCGACTCCTGGCAAAACATATAGACTTAGCATTAGTCAGAGTAGCACGCAACCGAACACAAGGGTTTAATAAGCACAAGTAAATAGACATACCGAGGCACGAAGTCGAACTTCCCCCCGTAGAAGTCGTCTTGCTCCTGTGACTCGTCATCCTTGTCGAGGTGATCGGATTCGAACATATCTGAAGTCAGTGAAAGGATTATAGATGCAAATTCACCGTTTTGACTCATGACTGTGAAATAGTGTTATCTATCAATTCCTTGCAAAATCGTTCAACGGCCTAGTAACCTTCTTATCCAAACGACGCTTATAGGAAGTATATACAGAACGTATTAAACATCATCCGTTTTTTACTGTGTTATAAGTTGCAAAAAGTAGCGCAGGTTGGCCCATACAAGCTTGCGCCTAACGATCTGCCATCGTTACCTACCCTCACGATGTCACAAGGCGTACAAATTCTTCACACACCCACGAGCATTTTCAATTTATATTCTTATCTAAAAATGCCTCGATAAAAACAGTGAAATCGAGCTGAAAACTGTCTCGTGGCTGGTAATATCCTTGACCATGTACAGAGAAGGCCTAGGCAGGAGGCGCGGGGTCTCTCTAGCCCTCAATGAAAGGGTATTTTGTGCCAACCGAACCCTACCGGTACCCCCTGACGAGGTTCAGGAAGTCAGCGATGACGTAGTAATACCGATGCATAACGAGATCAGGGTACACTTTGATGATTACCACGTACAAGATGACTGGGAGCCATCGTGGATGCGTTTCGACCATGCCGATTCCGCAATCGAGCGGTCGATACATAAAAGCTCGGAGTTGTATGTCAATCTTCTAGACGAGGCTCTGGCAGAGGTTGCAACGCTGGAGAAGGCAAGGGCCGAGAAAGCGTTGAAACAACAGTTGATTTCAAAAGGTTCAGAACAATCGGGAGAAGCGTATGCTTCGCACCAAGCAACAGGTGCTGAAAATACTTGTGAACCTAGCGATGCTACGACGCCGCAGCAAAAACCGGTAAAGGAAACACAGGAGACCAATGGTCCCTTTGCGGCGCAGCCGCTGTGGAATGGGATACAGGCAACGCAGAACAGTCCCCCGCCAAACGTGCCATCTACGGTGAATACAGACAATCCAGACATTTTTGGCACAGGAATGCAATGTGAGGCAGAGGAGTTAAAGGCTGTCAACAAGGATGAAGCAATGTCGAAATCGGACGGTAAAAAGGATTATGTACCAGATAATACCTATACCCAACATGTTGACAGCTATGAGGATGAATACATGGCGCTGAGGTCCGAATATGAGGCCTTCGTGCAGAATGGCGACCCCTCAGTTAAGCATATCAGAGTAGACATCGCAAAAAAAATCAACACAACTGTGAACACGTTGGCCAACACACAAAAGCAAGTTGATAACTCGTATACAACCCTGTTGAATATCAAAAATCAATACGAAAACGAGCCTCATGTACTTCTATTTTTGGTCTTCAGGGTCATTGAAGCCGTATTGGATTGTTGTGAACCAGGCTGCCAAATGTACCTCAACCCAAAGTCTGTATGGCCATCAGCCCATCTAATCAGAGGTATCATGAGTTTTCATTCGGGTTGCCTAGCGATTTACTTCACCACGATGAAGAAACGTTGCCCTTACACGATACCGCGACTATACCAAGGCACTGACGAGGTCGAACTACAGGAGCGACACCATTACTCCAAGCACAACAAAAACACGTACTTCAAGAAACATCTAGCTCTTGTTAGGTTGCATCTCGCACTTTTGGTCGTAACAGAGGATACGAAGGGTGCTTGGGGATGGTTTGCCTCTTTCCTCAATGCGTGTACCCAAAATGTTTTCAAGCTCCCGTTGTCAGGAGTATTGGTTACTGCGCTGACGATAGCTGGACACATGTGCTGGAGAGCTTACAATGAGCAGTTCGCAAAGGTAGGTCTAGTTCAAAGCACTGCTGTGGTTGCGTACTTCCTGATTATTGCCTAGAAACACAAAATTCCATTTTTTTAGGTGCTCGCATATTGTGAGGATATGCTCAACAAGGGCTACTTCAAGGTTAACGGCTGTGAAGATTCTGCTATGTATCACGAACAACTCTCCCACTTTTTAAAGGAGTATAGGTATGGTTAAATCACATAAACATCATCTGCCAACAGGAAAACGGGGTCCCTCGTAACACCAGAGGGCTGCGAGTTGAAACAACAGGAGGAAGATTTGCACCAAGGAGTCTGATGAGTGGGTCGAAAGCTGGGTACACCACTCCGTTACCCAGATGCTATGAAATTTTCGTCCTAACTAGTCATACACTCAACGAACTGGTGCGTAACATAAGAAAGTTATAGCACAAACCTATACTTATCGGTTATAACGTTCATTTCCATGCCATAGCAAATTGATGCCACTTCTCGTGTAGCACGGAAGACAGCGCATTGGCTGAATACTCGATTAACGAATTCACGTGGTTACGAGAAACACATAGACTGTTTTCGCTAAGATGGAACTTCGATTCCATATTGACCACCGCTTGAAGGTCAACATTTCGTAGATTGCAGTCCAGCAAGAGGTACAGCAGAATAAGTATAAGCTTTGCGTGGCGCCGTAGTATCGAGAAAACAACATAGAACCGTTTTTTGAATCGGCGGTAGAAGAATGAATCGTGCCCTCCCAAGAAATCCAGAAGCTCTTGCGACAGTTTGAACGGTGGTGCGGGAAGCGGCTTAGGGTCAGATCCCAGCACATAGCCGTAGTCAACATGGACCACGTGACCAGTGTTGCTCACAATCAAATTGTCGTTGTGACGGTCACCCACCCCCAACAGGTAAGTGATGGCACTGTAAGAGGCCAAACTGCCAATGAAGTTCAAACGTTTCCATAGGGCATCAAAAAAGGATGGCCCGTTACCAAACAGATATGACTCTATCGTTCCGTGGTCTGCAAGAACGGCTGACAGAGGCTTTGTGTCCATTAAAAAATCAACAAAACCGTCCTTAGCGCTAGTAGCTAGCACTTCATAGGTCTTGATGTATGACTTGATCCCGTGATTGCGCAGTATGATGTCGGATAGCTTGGCGATTTGTTGGCATACTTGATCCAGACGAAGGTCATCCCCGTCTTTAAACATAAGTTCCCTTTTCACGAAGCTCTTAGTGCTTTCTTGTGGGACTCTGCATCCGGTATCCGAGCTGGACGATACACGCTCCACCTTTGAATATGTCTGTCTATGGTTTTCACTACCGTCTAAGAACAATGTTAATAGCAGCGGATAATGGGTAGTTTTGATTACGTTGCATTTATCTGTATCGATAGCACGTATGTTCAATGCTGGGTTGGTGAATAATGGGATAGGCGTGTCGAACGTGATGCGTTGTTGCTCGTCTACACTGGGACCCAATCCATAAAATACGTCTAGACTGTTCCCACTGTTCAAGGCTTTATCCAGCATAAGCCGTTTCTCTGCATAGGTGTAAGGGCTTGACTTTAAATGTTGCATAAGGAAGTGAATGCGCTGCCGAAGCACTCGCTGCGATTTTATAGCACCCAAAACATCACTTCCTGAATCACCCCTTTCAATAGCAGCTATCAAACGTCCTAGTACGTCATTTAAATGTGGCTGGCGCTTTCCCCAGCAATCTAATGCCCAATAAAGCTGTAACGCGGTGATGTGTTCTTTGCAGGCCATTTTTATTAAATCGTCAACCAGGTGACGTACCCCTGGAGCGACGACTAGTTGCGGGAAGAATGGTATCAATTTGCGAATTCCATATTTTCTAATCAAAATTTTTGATGCGTACTTTTGTACCACTTCAGGTACACGCGTTGGAGCGAAGTCTCGTGACATCAATTCCAACAAAGTGGCAAGTTCAGGTTCCTTCCACATATACATGGCACGTATAGCAGTACCGCTCTCCTTTGTGGCCCCCCAGTCTACAAAACGTAAGAATGTACCTAAAGTTTCGCCTGTTTTAGCAAGAAGCGGCAAATATTGCCATATCATTTCGTTCACTTGACGATAACCAATCGTTTTCCAGGGTGTTGTAACTTTGAAAGTATCTAGCTTTTCAGGCTCGACTCCTACGCTGTAGAGCGGCGTGGATACCAGAGATCTCAGAAACGATACTTCATCAGGCTCAGGTATGAATACAATCCCACTACCAGCAATGAATATATTGCTGTGAATACACAAAGTATCCATCATCATTGGGCAAATTAAGTATTCGTCACGGTAAAATTCTGAGCCCATTAGGAAAGTTAGCGTGGTCGGCATGGAGCAGATAGGCATATTCATCGCAGGGAACACGTTAAGATGAATACCAACAATTGACGATTCGTCACACGTCTCACCAATATACGTATTAGCCACCGGCCTACGACGGCGGTATTTCCTGTAACGAATTTCGGCTTGTTGAAAAAGTGACTCCAGTTTGATATGCGCAGTTTTGTTTAGGTCTGAGGCTTTCTCTCCAACAGTTGGATCATTAGCAACGGTGATAGGCGGTGACACCTTGGACCACGTAGCTTTATGGCCCCGCAGCCGACCTGATAATGGTGGATTGGTTTTAACTTGCCCCTTGAATTCGTCAAATTCAACAATTCCCACCGTTAATATGGCAATGGGAAATGCATCAATGCATCTTTCAAGGTCATGATATCCGGAAAACGCCAATGTTTGGAAGTAGAAGTAGAGCAGATACCTGTATTTACCTAACATACAGAAGTCAATAGAAATCCCATAGCGAAATAGGAAGGATATGATGCGTTTAATTTCCTCTAATATCTTTATTATATGCGATGCACATACAACGCGTTTTTGTGCACTACAGCAACATGATCTAATGTTACAAGTCTCCGTACGAGGCGTTGTATGAAGTCTTTGTTCAAAAAACAGGTTAGCAAAACAGTCAATGTTGCAGCTTTTTGGTGCGATTTCCAGTTCTGAGCTGGCAAAGAATTTACCAGCTACATAAATTTCACTTTTAAAGGTAAGATTAGTGCAGCCATCACGTATTGTATTCCATACAGGGAAACGCAATACATTATCTACATGTACGACCAGTGGAACAGATATTCGATGTTCTTGGCGGGTAGTGGTTAGACGACAGTGGCGGCATGAACTACGAGCTAAGCGTTCAACAGCAGCTTCTGTTGACTCAGGAAGGTTTGATTGCCTGATCCATCCAAAATTCCGCATCCCTTTGGAAAAGGCGGTGTACCACGACTCCTCAGACAAATCGTTCGCAACGGTTGATGGCGTCACGTAGCAGTCCAAACATCGTTTTATCCTAAAACACCAACCTGTACTGCCACTATACCGTAGCTTACAGCGAACAAAGTTTATACCAGTTAGTGGTCGAGTGCTTGAACCTCCGCTGTATGTACGTCGGTGTTTTACTCGCCGGGAATTCGGACCAGATACCACTTCACGTAACCCGGTAATATCCCCTCGATTCAGCTTTATGGTCACCGTATCGGCTACCTGTTCCATGTTATTGAATAGGGAGCATTTAAGTAATATCTCGGTTTTGCGAGCACGAAATGGGCATTTGTTACTAGGGCTGTCGACACCCACCGTGTCGCTGCTATCTGATGGCGAAGATACAGAGCTCTCATGGTTGATTCTACGCGATTTTATTTCGTTAGGCGATCGAAGCAGAACCAAAGAGCCAATTGACAGGGTGAGTTCTCGCGAAGCAACAGCGTTGAGGTGAATCCTGGGATCCGGTGGCATTATATCCTTTATAAGACCAGCTAAGTGACATCTTGACACTTGATTCTCGTGTTTCATTCTCTTTCATTACGTTTCGAGTGGGTATAAGACTCCGATTAAAGAACTGTAACCTATAAAGTTGGCATACTGACACCTAGCGTAAGGAAAAAATAACACATACACTTAAAATATGAAGCATTACTGTTAACCACATTTCCATCGATTCCTTTCTTTCCAGAAGAATTTATTTCAACCAGTGCTGTAAGTGTGTATCAATAGTTCGTGAAGTATTAGTTTAAAACATCCGTTTATAGAATTTAAAAAACGTAAATATGTTAACAACAATGTAATAATGATTAATGTGGTTTTAAAGGGTCAATGTGTTGGATGATCGGTACGCTTAAGAGCACATCTGCATCACTTGCCGTGCGTTAGATGTTCTATAAATGTTGTCAAAGCAGTATGTAGGTCCCTGGTAATGATAAGTGATCTGCGATGGCTAACATCATAGGTTTAGCACGGACTCCGTTTGCACCTATTTTGGGATCGCTGTCCCAGGAATCCTGCGTCACGCTAGGTACGTTGGAATTTGACCGAATACGACCAGTAAGCATCAATCATCAGGCACCGCCACCATACGAGGCGCCATAAGCAGTGGATGTATCCCCGTTAATTCAATAGATAAGGTTGTGTTGAGCCAGGTGTTCTCTGGCGGAGCAGGGCCTTCACCAGCTAGACAGATTTCAAATGAAGCTGGTAGGTACACGTGTCTGCGTCACACCTATATACCATCGATTTATGCAATATATTGAGTTTAATAAGTTATTCAATCTACCTCTACAGGACTTTCTGACTCCACAAGATGCTTCCAAATAAGTCAACTATGCACAAGTGGTTTGAAGGCCATCAGCATCACCAATGATTCTATCACTCTCGGAAGATCGCAGCTTGTAGCAGCGTTAGGATCTGAAAGCTCCTCGCAGGCACCTTACCTTTTGACGTTAGTTCATACTAGAATGGTGACATAAACCCACAGGAGGGCCAGGGTAGAAGGCTATGGGATTGGTGACGGAGTGCTGGTTGACTCTTTGACTAGCGACGGATTCGCTAAAATACAAATGGACTTAGATGGTTTCGTACAGGCTGCCAAAATCACAAAACTAGATATGATGCAGTACGCAACTGAATCCTTCCGACGGACAGCGGCATGCTACAGCGACGGTATTATGCAAAACGAAATAGTCCCCCTCATCGTAAAAGCTAGTAAGAACTATTTGAACACTTACAACATAGTATACAGAAAGAATGGATAGACGTGAAGGAGAAACATGGATTTCCCACCCACAGCAGAAAGTGACAGAGGATGTACTGCCTAAATTATTTGTGCCGAAGCAGATGCCTACTTCAAAAATTAAAACCAAATCTACGATATCAGACGGTGCGTCTTGTCTGTTTTTGTGTAATGATGACTTCCTTCGCCAAATGGGCACGTCACCCATTGCAAGGATATTGGATTGCTGTGAGTTGACCGTCGATGCCGCAAGCTTCCCAGAGGCATTGGTCCAAGTGGTCAAAGAAATACGGGATAAGATGAACGGCAAGGTTGACTTGTATGAGATTCTTGACCAATACGCATTTTTGCCCCTGTACGTATCTAAAAGCTTAGGCATCGACCACTCACGCATCAATGTACACGGAAGCTCGCTTTCAATTGGCCATCCCATGGGTACGTTTTGAAACAAAGCTTGGATTTTAGGCGCACCAAATAGATAAAGTGTAAATCTAATGTATGATACTTGTGTTTTGATCTGGCCGTATATAAACTCTATTATGCTTTGTGTTCGACAAATCCATCTTACTTTATGTTCTTCCATCGACTTCATCATATAACAAGTGCATCTATGTGGAAACGCCTTTTCTGTTAACATGGGTACTCCCATTACATTTACTATATGCTCTCTATTTCTCTACAACTACACCAGCTACAAGCGTCATTTGTTACATCTTACATGCTAATTTAAAGTTGAAATTAGTTCTAATATTTGTTCAGGCGCTTCAGGTGGGCGGCAGATGATCTCGATGGTAACTGCTTTGCGTTCCCGAGGTTTGCGATATGGTTGTGTCGCTGGAGTGAACACAGCCGGTGACGCCATAGCGATTCTTGTAGAAGCGACTTAGTTTGTGTTGCATTGCGACAAAGAATCTACAGCTTCGTCCAAAATTGCGCGAAACACGAGAGCATTACGTGGGCTTTCGTCCGAGTTGATTTTGAAAAGGCTAATGTTTGGAACCGTTTCAACAAAACGCATTAGTTCAGCCTCAGCATCTATTGATCTAACATCTATGCACAATGACATATCTATAACTAGAATTTTGCATGCGATACAGTCCTTATTTTTCCGGAAGAATCCCACTGCGCTCCGGAATCCTGTACGGTATTTCGCATAAGACGTGACATATATGATAACGTGAACGTCAGATATGATAGTCACATCGGCTGTGTTGTCGATACTAACTCCACTCCCAGGAGGTGTGAAGAAGTCCAAAATACACCCACGGTACCAGTTACGCCTACGTATTTCGACAAAAACACAGTCCAGTGGAACACGTGCGACGTACGGTCCCACGTTGGGCCTTGGTTTTACAGTATTTTGTTCGCCGTTATCATTAGTCGATGTACTATCAACCTCTATAACTACTGTCTTGAAATCGTGTATTCGCGATAGCTGTTCCGCCAATGATGCGCAGGCACTAGCATCGTCGCCAGCTATTAAAATGCGATGTGCACGTTTTACACCTTGCCTTACATCCAGAATCCCGAAGAGCAGATCAAGCATCGTGCATCAGTTTAATGGCGCTAACTACGCGTACCAAGTTGTTGGCAATAGTAGGCGCTTGTAACCTGGAAAACAATACCATTGAAATGATCTATTTAAAAAAGTGTGAATATTTCATTTGATTCCAAATATAATCGACATCGTCGTTGCCTTAGGTGTATAATCTGCAAAGTCTCAAACACACCGCAGAGGTTTAAGCAACGATACACGGCGACAGTACACATTGCCTCCGTCAGTGATTTTACAAACAAATTAGGCTTCAGTCAGACTGATTCCTTCAGGGAATTGGCAAGAAGTGCCGAACGTCGTTGTCTTGTGACCGTCATTTGACACTACATCGCATAAAATAGCTATGCAGAAGCGCTTAGAGTCCGACGAGGAAGAGCTTTTCATTATAAATGACATATGTTGTGGCTGCTGGTGTACCTTTATATTCCACGATGAAGGATTCCACGATCTGGACGCTATTCTAGGTCACCCTCAACTGCATCGGCGCTTCAAGGAATTATGTTCTTTCGAGCAACGAATCGGAACTACCTGTGTAGTTTGCAGCGCTTCGACGCTGCCAGGGGCACCAAATATCGCTGGTGATGTTTACTTTCGGGGTAACGATGCGCTACGCAAGGCCAAGATTGAGGGGTGTCAGCTCGAAGAACTATTCGAGAATATAGCTGTGACGACAGAACAACTTGAAAATGACGATACAGTAGCATCTAAAACTTGCACTGTATCAAGTGATTTCAACCTCTGTGTGTTGGCAGTACATTTCTCACGCACTGCCGGACGTGCCAAGAGGTACCTTTGTACATTTGCCAAAAATTGTGTAAAAATCGACAATACCGGAAATGTAGAAGAGTACCTCAACAAAATTTGGCAAACAGTGTCGGCATCAGCATATGAATTTGCGAAAAATATTGCGGCAATTGCGGATCCTACCGACGACCTTACATCGCTAATGCGTTCCTACTGCGAAGATCTTCAGGGTCACACATTCAAGCCTGGAGGTTTCAAAGTTCTCATTAAACGAATCAAGAAACTAGTGGCAAATATGTTGGAGGCTGAATCTGCCAGATTCGCAGGCGAATATGTTGCATTATTCCGTTGCATTGACGACATATACGAGAAAGATAAGCACCTTTTCGAGCAGCTGCTACGTATGCAGGTAAACGTGACAATCGATGCACAGGAAAGGTTAAAAATTACCAATTTCGAGATATCACGTGATGTAGTAACATTTGCAGGATACTATAACAAATTTGCAAGGGGGATGAGCCAGACGGCTTGGACACCAGATAAAAACACAAAGGTAGGTTCACAGTAGAGTAATGCCAATGAGCATTTATAGAGCAATTTATCTGTGGAAGAATGCTTATGCATACCTTTGCTAGAGCTTTGCAATGGAAGCAGCTACAAGTTCATGGCATCTGGCAGAGAAGATTGTGACGTACGAACCACAGGCCCCGGAAGGAAGTTCTGTGTGGAGGTTTACACTTGCAAACGCGATTTATTCCACGTCTACGATTTGGTACGAAGACTGGGGGAGAATAGTGCACTGAACATCAGTGTCGATTCTGGATTGCCAATATTGGCTTGTATGGACGACATCATAGCAATGAAAGAAGATATAACGGTTGATGCTGCCGGTGTCGCGACTAACTTTTACTTTTTAAAAAGTAAACATGCCAACCAAGAAAAGCCATCGGAAAATATTACGATAGTGGCGATTCCTCAAGTATCAATAACAGAAGCGTTCGACTACAAGTCAGATGCCAGTGTACATCTGCCAGTAGCGGTTGGATTCTATGGTTTACGCCTGGTATTTGACAGCAGGGCCGAGAGGCAGATTGTCCAAATTGATGCAGAAAACAAGAACAAGACATACTCTTGCCTCGTATTTTCAGAAGATGCCCTCGCTTTAGAACAATTGCAAGCGATTCCAAAAGGTCCATTTACCATTATGCAGTGCAACCCCGTACGCACCAGCCACCGAAAAAGTCAGTGTGGAAGGGAGCGTCAAATACACGAACTGACCGCTGATCCCCTACATCCCAGACTTTTCCTTTTGACCCTGAAGACTCAGGCAGGTAGGCGTGCGTAGGTTATCCGTGTCCATTATAATTAGGTACATATGTTAAGGAGTTTGTTACTGGAGATATCGGGCGTACTACACCTTCAGTCAAATCCTTGCTAGGTGCGAAATCGCTTTATGTCGTACATCTAGATGTGGTCGATTTTTCGTAAGTGACGCCGGTGGCGTAGGATCTCGCGAGTACATATCACCCTGGTCACACACCTGGCAGCGACATGTACCACCTATCTATCGGTTAGGGTACCCTAAATGTTGTAAGGCAGCTTTATATTTGTGTGTGTTTTCGGTGGCGAAAATCGATGTAGATCATCATATGTGTACAGTTTATGGGGTTAGTTACACCAGCGCGCACCGACTGTTACGTAGCGCGGCGGCTATAAAAAAATTGAAAGCTACTTGTACTGTGTCATATTTCCGTCAAAAATATTTAATTTACTGTGTGACCATCGTACGACGTAACTTTGATCCGTCAGGCAGTGCCAGATACTGTGTTACGACTTGACGCGGAAAGTCGTTTCTTACATCGTATAGTTAGAGTTTTTTCAACTGTTAAAAAATGGCGACAACCGCTGATGGAAGGGCCGATGCGGCCAACTATTACGACCCGGAAAAGAGTGAGTGAGACTTTGTAATGAATAACATCCGTTCAGATGCTACCGGGGACCACTATTGCTTCTCTGAAACCACTCCTACCTACATTAGGCATGAGTTCGTCAAGAAAGTCTTCGCCATAGTAACCCTGCAGTTGTGTGTAAGTTATAATATCTGAAATGGAGATAGATACCTGTACATTATTCGCCAAATGTCTAGTAACAACGACCAGGTGGTGACCGTCTTACACTTCTTTTTACGTACCTCGGCCACCATATTTATATGCAACACTGAGTTGTTGATTTCGGGCCATGCGTTTGTGTTTCTTCTCGAATTTTGCGTCAAATGCCCAGTTACGTAACCGTGTTTTGTATGGGTTTATACCCTAATAGTTTATCCCATAAATCATAACGATTGAGCTTAGCTTTAACATTTCATACAGGCAACCTTTGGTTTTCTAGTTCTATCGTACAATGTAACCGCCATGAACACCTTCTTCCGCCACAATGCCTTCATTGGATTGATAGCGGTTATCATCTTCGCAATCATCTCTATCGTCATTTCATGCAAGAGGTCATTGGCACACAACAAGACAGTGGCAACATCACTGTTAGGAGTGATGACAGTCTGTATGGCATTGTACGTCACCTGTTTCGCCGTCCACTACGCAGGCTTTGAGATATGCGTGGCTGCCGGTATCACTGCCGGGTTAACATTCGCCATCACACTCTTCGCATTTCAGACCACCTATGACTTTACTGGTATGTTCCGTTGGTAACACGTTATAACAAATACAGGTCTCATTATGTACGTCTTTTGCATTACAATTGCCATGATGTTTGCCGGAATATTGATCATGATTTTCCCATCACACACCGCTCGTATTTTCTACAGCGCCGTAGGAGCTGTTCTCGTATGCATCTACCTGGTTATTGATATCCAGCTTGCTGTTGGCGGTAAAAATTACGAATGGACCGTCGACGATTACGTCATCGCCGCCGTAGCCATCTACTCCGACATCATCAACCTATTCATTCACATCCTCAGGATCTTAGGAAACGCGAGTGACTGAGCGCTTGCCAGTGAAAGCTATGCTTATTGAAAATGCTTTATAGCATTGGGGACTACGAGTGTTCAAACACACTACACGCGTATCGTTACGCTTACTACACATTTTAATATATACATGCTTATTATCGTAATAGTTGGCCATTTACCATTAAATCTCCTAAGGTGTGTTAGCTGCGCCGCATTAAATCACGTGACGTAACCTATGACAAAAATGGAAACTTATGTCACATCATTTGCTATGAACTTCTACATCTGTGCCCATTCAAAGTAATAAAAATCGGTCGTCCCGTCATTAATTATTAAACATGTCGCTGCTTTTATACATTTCGTTAAGACGCCGGAGTTCAGGATTTCCTAGATGAAGAAAATACAACAAAAACACCAAATACGGTTAGACAATAGCATGACCTGGCCAATTGTTAACATCTATTCTCTTCCACACATGTGAAACAATTATGTTAATGAGTTGTCAATGTAACTTTGAAATGAAAAAATTAATTTCCACTGTTGGAAAAGTTCAAAAGTTAAATATTAAAAATATCATCGCCTGAAAAGCAGCGAAAAAAAGGGAAGAGACAACAGCAACCGCCGCACCGTTAAATACGGCACCAGACGTGGATCGCTCGGCCTCTACGTTTTCCCTAGTTCCAGGCAAGTTTGCCGTTTCAGCATCTGGTCTCTCGGATTGAATTTCTAAAGCACCCGAACCAGTCGATGGAACCTCGGAGTCATCAGAAGCGCCAGCTGAGGGCTCAGTTGCTACGGCGGAGCCCACAGAAGTGCCGTCCGAGACGTCGGATTGAGCACCTGGAGCCCTAATTTCAGGTTTTTCGAATGGCGAAGGCAGAACGGTGACAGCTTCGGTCCCAGCCGAAGTGCTCGCCTCACGTTCAAGTTTTATAACTTTATTCGGATCTACTATTTGTACTGGATTATAGTCATGAGCCGGCTCTTGGTGTCCTTGAGGAGTCTCAGTGATTTGCTGGGCTGTCCTAAGTGTTTCATTTTCCGGCTCAGCGCGTCTATCCTCCTCAGTTAGTTGACCCAACTGAGATTGATCGGACAAGCAAGCAGATACCTGAGCCTCTCCCTCACCTCTCTGATTTTTCTGGGTTTCCTGATTTTCCTGGGTTTCCTGAGTTTGCTGAGTTTCCTGAGTTTGCTGAGTTTCCTGAGTTCGCTGGGTTGTTAATGTTGCTGAAGGTGTCTCGGGGGTGAGAGACAGGAGGTACTGTAGGGACTATAACTTTGACCCTCGGATCATTAGCACTTATTACGGTAATAACGCTATCACGCATAGTATCAGGTAACTCTTCAGCCAGCACAAAGTGCGAGGCGATTTAGCATAAAGCTACACCAACAAAACCAACACCAATCATTTTGAACACTTTGAAAGCTGGAAGAAGCCAAAATAGCAGCCTTTATGTGACCGCGTTTAACGTACGCTGATTCTGGTGAATGTGCTGCACACAAACTAGCGCATTGCATTCTTAAAGAGAGGTCGGTGTGGAGGTCTTGTTTTAGCCGTGTTGCTTCCCAAATGACGTGAAATGATGACACTTCACGCATGTCTTCCATGAACTGTCGTATTAAGACGCCGAATTGTCTTGAAAATTAGCGCCGTCCACTTTCTCTACAGGCATATCGCCGCATGTAGTGAATAGACACTAAATTTGCGAAATCTCAACACTGTTTCTGTTATCAATCTATAAATACTGTGGTTTGATGTTCTCTATGTAATTTGTTCGTGTTTCGTTGCCCTTCCACTCTGTTGTTTGTAGTTTGGATTTCCAGCTGCAACGCNCTGTTGTTTGTAGTTTGGATTTCCAGCTGCAACGCACTGACCGCGACCCTCCAATTGTCCCTTCCTTTGGAATCAGCGATATCAGAGGTTTAACAGTACAATATACATTATATTAGCAATGCTTTATCGACACTCGAACAGGTCGGCAAGGTAGCAAACTACCCACTTCGGGAAATCAGATTTAAAACGTTGGACCAATGCCATCTCAGATGAGAATCTTACCCGCCGCTCTAATATGGCACCGATACTATCCCTCAACATACTACAGAACAACGCATCTAAGGGGTTGAATGAATTAACACGTGACGCCGCTATAGGTTTGATACGTCTGGGTAGACATATGCGAAGCTCAGGGGGTACACGGTCAACCAGTTCTCCAAAAACATGTTTGGCAGCACATTGCAGACGTATGTTGCATGGAGAAAAGTTGTTACCAACCTCGTTGGATCCATTCCTCGCGTTTTTTAATGCCTCCAAATCAATACAAAACTGATTACGGCAAACGTTCCCCAACTTACGATGCAGTCCTAATCCCATGCAAAGCCTTATTACCTCAGGCAACAAGTCCATGTGATCGACGGTGTCGAACTTTTCTAGCCAATCTGCATCCTCTTTCACGTCTACCAATGACTCAAAGGTGCCATCACCCGAACTGTTGATACCACAAAAATACCCACATAATATTGACATAGACTCTGGTAGGGTCCGAGGCTCGAAGTCTTGGATAGCATGTTTTCCGCTACCCAGTACAGCAGTGAGAGAGCACGCATCAGACATGCTGATCATGTTTGCATTGTACGACAACGTAAGTCTAGCAACAGTGATATCACCGACATCACCATCGAACACATGAACTATGGGTGTGTTATTTCGCCGGTTGTAGACACCATCGGTAGCTGCCAGAGAAACCCTCCAGACCAAACCGTTCAACGAACAATCATGGCGATACCGAACCTTCAGCACCATCTCAGCATCAAACCACAGCTTCAGTACGGCCTCAAAATCACCGGTAAATACAAACTCGTGCATTCCTTGGGTCATATTCAAGCATCGGTGGGACACTTTACCGGACACGCTGTACTCCTCGTTGATTGCGATGCTCATTATACACGGAAAACGCAATATCACCTTGTTAGAGCCACGATGACTATATTGCAAACCGACCATAACAAAACTACGGATAAAGGGTGGTACCTGAACGTTCAACCGTTTAACCAGCTTCGTACAGATCTTGTTAACGTCGCAGTGAAGCACCACGGTTGCCTCACCATCCAGACGTGTCTTCTGGTAGTTCACAATAACTAGAGGCGCATCCTCTCTCCTATAGTGTTCAGAAGAAGCATATAGACAGGCCGGTTCCACGTGCAAAGAAGAGCCCAGGGTCAAGTGGAAGTCAGCGTCTTGGGCATGTGAAATGGCACGCTTCTCGAAGTGGTCCTCATAACGGTCGAACCAGTCCAAAACAACGTCGGTCAATATGCCAGACGGAGGGAACGAACATAACCCTGACGTCAAATTGTATTCAGAAGTGCTCATAAATAAACTCACCACAATGATTACCAGTGGGTTTAAAGCTAATTGTGGGAGCGACGTAGGCACGCAAGTACCGCCGGCCACAAGAAACGCAACGCTCAATGAAGACGTTGCCGTGTAATTCTGTACATTCGGAATGGCGCATACCACTAATGGCATGTAGACCGTCGATGTTCTGCGTGATTACTGTATGGATGTAGCCACCACGCAGAAGTGCTAAAGTGGCAAGGTGTGCTTGTGATGGCAAAGCGTGAAAAAATTCAACAGCTTCCAACTTCTTGCGACCATATTCCACACAAATATCACCTTTGTTTTGAACCGTACAATCTCCATCGGTCATCTTGCGGCGCTTACCGTCGGCTTGCTTCTGTAGGCTCATGACAGTCCATACCCCCGAGGGCCCTCGAAAATCTGGTATTCCAGCTGCAGTTGAAACACCAGCTCCTGTGTGTAAAACCGCGCATTTGGATTCCGACATAAGGGAAAATAACTGCTTAAACTTTCGAGAAATCTCCGCTGGAGTATCGAAGAGCTGTATTCCACCACAGGGACCTTTGTTGTCATTGCGACGCAGCTGGGTCGCATAACTCAGTGCAGAAGATGCCATTGGGGTTATAGGTATAGCGCTCCTTTGTTAAACAAAGCCTTGGCAGACTCCACAGTTTTCACGTAGTCCTGGTGGCGTCGCCAATGGACACTCTCCCAGTCCCGGTGTAAACGTGATTTATACACCTTCTTTGTGCAGGCTGCAAAAAATTATGAGTGCCACACACCCGTGCAAATTGGCAAGTACATTATTCAACTGTGTAAATATGGAGATGCTAGTACTTCTATTTCTGACAGCGTTAACAATAAACACAATTCAACATTTTAGACTCGATAGGAATTGCACCACATCCGTAAAATGGAAACAAACCTGCGACAGGGCAGTCAACTGATGAGCTGTTGGACGACCGCAGCAATTCCGTTATGCTGGAATTATCAAATACATGCTCACAAGAGTCTTCACCGTGTGAAAACCTGAGCTCCTTGCTTTGTATGTTGCTGGCACTCACCGTTGCGACACAGGGTATGTGATTGGTCGACGTGATATTGGACATATCGAAAACATAGTCGATTTGTCTTCCTCTACCAAAACATCCTCATTCTCGTCAGTCTTGGAACTGGTGTCAAGGGTTCGATGTAACAATAGATAAACGCAATCGTAGTTAAAGTTGGGACGCTGTTCCACTTGTTCGCCCAGAGCTTCCAGCTCCGCGTAGAACGACACACAGACACGCCAAACTCTAGAACGAAGAGTGTCGTTACCTTTAAAATATGCTGAATAGTCTTACAAATACCTACCAAAGTATTTAACTGCAAATGCTAGCGATAACAGCTGATTCGCGATACGGTAGATGTCGTCGTTGCAAAGCGACCAAGTCTCGGTCAATTCAATTAACTCGTCACATGTGTCACTGATGTCCCGCTGGCGCATTTTATATGTACTGGATTCTACGTATGTAGTGGTTGCTACAGGCTTATATTACACATGCCGGGACTCAACGCCGGCACAGGATGCGTGGTGCGTGTGAACCCATATCACTGCGCTCACAAAAATCTGACCACCTATGGACTCTAGACGCACCAGAGTGGAGGCACTCTCTAAAAATCAAAAAGAAAATAGCACAAGGACAACATTAAGAGAATATCAAAGTTGATATACCTAGCAGCACTTTGCGAAAATGTTTATAGCTTGTCGTAGAATTGGTCCAGGCTTGGAATATCAGCCTTCAAACCCTTCCTTTGCCTAATGGCAAGCACAATTTCGTTCAATTTGGAGCCCTTCTCAAGCGCGTCGCCGCTCATCAATTGCCAGTGGTCAAACACACATTGAGGGAAAGCTTGACCAGAAGTGCTCGCACGAAGGGCGGTTGTGAAACCGAAACTTTCGGCGACAGGCAAATAAGCCTTAATCTCAATGAGAGGGGTACCGGCCCTGTTCTCCTCATGGAACACGTGACCACGACGCTGGTTTAGCGTACTGTAGACACCACCGACAGCGTCCTGTGGACAGTTAATATCCACAAGGAAAATCGGCTCCTGAAGTTTAGGCTGGGCGGTCAACTCACAGGCGTACAAACAACGACGGCAAGTAGGCATGATCTGACCAGCACCTCTGTGGATGGCATCAGCGTGCATAGTCACATCCAAGAGGTTGAAACGGATACCACGCATGTTCTCATCACACAAGGCACCTTCCTTGGTCGCCCACTGGAAGGCAGAGTTACAGTGATCCTTGATTTCGTTCATGTACTGTACTCCGGTAGTCATGTCGACCAAAATGTTTGGACCAGTAGTTTCCGGACCAAAACACCAGATCTTCAAGGCAGCATTCTTGTCCCATTCGAATTTGCTTGCAAGAACGTTAGCTCTTTCCCTGGCATCATCCCTAGAGGTAATTTCATTCTCCTCGATAGCTTCAGATAGACCCTCAGCAAAAGGTTCGGCCTTCATGAACAGCCTGTTGTGCTTGTTGGGGGATTTAGACAGACATGTAATGCTAGATTCAGCAGCTACAGTCTCCCTGTAGGAAACAACGGGGTCAGAAACGATGAAATCAATTTGGGCGTACTCATCTCTGAGATCCTTCAAACAAATTTCAACGTGAAGTTCACCACAACCGGCAATAATGTGTTCACCACTTTCTTCGGTAGTGCAAACAACAAGAGGATCAGATTTGGACAATTTCTTAAGACCTTCCACAAGTTTAGGCAGATCCTTGGAGTCCTTAGGCTTGACAGCCACACGGACGACGGGTGACACAGAGTACTTCATGTCGGCAATGTTGTGAGCGGTGTCACAAGTGGTAATGGTACCACTCTTCAAAATGTATTGATCAACACCTACCAGACAACATGTGTTACCACATGGAACATCTTGGATCTGTTCCGTGTAACGACCCATCATCAGCACTGTACGCTGGACGTTTTTGACTAGCAAGTCAGTCTTTTCACCAGGCACATATTTAGGACCCTGAATTCTGACCTTCTGACCAGTGGCAACTGTACCAGAGAAAACTCTTCCGAAAGCATAGAACCGACCCTTGTCGGATGTCGGTACCATTTTAGAGATGTACATCATTAGTGGTCCTTCAGGGTCACAGTTGCGGATACCGTTAGCAGCCTCATCGTCCATGGGACCCGTGTAAAGGTTTTCAACACGGTATTTCTGAGCTTCGAATGGGGAAGGCAAGTGGCTGACAATCATTTGTAGAAGAACATCACCAGCTGGTAGCCATATTTGCATAACCCTCTTAAGCAACGCCTTTCCGGTAAGATCACGGTCCTCTCCCTTCAACTCAACACCGATAGACTTCAATTGAGCCTGGTACTTCTCCTTGTTGTCGTTCATAATGTTGGTGAACAAACTGCATATGGGCTTCATGATGAAGTTGGAGAAGGCACGGTCAGGTGCTTCGGGACAAGCTTCAGACAACCACACCTTGCCGGATCTGGAGAAGAAGTGGTCACCCCAGAGGTAGTGCATCATCTTCTCCTTAGAAATACCGAACTTGGTGTTGTAGATGCGAGCAAAAGTTTCAATAGTGAAAGCCCAACCGTGAAGTCCAGAACCGAATGATACGGTACCTTTTTCGGGGTACACTTGCACATTTCCCATGAGTTCATCGTTGTAAGTGGCAATGATGACATTGACATTTTCGATACAACGAAGGAAAGTCATGTAGATCTCCTCCGGTCCCATCTGAAGTTCCAACAGTGCCCTGTCGACCTTGTTGACGTGAAGCACGGGCCTGATACGTTCACCCAATGCCTGTCGCAACACAGTCTCCGTCTGCACACATACACCTTCAATGGTGTCGACGACGACCAAAGCACCGTCAGTGACACGAAGGGCAGCAGTCACTTCCGAAGAGAAGTCGACGTGTCCGGGCGAATCGATGAGGTTGATAAGGAATGGTTGCATACCTTTGCCATCATCGAGATCGTGTTCGAAGTACATAGAGATACCGGTAGATTTGATAGTGATGCAACGCTCCTGCTCATCAGCACGTGTGTCCGTGAACCGAGCATCACCAGCGTTCTTAGCGGCAATAATACCGGCCTTCGAGACAAGTGAATCCGTAAGGGTACTCTTTCCGTGATCGACGTGAGCAATCACAGACATGTTTCGGATGTTTTTGGGGTTACCCATGATCTCACGCATCTGCTCCACCGTAAAGTTCACCATTTTGACTACAGCTGCTCTCTCCTACAAAATAACCAAAAATGAGGTCGTCTAATAACCCCAGAAAGAATTCGGCAACTGAAGGAAAATTATATGTGCCGAATTGAACCAAACCTACCCCCACAGCTTTTACGTCCATAGGAAGGTAGATGCCACAACAAATTTCTGCGCTGGCATCGTTAGATGAAGTTGTTAAGCTAAAAGGGGTTTGTACCGTGTTATCACCAAATTTATACAAAAACGTATTAATTGCAGTGTGTCTCGGCACTAACGTGTGTGTGACGTGTCAGACCAGGTACACCGTTGAGACGAAAGAGTACATTCCCGTCACTTTTAGATAGTAGTTAGCTCTGGTGTGCAGTGCAGGACTTATCGAGATACTTTAAAGCGCACTTTGAGAACTCCAGTAGTTGCACCGAAAGGCGATTATACCCGCAGCTGTTTTACGCGGGGTTACAATAGCATCCCCGCACAGTAACACGGCATTTTGGTTATATTGTTGCGTGTAAACACAAATATACCTACTAAGGCGGCAATTACTGGATTATAGTGACGGGTGACACCGACCGTCCTACCCTCATATCGCAGCGTCCCCTACAGTTGAAAGTTATTAGGAAATTTTAACATATAGTAAAAGTAAATTTATATTAAAACATAGGTGGGCCGTAACAGTACCGACCTAATGTACAACAATGTTTAACGGCGTCGGTCTGACGACGCCGCGAGGAAGCGGCACCAATGGTTACGTACAGAGGAGTCTTGCAAACCTGCCGCCCATCAGAATCGCAAAGAATCATGATCAAAAGGGTTATATTACGCGCCCGAAGATGCGCGTCAACCCCGAGATTGCCTGGCATGAAAAACTTCGCGCCCTAGAGGTGAAATTGATGGAGTTAAGAATGCAGAAGGAAGGCCAAATGACCGTGGAGGACCTTGAAAAGTTTATCGGAGATGAAAGACAGCGACTGATGGCGCTCCTTGAAAAGGATAAATTGGTTACTACACTGAGGGAGTAAGTATACTGTTAGCACTGACATGTGACACTCTTTTGTAGGAACGATAGCAACCGATTAGCCGAAGTGAAGGCGCGGCAGAATCGGAAAATGGAAGACGCGTTGAAGTTGGGATCTCGGACAACGGAACCAACGCCAAGTGACCAGGAATCCGACATAGATGCAAGAAAAGAATTCGAACAAAAACCTTTAACGAAGAGAGATCGTGACTACGAGAGTAGCAGAAGCAGATCATATTCCAGAGGTCGTGGAAGGAGTCGGAGTAGCCGATCTCGCCACAGGAGAGAAGGGGGACGAAGGCGTGGCGCATCGCGATCAAACACTCCTTACAGCGATAGGAGCCGGAGTAGGAGTTACCACAGTCACAGGAGGAGTTCATACTCAAGTGGTTATAGTTACAGCACTGAAAGAACATCAAGTGACTCGTATGGTTCTGTGAGACGTAGCTCCAGACGCTCACACAGCAGACGAAGAACAAGTTCTGATCGATCCTACAGCACTTCAGGATCTGAATACGATTCGCGTAGCCATAGCAGGAGGAGCTCATACAGGTCGTACAGCAGGACTAGAGATGGATCGCGAGGATCCCGTAGCAAAAACAAGTCGGTAAGAAGACATTCCTACAGCAGCCGGAGTAGGAGCGTGTCACGACGTAGGACGTATAGACGCTCGTATAGTAGCTACTCCGATGCAAGTTCTGCTTCAAGGAGCGGAAGGTCGACATATAGCAGCGAGTCTGACGACTACAGGGTGAGGAGGACGTCGCGACACAAGTCTCATGGGAAGCGTCGAGACAGACGAAGCCGCAGTGTATCTTCCTCGCGGAGCTACTGCAGCGGTGACAGAAGCAGTTACCCACGAAGACGAGATCTATCCTCGAGAAGAAGTCGAACACATAAACATGATGACCGAAGTTACAGTAAATCTATCAGTCGCACAAGGTCAGAAACCAAACAACGTCGAACAAACGAAAGTCCAAGTAAGATCAAGGAATATATTGAGGTCAAGCGAAAGAGGAGCGAAACACCTCTTCCTACCTCAAGGAGCTCAAGCCTGCAGAATCGTCGCAATAACCTTCGAGATGATGGAAACGTGACTGACAGTAGCATGGAACACAGTGACAATTGAAATGCAAATATATTGTATGCCGCAACTTAGAGCTATGCTCACAAATATTAGTTTATGATTGACCCGAGGTGATACAAACTGTTATCAAAATGTTGACAAACGCCTCTATGGCGGCTCTAAAACTGTCCTGTGCAATGATGTGTGGCATAAAGATGTAATTTAGAGGCGAATGTATGTGTTGTTCTGAATATTTTAGTATACGAAGCAAATTAACCATTGTCACTGGAAGGCACATGGCAACACCTTGACGGGGAGTATCACGTTCATTCACGTGATATGTCTACTGGGTCGGCCGTTTTATGACTGCTCTTTCCGTTGTTCCTAAAAGTGTTCAGGTAGCCTCTACCGGTGAAATGCGTGGATAGAGCATTTACTTGGGGAGAAAGTAACACATACAATTCATAACAGACGGTAGCAGTGATGGCGAACCCAGGTATGATAATAAACTGGAGCAGAAATCGCGTCCATCCCTTGCGGCTACGGTTGTCAAGGCTTTGCAGAACGTCAACCATGGGCGGTGTGTTTCCATCGAGCATCGCGGGCATCTTTTTGCGAATGAGTTCTGTGAGCTCGTGAACCAGATGCTGATCCACCACTACAAGGAGTTTGACGTTTTTACGGCGACAAAGCAATTCCTCGTCGATCCCTGTCACTACATGACTCCTTAAAAGATGACACCTACTGTAAAATAGCTCATGCAGACGACAAAAACAGTAGAAAGCGCCCTCAGCTACGACAGCTTGGTATATAGATGGAGCAGCCTTCTTGAATTCCTCTTGTGTATTGACATCTGTCACGCCTGATTTGTTGGTACAGTACAAAACATACCTTTCAAGACATCACCTATACGTAAATAAAGTGACAGCAAACGTAGAACTTCTAGCTTATTCTCTGTTGCGGCTTTACCAAAACTTGCAGCCTCTGATTGCTTGCTGCGGCCGATCCCGATGACATTAATGCCAGTAGCTGCGGCAGCTTCTGCCACATCTACATATTGCTGATATGTATTCACCAACTGCCTTGCATTTTTGAATTTATGAGCTTGCTTTGGTTGCGATGATTTTGATTTTTTAAATTCAAGGTAACGATGAATTACACCCAATTCAGGTGCACCTAAACCCATTGCCACAATGTCGCATGACGGCACTGCCGATACTGCAGCTTCAATAACACGCCTGTTCGATGTATAAAGAGTGCTGTTTTTACGCTTCTTGGGTAAAGATGGTAGACCAGACAATTTTAGGGTAATTGTACGATTGGAATACCCAAAGCTCCATACATCACTCGGTTCCGCAGAGAAAAAACGAACTGAGGTAAGCGACGGACTGCGATAATGAGCCATTTGAGCATAGCGCTTGCAGAATAACTCCAATCTATTGCACATCATTTTTCTCTGCAGCGAAACAGTACTACGTACTATCATGAATTGGAGGATATATGAAGACAATTAGACAAAAGGTTATACTTTGGCGCTCTTGTTAACCGATCAAAAATACAAATTATTTCGAAATCGGCGCTCGACAGTGCCTTAAAACGTTGTAATGGTCGACGTCGCCTATCTTGAGCATATCAAATAATGGCGTTGACCAAGTTTGCGTTAAAAGGTAAAGCCAATTTCAAATATAACTGAATGAAAATAGTACTTTTTTGTCTATGCCATAGTCAAATAATTGACAAAACCGTATATCGGAGCAAGATAAAGTGAATCCACTGCCTTCCACAATGAAATGGCACTCAATTAAGGATACTCCTTATAAACAGATTCATAAAACATGTTAAGATATCAATTTTCTATAGTTATGTTTTTGCTATAGTGTGATGTTCGTGGATGATGCGCAGCCGCCTGGTACTTCTCACGGCCACGCAAACGATGGTTTATTAATTGGTCTCTCTAACAACACACATTAGGTTAGTCAGTTGCTAAGAACATTATGTGTAATATATAACAACATATATCACGGACACTGTATATTATCTCATTCACGGTTTATGCCCTCATCTGCATAACAATGTGTAGGCGGCGAAATCGTGGTATACCATGACGCGTACCAACGTCGCGTCGAAACGGGTATGGAAATATTGTGGAATCTAAGTGTAATCAAATCTTTACACCAGTTAGGACGACTTTGGAATAAACAATATATATGTAACACTAAGGCAGCATGTGTTCAGGTACTGCCACGTCGTGATCATACAAGCAGGAGAAGTTGCGAACAATATACAAAAACGAATAAATATACGCTCGGCGTCTACTGGTACCAGCGGACAATAGAGCACAACCGAGTTACAAGGTGCAGCCGTCCTCGAGAAAGGGAATTCACTTATCGGCATCTTCTAGTCATTCTACATACAGGCAATTTGAAATGTGAACTGTCTGGTGAATATGGAAGAAAAGAACACGAAATTGAGAAGGCCGCATACGCTGGGCGATTCGGCCGAACGCACTGACACTACCGATAACATGGTTAAAATGGTCGCCGTTTACCGAGAAGATGGTGGTATCAAGGCATTTGTACCTGTTGATAGCTTTGATAGTAGGACCGATGAGGTCATGGAAAGCTCATGTGATGAGTTGACAGCCAAAATGTGCAAAGGCGGCAATAACGCCGGGTCGGTCGGTTGGATCAATCAGGCGATCGCCAGGTTAAATGGAGAACGTGCTAGACATTGTAACATGGAAAGCGCTGTTTCAAACACGTCGGTGGCTTCCGTGACAAATCAAACAATGCCCGATGACGTTCAGCAACATGTCCACGCTCATTACGTGGATGGCCAGGAAGACTTACAAGAGCAAGGTAACCTAATCATAGGTGACCATGACGAGAGTCAGGCAGCGATGTGCTCTCGCCAAACCAGTGAAACCATTAGTCAAGCAGGTTCGATATCCATTCCAGCCGCAGGCGAATATAATACCTGCGAATACATGGATGCACGACCAGGCGTATCTGTCACAGATATGACCGAGGTAGAAGGAATTATTACCACAATTTTAGATGCAAAGTTATCTTCCTATGTGGAAAAATGTGAAATGCAGATAGAAGCTGTACGCTCTGAACAAGAAAAAATGATGCGCCAAGCTATAGATGACGTTTTGAAGCAGGTGGACGGACGTATTACTGAGATGTGTTCGCAACTGGAACATAAATTTACAGACCTACTCAGCCAAAACAATCAAAACGACAAATTGGATGATCGTATCAAGACGGCGACTCAAGAGGCCAAAAAAGAGATGGAGACATCTATGCTGGAGGATGTCGATTCAAAAATTAAACACGTTGTCACAGTGGTAAAGAAGGCTTTGCACTCTCAATCGTCTGATGTAGAAAAGCAATTAGAAAACATTATGTTAGCGGCGGCCGAGAATGAATCAAAAATGCAGTCAATATCTGATGCGATGGAAAAGAAACTAGAGTCCAAGTTACGGGAGCAATCTGAGAATAGTGAAGAGTTTACCAAATTTAAAGAATCTGTGAAAACGGAACTAGGTGATACTAAGGCCAAAAACATACAATATTATCAGAAAGTTAAGGAACTCGTAACTCAAATAGAGGCTCTGAATTCCGATGTCGAAAGCGTTGATTCAAAACTTCACAAATATTTGACTGAAGAAATAGATGGGCTGACCAAAAAAATCGACACGGAATTGAGCGATGTCGTGAACAAACGTGAACTCGACGATGCTATTGATGATATTCGTAATCTTTGTGATGCGATCGAAAAGAAAGCTGTTGGTGTCGCTGCGCAAGAATGCGATGAGAAACTTGGGGTATGGGCGATGGACATGGAAGATAAGATGTCACAGGATCTGTACCGTATAATTGAAGATCGGATGCAGGACTTGAGTGCTAGTCTTTTGAAACAACTCGGCAATAGCGTGGACCAAAAACTGCGTGGTCTTGGAGAGGCCCTAAAAGAGGAAAACGCCAGTGATACACTATCCAAACCCTCTGATAGTGCAGGCGCAGAAACTACTGCTGCTGAGGTAGATACTGTAATAAAAGGCTTGAAATCCGCTATTAAAACACACGTAGAAAACGCCGTGTTACAACGGATATCAGCCTTTTCTACGGCCAAATCTTCCACACCAAGTGACACTCGCCAAGGTGAAGTGGATAACGATACTTTAGAAAGCTCAGAAGTTTCGGGGGGCTGGGACTCCGTTGTCAAAAGGTTCACCGATATTATGGAGCAGTGTGACAAACAGCTAGGCGAGGCAACTGAGGTAACAAGTAGACTACAAGAACTTAATGAACAAGCTATGGCTATCGTTGAACAGATGCGGAAATATATTGGCTTAGCTAACGATCACCTGGAGGAACTACCTAAGAGTACTGAAGAGACTTCTGAAATCATAAAGGATTTATATGGTACCATTGGTGGATGCTCCAGTATGGTTTCCGATACTGTTCAAAGCGTATCAGGCGACGCTGTCTGGAATAGGCGATCGCAAACGCATTCAAGTTCCAGTGGGCCAACAGCGAGTTATGTAGCGCAAAACATTGTCAACGTTAAACGTGAAACAATTACAGGAACTATAATTAACAAACCCCAGATTGAGAAGGAGAAGACAAACATATTTTCTGGCATTTTATGCGGATTCTCAGTGCCACATATACGCAAGGAGGGGACTGATAATCGTTCTGCCACAGAACCCATGGAGCTGCGGAACTGCACTGCAAACAGGAAAACGCCTTATTTGGAGTGCGAGAGGTCATTCACTGAACCTTCTAATAATGTAGAAGTCAAGTACGTAAACATGAACGGACAGGTTATAAAGGTTACGCAAGAGCACTTCAACCTTAACCAACTTAGCGGTAGGCCACCGATTATTACGCGGACCGACAATAGGACGGGAAATTCAACACATCGCAGCACAAATTTTTATTATTGAACACTCACCTTGAATTAAAATACTAATATTACACCGTCATAACTACTGCAATGCTTTTAATATAGGAAACTAGTCGTTCAAACATCTAGCCTACGTCAGCCCATTAGATGCGTTGTTCTGTAGTATGTTGAGGGATAGTATCGGTGCCATATTAGAGCGGCGGGTAAGATTCTCATCTGAGATGGCATTGGTCCAACGTTTTAAATCTGATTTCCCGAAGTGGGTAGTTTGCTACCTTGCCGACCTGTTCGAGTGTCGATAAAGCATTGCTAATATAATGTATATTGTACTGTTAAACCTCTGATATCGCTGATTCCAAAGGAAGGGACAATTGGAGGGTCGCGGTCAGTGCGTTGCAGCTGGAAATCCAAACTACAAACAACAGAGTGGAAGGGCAACGAAACACGAACAAATTACATAGAGAACATCAAACCATAGTATTTATAGATTGATAACAGAAACAGTGTTGAGATTTCGCAAATTTAGTGTCTATTCACTACATGCGGCGATATGCCTGCACACATTTGGATATCACTAGTTATCGTGACAATTTAACACACAAAACACCGCATTATATCTTCTAAAGCCCAGATGACAAAATGCAACGTCATTTCTAATGATTTTAGAGGGAAATCTACCCTTCACTCACACTTCTACCAGGGGATGCAGCACAATCATTTGTGTGCAACGCGATATTCCCCAGGATCATATATGTTGTTCACACACACGATCATACGTATTTTTGTATTTCAAAAACTTGGACATTATTCAAAATGATGGTCACTAGATTTGTTCCATTGGCACTATGCTACATTCTCTTCAACATTGTTCTCGCTGACGAAACAGAGACGGATCCTAGTTCCACCGGTGTGAGTCACACCCATAGACATACCGGCGGTCAAGGTTCTGAGGCTTTAACCGGGTCACTGCATCGTGTCACAGCCACAGCAGGAAGCGCGCACGGTACGGGACAAGGTAGTAACACCGCACCACATGACGCACAACTTGGCCGTAGAACCGATGAAGAACAACAAGAGGTATCTCACCAGGTAGGTCAAGAAGAAGGATCCGATGAGGAATATCATGAGGGCTGCCCAAAAGAGAATTGTGAATACGAAAAAGAAAGGAAACCTACCACTGACGAAGTCAGTGAAGTGAATGGTACGAGGGTTGTTGCCAAAGGAAACGAGCAAGAAAGTACTGATGTTACCAAAGGAACAGATGCAAAGGTTGAAGATGGTGCTGCGGGTAGCTCGACGGCTGAGAACCAGGATTCCTCAGAAGTAGTGAATGGTGACTCAGCGGCTGCTGATGGCGCTGTGGGTGGTACGAGGGCTCAGCCACAGGCTTCCCTAGTCGTCGAAGAAGGAACAGAGACTGTTAGAGATGCCCCCGCTGGCTCCGATGCTCCTGGGGTTGTCACCGAAGTTGAGTCGGGAGAGCAGGTTGCCGGTGCAGTCACAACCTCACAGACAAACACTCTCGACCAGCATACCGACAGTGACCCTGCTTCTCCGCAGCCGCCACGTAGTTTGACCGAGGAAACTGTTAAGACCCAGGGCTCCCCTGATGCACGTGAAATCTCAGTAAAGAACCCTGAAACTGGTGAATCCGAGGCTTCAACCGATGAAAGCCAAGCCCATGGTAATTTGAGCGGCTCTCAGGAACCCGCAGCGACCCAGCAGTCTACTTCTGATGCCACTTTCAATGGATTAGCACTCGCTCTTGTCTCCTTCCTCCTATTCTCTGGTTTCTAGATGTTTGCATCCTACTTCCACGCAATGCTAATTGTAAATGTCAATTTGTTTTCCAAGGATTATTTTGTGCTCCAAACCCTCACCTTATTTTGGAGCAATCCTAGATGTGTTTTAATGTTTACTCATTTGTCCTTTTAACACAATTTGTTTCACCAAAAAAACCTTTGTTAATTTTTATTACGAGTCGTGTCCAAAAATCTTTGGCCAAATTGTGTCTTGTCTTTTTGCCATATTGTTTTCGTGAGAGTCTTTGCCATGATTAGTTGTTTTGATTTAGTTATCTGTTTGCTCGCAACATTTTTGTATCTCTTGAACTCTGCAAAACACGTACTGAGCAGGTTTCAGATAGATTTACAAAAGTAACCTTAAGTACTATTAGGTGCTCCAATAGTAGATTGGCGCCCCGTTTTATGTTTCACTCGACATATCGCTTGTTAGACTGTGTTTCAGGTGACAGATCAGCAGTGATATTTAGCTACACATATGGGCTTATAAATGTAATATCGGTTAGTTTTTGCGTTTTGCAGCGAACACGAACAGCAATATTGTCGCAACAGTCATGAATATAATGAGAACAATGAGGATTTGAATGAATCTCTCACGAAGTACCCCTTTGGCAATTTGCTTCAATGTCGCGTTTGCGCTTACAACATTTTCATCTACGGCATGTATCGTAACACCGACACGTTTGAAGCTTTCAGCTTGCCGTTCAATGTCTTGAGTGACTTCGGCACCTATTTTTTCTGAGGTGATGGTTAGTGTCCTAATCCGATTGATTGCACCCTGCAAGAGAATTTGCATTCCCCTTCGTCGAACCATACCTGTGTTTTATCCTGAATATCGTCCCCCCATGCGATAAGTTTCTCGGTGTGACTGAGATCCCCTGCATCTTTGAGTTTCTCAAAGTGCTTCTGTTCGTTTTGTTCTACTATAGTTCGGAGCTCCTCAAGTTTGCCCTTAAGTTCGCTTAATTTCTCTTGCTTTTCGCGCAATCTTGTTAAATGTGTTTGCCTACTTTGCACTTTCAGCTTTTCTATCTCATTGAGATAGTTGATCTCAGCAACCTTGGCTCTCTCAGTTAGCAGCAGAGCCTCACCAAAGCGATCACTTTGTTGTTGCTCATCGAGGAGTTCAAACTTGTGCAGCGATGTACGGAGCTGAAGCAAAAGCCTATCGAGTTCATCCTCGCATTGATACAGTGCCATTGTTGTTAAATGTGAGAATCATCGTGGTCTAATACACTAGACATCACTTACACACTTGTAACCTTTGGGTTGTCTAGATGTGTTGCGACTTCCTGTTGATCCCTTGATCTGCTGCCTATATATATATGAGTACTTTGGCGCGATATGACACTATTTTAAATGGGTCATAGTACAAGGAATTCGCTCAGCAGATAGGTGTGGGTGTCCACACAATCACACGTATAGAGCTATTAGTGGCAGTTTATACCAGTATTTTAAACTTTTAATCATTTAGACAGAGCCATTTCGCTGGATGTTCACCCCCAGACGTATGGACGCAAGTACAGGGGTGATTCTGTGTAGATCTGTGTACCGTATATCGGTATGCCGATCGATTATTCTAGATGGGACAACCTAGAGTTGTCAGACTCAGATGATGATAGAAAGCCAAAAGTTATAAAACTTGATCCCTCACAACGCGTCGAATTGGGACGCGACGGATACAATATAATATCCAGTGGTACTAACGCCACTAACCCCCGCGACTTCGCGGCTCTATCGATATTTTGGAAAAAGCACGTCGAAAATGGCGGCGTAGTTGGACGGTCTCATGTATTTTCTCAGAATCGCTACGAAATATGCGTTCTTATCGCTGTAAGTGCTGAAGATAAACATCGATTTGAGGTTGCCGTGACCGAATCCACATTGAGAATCCTCCGATCAGGAATTGAAATACTCAATAAGGACTTCTACACAAAGGTTAAAGATGATGACGAATTTATGAATTGGAAGATTGTGAGACAGGAGATTGACTGGAAAGCACTGGAATCTTACTGTCGTACATCCGGACCTGAGGGCCACGATGCCAACATTTCATTCACAGAATTCTACGAACAAACATTTATCGAATTAGAGCTTACAAAACATAGTATAATCGAAGATTGCGTCATCTGGTGGCCGAAAGTTTTTAAGGTAAGCTTGAAAGCTCTAACCTCTTTCATGAACCTTTCGGATTTCATGTGTGATATGTAATACGTGCAAATCTACAAACATCTAAAATTGTCTGTTGGAACGATCTAAATTGGTTCTTTTCGCCGAGATTTTATGCTGTATAAACACACGTGATATTACGAGAACCTAACACTCCTTCAGGACGATGTGGAATCCGTATGCTTCAAAAGTCGAGGTGGAAGCGCGTTTATGCAATCGTGGACTCAGGCACATGAAGCATTTAGAGATCGTGTGAAAAACTTCGAAAAGGTTAATCTATAACATTAGCAGCTTGTTGAGTACATTCCACTTATTGCTTTCTTCCGTGCACAAAACAACCCTTTCCAGCATCGCCAGCTGTTTCACCTCCTGAGTTAGTGAAACCAGAGAGTCATAACCACAATCATCTGCAATGTCCAGTGGTATGAGCAGTGATTTACGTTGTTTAAGTACTAGTTCATTACCGACACCTATAAGGTTCCCGTATGATACCAGATTGATGTGAGGGATGTAGTTTATTATTCTCAGAATTTTGAACTGGCGTTCAGATCCTTCACTACCCGCCTCTTGGTGATTGTTCTCGTCCTTCAGAAGTGGATCGTACTTTGCGATGCGCGCCAAGACCAGTTGTCGACTTAGCGTGCCTTTGTCGTAGAAGTGTACGCAGTCGCACTTAATGGTAGTCCAATCTGCACATTGTCAATAAATAGATTACATTGGTTATGCATGGCATGTAACACCGATTGTCGCATACGTCATGCTCCGCGATGACGAGATTTCAGAGAAAAACACGCACTGCCGTACTTCACGAGATAGACATTATGTAACAGTGCTCGTCTAGCAAGCTTCCACCACTCGCTGTATCACAGAAGTGTTGTATTTCACTCACCTCCAACATGTAATGCGATATGTTTATGATCTTTGTTGTGGGCTGTGATCTTGAGCCCATCGACGATGTTTTTCCGAGTCGTTGGTTTCAAATTACTTATGTTCCCTAAAGAATTGATTAGCCCCTTGAATGTCGATGTTGTATAGAACTTCATTCTCATGAATTAGAGGCAAATGTCGGTTAAGGGGCAGCATCGCAGGCATCACTCCTCAATGGTTAGATCCGTCATTTGGCACGAATTCCCATGTACAACATCAAAATTCCGATTTTAGGCGGATGGTGTAGACATCAGTTGCGTCAATTCGGTGTTTGGCGACGTTTGTTTCCAGTGTGTGAGTTGTCATCTGAGGTCTCCAATGTCTTGCGAGATGCAAGTCGCATAGCCCGTGAAGCGGGCTCTGGTTCCGTAGAAAGTGAGTTTTTGGTGAAATCATTGCTTCAAAGTGGCTCTTTGAATGGGAAAGGGTTTCGCGGCATTCGTTTGCCCCTGGATTATCTTGGCCGGGAATTAGATGCATTCATACAAAAACAATCTTATGCTACTGGAGAAGAGCAGGTAGCGAGCAACAGCGCATCTGCGTTACTGTATGCCCAATCTTTGGCACTGTCACGACGTAGACCTGTAGGCACCAATGAGTTGTCCGAGGGGTTGTTAAAGTACGATGGCTTCCTCAGGACATTGCGAAAAATCCCGGATGAAACAGCACCTTCTACCGTGCACCCGAATGTTAATGACTGCTTACTGGATCTCACAGCGAAGGCAAGGTCTCACATAAACACACCGTTCGTTGGTCGCGAGCGAGAGCTTGCACGTCTGAAAGGGTCGCTGAATCGCATGCGAAAAAACAATGTTTTACTGGTTGGCGACGCTGGTGTTGGCAAAACGGCCCTAGTTGAACGTTTTGCTAGTGATATGCTAACAGAAAACGAAAGTGTAACAGTTTTAAGCCTGGATTTGTGCAGGCTATACTCTGGTCATGGAGCACGTGGTGAATTGGAGGCCAAACTCAGGTCAATATTCGACACCATCAGCAATGGGAATACTGTTCTATTCATCGACGAAATTCACCATCTAATCCAGAACCAAGAAAGTGGTGTCAATGTGACTAATCTTTTCAAGCCGCTTATGACCTCAGATAGCGTAAAGATTATCGGATCCACAACGACAAAGGAATATCACCAATACTTTCGACGAGACCGTGCATTTGAGCGTCGCTTTGAGGTATTGCGAATACGTGAAAATAATGCAGAGGAGAGTCTAGCGATTTTGCATGGTATTAGGCCGGCTTTGGAGAAACATCATCAAGTGAAGATCGATAATGAAGCCTTATTGGCCTCTGTAGAATTGTCAATGCGGTTCATACCGAAACGTCATCTGCCGGACAAGGCCATCGATTTACTAGACGAGGCATCAATATTGGCCAAACGTCGATGTTCTATATCCAGTCAACTGGACAAAGTACTTCGTCGTAAGAATCGCCTCATAGCCACCCTCATACGCAATGAAAGACATGATGACGTATTAACCGAAGATATTTTGCAACTTGAAAAGGAGGAAGCAAAACTACGGACACTTCGTGACGCCCAGCGTGAGCTCCATGTAAGGCTGGGGGCGCTACAGCAGCAACAACATGACCATGAAAAAAATGGAGATTTGGTAGAGGCTTCAGAACTTAAAAACCGAGTTATTCCAGAAGTGCTAAGATCTATATCGCAGCTGAGATCCGTACCAGGTAATGTGCTGGATGATACCAGCAGCGATGCAAGTAACTTGGTGGAACCTAAGGAATCAAAACTTAATTTGGACACATCAAACCCCGTTCATGTAACCAAGTTCCTAGTTGCAAACGTTGTGTCACAACACACCGGAATACCGGAGGCTGTTCTCATGCAATCACGCATTGGCGACTACAAAAGTGCTCTCGAAACGTTGAAATCAATCGTATTATCTCAAGAAGACGCCATAAACAGGACATTACTGCACGTATATAAGCATACCTTCGGATTTGTATCCAGAAAAAGGATAGGCGCTGCGTTGTGTTATGTAGGACCACATGGTGTTGGCAAACGCACGCTTTTGCGTAATATATCATTAATGTTTGGTATGCGTTTGAAACATATCGCTGGCAGCCACCTTGTATCATCAAATGCAACCAACATCCTAGTCGGTTCTCCTCCCGGTTATGTAGGTCACCGAGAAGGAGGCATGCTGTGCGAGTGGATCAAGGAGCACCCTTACAGCGTCGTTGTTTTCGAGGGCGCACACCTGATGCATGCTAACGTGGTACATCTTTTGGTGGGAGCTATTGATAATGGTTTTTTGGTAGATTGCCAAGGCGAAGAGTGCGATATTAGCCAATGCTTTTTTGTTTTCACGTCTGGCGACGAGAAACTTCTGCATCAAGACATTAGGGACAACGTAGATGATATAATACCGTTCAACGCACTGAGTAACGAGACCGTTGAGGCAATAATTCGAGCTCACTTGGCCGAGGTACCATTAATCAAGTTACGTGCCACCGCAGCAGCCGTTGAACATTTGCGCTTTATGATCGATGAAAACATGACCATACCTCGTGTGATAGACCGCATAGTTGGGACAGCTATCTGCCGTTTGGTTCTTAGCGGGGCGGTATCGGAAGGATCTGCCGGGGAGCTTCGTTTGCGATGCGAGGTTGGCCGACCTACAGTACGTCCATTGCACATCACAGACGTACTTCTACTTGTGTTGGACAATGATATATGTACTAACAATTAAGTTTAGGGTCAATCTTCATTAATGCCTCCTGGCGAACTTTGCCCATAATCCGCTGTACTGGGAACGCCTGTGATTGCAGTAGTCCATCAATACGTCCACCCTATTGACATATGGATACCATTGGCCAATCCAATGTTTACAGTTTTGTTCATCTAACCTACCATTCGTGTCTCCTAGGGTTGGCAAACACAGACCACACCGCGACGGAGAAGAGCATATAGCCTCCAGCCACCACTGCAGCACCTAACACATAGTTATAAAAGGGTCTATCTGTTTTTAACGCATTTTGCAACGACAAACATGAAGCTATAACCCACTTTTGATCTGATCTTTCGTCAACGTTCTTTTCTGGCCGTTATGATGCGCCATTCTCTTTATGAATATTATTAGAATATTTCAGTACAAAAATCACAGTTTTCCTGCGCCGCCAACCTCGCTGTGTCGCCACGCTCTAGATACTACACGCGCTCCCCCGGTCATCATTATGCCTCAAGCGGAGTCCAAAAAAGAACAATAAAAATTCGCAACATTATAATTAAACAACTATCAGGAATAGGTGTAGCAGGTGGGAGCAATCTGTTTGTGTTGTCGGCTTTGGCCGTCCCACTAGTTACCTTAATATATCACTGCAAATGAGACATTGAAAACACTGATTTTAAATATATAACTGCATTTAACGGATGTCCGACGGTAAAACCTTTTTTTGTGTTGAAGCTGCTATAGCTACGTATCTTTTGCACGGGCTTCTTGCTACTTTACATTCCCGTATAACTCATTGTCTAAAAGTCGAGGTCGAAATCGTCCCCTGAGGAAGTAGTTGCCTTAGGCCTCCTGGAGGCAGTGCCTTTGGTTTCCTCGGCTTCGAGATCGGACAGATCATCGCTGTCAGATCTGGCGGATTTTACCTTGCTGGAAGACTTGTTGGTCAAGCTGCTCCAGGTGCCCTGGACCTTTTCGATGATTGCGTCACATTCATCCTTAGTGAGGCTGCTGCAAACGAATTTCTCGATGTTGTAGCCAGCTGGTATGGCCAACTTGGCGTGCTTGAAGAGTGACAGCCACATGTTGAAGTAGATGGGAGCGAGGGCAACACGTAGGTTGGGGGGAAGCTTGGTCATGGCTTTCTCGTTCAATTTCTCGAGGGCAGGCAAGGCGTGCTTCAATCCCGATTTTAGCAATGTCTTGGTGTAGTTCGCAAGGAGGTCTTTCAAAACATCCTTGGCAACACCCTTGCTCTTGTCCCATGTCTTCTTGGCCATTTGCTTAAGCTGCTCCAGGAACTTAGTACTCTTCGATTTCTCCTTGTCATCACGGGCCATGGTCTGGACGAATGAGATGAGGTGGTTCATGTGCTCTGGGTTCTCAAAGCTCACACCCTGTTGCTCGAGAAGGCTCAACATTTCAGAGACAACCGAGTCGATGATCTCGTCGTTTACTTCACCCATGTCAGTAAAGGAAGCGGCTCTCAAAGCAGCATCCATGCCATCAGCTGTATAATAATGTAAAAAGTAACCAAAAGGCGCAGCACTCCCAACATAACATCGCAAACAACAAGAGAAAAGGTATTATTCTACTTCCTATGTGGCTTAACAGCGAATAACTCAACCTTCCGTTACAATCATCCAACCCTTACGGGATGTAGCAATAAAGATGCTCTTGTCGTGTGTAACGTTGGTCATTATTCGCCATGTGCAGTCAACAAAACACACTGGTAGGAGCTAGGATATACACCCATTCCTCGGTGAGAGTTGTAGGTGCACGTTGAAACACATTCACAAAATTAAATTATCTAGGTGACCTACCATTCGCTTTACCAGAAGAGGGTGACAAGTGCTTGTGATGGCTGACGTGAATGCGAGCCATGGCGACCTGGAAGAATTGCGCAAGCGCAAGAAGGCTGGCGATAACGGCACCGTTGAACTTCATTTTGAAGAATAGTCTGAGTATATACGATTGTGTTTAATAAATAGGTACACAGACTTGATGTGTGCTAAAAGATGAATGGTGCTGATCTATTTCGCACTTCCGGTGCTGATGTCGTTAGCACCTATGTGCATTGGGTATGGGCGTGCACCTGGAAACAACGTCGCAGCGAGGAGGTGGTAGCGATACTAGATGCTGCACGAAACAATCCAGCTTATAATTGTTAATATGTGCACAATACACGTGATTACGTTGGATTAATGTTTAGTGTGTATAGGTGGCTATCCTTCTAGGCCGCTCAGGGTGCACAAACTTTACCTCTGTAGCGCACATAGTTATATCAGCGCCATTCCAGGTCATTAAATCTGTTAGATTCCATTATTAGTTGTTGAGTGTGTACAATAATGATTCATGATCGGAGCCATATGTAGCCGTAACTCCAGGAGATAACTATCTAAGATCAGTGCATCTTCACGCTTCTACGAATATATTTGTGCTTACATCTAGCAACGTTAATTCCGCATCAACAGTTCCAAATATTCATGTGAACGTTTATTCTATCGCCAGAAAGTCAAAATTCACGGTTACACATAGATGACTTGATTGGTCCTTATATTAACTCATTACGTTGTCTTATTATGTGCCTTTTTGATGTGCAAAAGGTGTATTCATTTTTATACTTAAAATGCGTCTGTTATTTGTATATGGCGTATTGATGTGTTCCCTCACCTAGTGTTACATCCATTCATAAGGTCATGCATATAGATGGTGTCACTCGGCAGCTTTTTATTACGACCTTACGATGATTACTTTACACATTCCGAGAGATGTATGATCTTTTCATTGTCACAATCTACGAAATGTTTGTACTGCACTGTGCTATGTGCACATGATACAAGGACGTAATACCACAAATGGAAAACCAAAAAAATAAAGTGTAACTGCTTCCTGTAAGATAATATTAGCTTACCATCTTGTTATTAAGGGAGAGAGCGCCCTGGTATATTCCGATGCATCTGTATAACTCTCTGTCTGCTGGGCACATCGCTGACGACATGTCGAAGCTACTTTTGGCAAACAAACGGCTAAAAGTGGCCGTATGTAGCCACCGTATAACACAGAATAGCAAGAGCATTTATTCAATAATGTGATGTTCTGTTCGGTACAATTTTGTATAAGTGAATTAATCTGTGAGCACCTAGAAATCTAGTACGTCCATATCACCGTTGCCGCTCTTTTCATTGTATTCGTCATCGTCGTCTTCGTCCTCGTCACCCTTTTCTATATGGGCACCTCTTAACTGCATTTGTTCTTCAGCCCTAGCATTCTGCGCGTTCTTGCTTTGAATTCGCTGGATGACACCGTCACACTGCTCTTTGGTCATGGCCTTACATATGAACCTTTCGACATTGAAGCCTGGTGGCATTTCAACCTTGAATTTTTGGAATAGCTGTGTCCACAGGTTGTAGGCCATTGGAGCATATGTAATTCTCAAATTAATAGGGATACTTTGCATCGCATTTTCGTAAGCATTTTCAAATAATGGAAGCCCTTTTTGCAAAAACGTAGTGAGAAGCATCCTTACGGCTTCTTTTATAGCACCCTTAGCGTGCTTTTGCGCAAATTCTCTGCCTGTTTTAAGTAAAGTCGAACCACCTTGCTTCAAGAGATCTAAAAAGCGGCTTGATTTGCTCTGAGTTGCGATATCACCAGCGGCCAATGCTTCAAGGAACGATGCCAAGTTTTGTACATCCCTAGTGTCATTGAAATCGAAACCATCACGCTCCAGGAAGTTGACGAAACTTGTGGCGATCTCATGGGCGTCTCCTTCAATCTTAGACCTGTCATGGAGGTTTCCATATCCTAAGATGTTATGATCCCGTGTGTCACCTGCAAATATTGTATCCCAGCAATCAAGTCAATATAATCGTAACATTTACATAAAAACCTGGGGTGGCCACAATCATATATGACCAACGTGGCATAAATGTATTTCAATGAAACGGGAATCATGAAATGATACAGCATATGAAAATCTTACCATTCAAGTATCCTTTATGCGCTTTGACGTGTTGTACACGGGTCGCTACTGATGCACATTTTACATAGTTCAGGCTTACAAGGAAGAATGTGGTGACAAGTGCCTTTGAGAGTACCATTTTGAACAAAAATAGTTGGAAAACGAATATAAATGATAATGACTTTATAATCAGAGTTTTTGTTGTATGGTATACCTTGTAAGGCGTGACACTAAGCTGAATCTGATTTGACACTGCGCTTTGTTCAGACACAAGGGCACATATGCCATTCGGCGTTCTCTGATATTTTACCACCAGTGGTATCCACTGACAGCTGTACTACGAACTATTTGTAACGGCTCAGAGGTTATCGCATGTACTATATATCTCGGCAGCGTAAAATTCTCATGTTTACGGAAGACCATGAGGACGTTGCGGACACAAAGACACAAGAACGGGAACCTACACACAGTACCACAATCAGTTACACATCAATCAACTATGAGATAGGCCTTCAAAGGGTATCTAGATTGTGACTCTTAAAGTCTCCTTCACACTCCTTCACGCTCACCACTGCCAGACGTGAACACACATCGGGGCACATAAGCCCGGCATTCCACAGATTTGCATCGTCTTATTAGTACTATTTATTACCTGTCTTAGGTTGCTTAAGCTAGCGCACGGCGCATACTACGCGTATGCCGACTATGCGGAGATTCCTTAAGCCAACTCTATTATGGAAGGCGCTCGGCCTCTTTTACCTGTTAAATTGCGTGCGTTAGATGATACTTATGGTAATGTTAACTCAATTATAGGTCTGCATACGTTCTGCCAAGTTGAGCGACTTGACACCAAGAATCCCTAAACACGATGTAAGTCAAAACTCTCTGCTTTACTCAAGTAAACATGTATAATATACGAGTTCAACGTTACATAACTATGCACACGGGGATGGTCACTCAATTGAGCTGGTTTTGTGACGTATTGTTACTTTGTATGTTGCATCTCTCTCTAGTTGTGCTACTAGGTAAAATTACATGGTATTGATAAGAAGGCAGAGGAAAGATATACACCACATATGCGTTTAGGTAATTTTACCACGTATTCGCCGTTTGGATTCGCCAAGCTATTCCATTTCGAATTTGAAGCGTTCGGCGAAAACACTATTTTGTAGAGGTGCGGAGACTCCAATTGCCACAAGTATATGTACAACATCGATACTTGTATCTAGCACTGTTTGGTTGGGGTTGATCCCAGCTGAGTCGTTGATGTGTTTAGGTTTGCCTCGATCGTTGGCAGAGTGTTGCCTCCCGTTGACCAACGTTCTGCTGATACCCGAGTTAAACGGAGGAAGCATTTTAAACCTCGTTACGTTTTACATGCTTCTAAGGCAGACTGAAGGTGCTAAGGGAAGTGAGCATTTACTTAAACGTGTTGTAGCCAACTTGGTTAATAGCACGGTGATTGCCGGACTATTTGGGACACCTCCCGATTTCCACAAGTTTTCACGCGCAATAACTGTTACAAACGCACTGGAAAACCCAGATCAAACTGTTCAGTTTCAAGGAATAATATCGTTGAAGCAACGACACCTGCCGTTGGCACTATTGCTAGCAGACTACTTGGTCAGCTTGCGTTCGGAGCAGGCAGTGGAGGGTGTTAAAGCAACTATCGCAGGGGCAATGACGCACGTATTGTGCAACGTGCTGTAACATAAAGGGCATAAAAGCTTGCTACTCACTACCATCAGCTTCCTTGGTTTTGGATATCTGAATCCCCCTAATCAACAAGTGTCAAGGCAACCAAGTAATACACATACAATATGCATTTACTTGAAATTATGAAGGTATTGGTGCAAGTGGCACCGCCTCCTTAAAGACTTTAGACTTAGTTCAACTGAAGTTGAACAGGAAGGCATACGTGCTCTTGGCCGTCTATCAAAACATCACGATTCTCGGTTCTTCTCTGAGGAATTAACGCTAGACCGAAACCGGTTGAATAATATATTACTCGAACGACACTGGAGTCAAATTCCGCATTAGGATTCTCCTTTACGTCACCATTCACCAAGTTGCTAATAATGCTTGCTGCCTTTGCGTCACCAAACTGGTCAGCAAGGGTGCGATATAATACGCAGGCAACAAAATATGGAGACTGCACTGCCTCATCTTCTCGCGCATCAACGTGATCGCGGCGTATCACGTACCTCATTTTGTACTTGTGTGTCAATGTACCATTAAGAACACGGTTCATAATCTCCTGGCCAACATAGCAACCCTTGTTGTGCGATACGAACCCAACTTTGTGCAATAACATGTCTTGTGGCAGTATCTTTAGGCCCTTAATTTCTTTTACCAACGGTAATCCGAACCCGTTCAGGGCCAAGTGCAACCTGTACACCTCAGTAAGGTCCTGCACTCCGTCTGTGGGCCCATTGAATGTGTACCGTCTGTTCAATAAGGCGATATTTGATATATAATCTGATGACTTAGGCGCCCTATTGCCCACTGGTGTCATGTCTGCTCCAGCTGGCAGCAGGAACGATAGTCCCCTAGGGACATATCCATATACGAAGCAAGTTGGGTCCACTCTATAGTCGATTTTGGCAGCCACCTTACGTAGTAAGAATAGTTTTGAGAGATTATCTACGTTTCCTACTCCGGTTTCCACCAAGAACTTGTCCCCGTGACGACAAAGAAGTCCATCTGACAGTATCCTGCCGTCGGACCCTAAAAACAACGTTCCCAGTAGCTTGTTATTACTCTTATTAAGAACTGATATGTCACTCGTTGTAAGTCCTTGAAGAAAGGTGAAAGTGTCTTGCCCAGCGAGCGTCAGTACTGCCCTGCCGCTCAACCTACCGAGTATCATACTGTTTTAGTGTGATTAACACAAGGCAAAGGAGTGAAACATTGACATTTGAGAGGCAAATTGCTGGTTTTACGTATGTGCGATAAGTGTGTGAACACCTTCCACATTACCAGGACATAAGTTTCCTGGAGCGGAGGGAATAATTACATTACACATCACGTCTTTTGTTGTTTAAATCCCACCCATATGTCCATGGGATACATCAATGGTCGTGCATCTTTCTCCCTTTCGCAACTTTTATCTTCTTCGGCTGTTTGTTCCTCTGGCTCTCTGCTTCCGGCACATCCCGGCGTTTTTTCAACACATCAGTAGCTTTCACAACTCTAGCTGCATTCCTTTTGGAGCTGCCGCCTCCTACCAGATTAGTAGAGTTGAAAACCTTGAGAAATGGCAAATGAGGTTTGATATCTTCTAATTTGAGTTGCGGCTCCGGGTTCCCGAAAACATTCAAATTTTGTAGATTGTGAAGCTTTGTCAAAGGTTTCATGTCAACTATGCGATTGTTTCCTACGTCTAAAAGCTTTAGTGATGCCATACAATCGATGTTCTGCGGCAGAGCGAGTATTCGGTTCGAATTAAGTCGGAGCTCTTGCAAGGTCGGAACTTTGTCCGTCAGCGGAAACTCCCTTATCATATTGTGACTGAGTGTGATTTTCCTCAGTTTCCACATTGTTTTCAATGGCAGCTTTACAGTATCAATGTCGTTATGACTAAGGATTATAGTTTCCAGATTCTCAAGTTTGCTGAGATTGCACATAACCTTGATCTTGTTGTTGTTGAGGATGAGGACCTTAAGGTTGCTCAGGCATGTAACAGGTGTCATATCACTGATTTCGTTGTTAGCGAGGTTGAGCAACGTAAGATTGGTAAAGTTTGCCATATTAGGCAACTTTTGAATACGGTTTCTAGATAGGTCTAGCACCGTGAGGTTGTAGTTTTGCGTTAAAAAATCAAACTCTTTCAACTTGTTCCCGGCCAGTGACAAACTTTGTAGTGATTTCATGGAGTAGAGGTCATCTGATGAGGATATTCCGGCATTTTGCAACGTCAGCTTCGCGGCAGAGGTTACGTCACCATTCTCCACAATGCCAGAAATTTTGGCGAGAGTCAAGTGCGTCTCCTCTTGCTCTTCTCCGATATTGGTTTTACCCATTTGTATGACGATTCATAGTCAGTAAGTGCCCTTTGACTAGCAGTGTGTGTTAGCTCCACCTGAGCGCCGTTTCACATGGATTCCTCCGAAACAGTGAAACCTATAATACACAGTCACTACACATGTAAAGTTTAAATGTGTTTCAATCTGGCATTCCAATTTATTTGGCGGTTCTGCGACTTTTTTACAATGAGAGGCGTAACTGAGCACATTGCCAGCTAAATTTGACATCGATTCACCCAATTTAGGAACATAAGAGAATATATATTGCGGTAAAAATAACTATTGTAAGAGATGTGTCGATAAATAATAACACAACTCGTAGAATGGAGGTACAGATAACCGTTCGATATAAGCTAACAAAGAGCACTTTGTCATCAACGTGACAATACCATATGTTTACACCAACGCTTGACACGGTTTAGCATAATAGACATTAAATACATTAAACATTACAAATGTTTTACCTGCCATCACAGATGACGTTTAGAACAATGGCACAGCCATTAGTTAAATGTTGTGTAAGAGAAGTTATCATCAGCCTTCAACATCTCGTCTGACACAGCTACACCACCCTGAATGGTATTGTCGCTTGTTGGTCGCCTATTCTTCATTGCCAACAATCCCTTAGACTCTATCTCCTTGCGATGCTCACGGCGCTTGTTGAACCACGTGGTCAGCTTCTTGGCAATCGACAACGAAGATATCTTACTCCACATCCGCTTGAATGCCACGGACATAGCAATATCCAACCGGTGTAATACCTTGAAGTGGTGCTTCAGAATATTCCACGAAGCATAAGCTGCCATGGGCAAGAAAAAGTACGGTCCGATGAGCCCCAATACCGTGACAGCCAGCGTATCCTGTACACCTATAGCCACAGCCGTTTTCATGATAGCTTGCGCGGGTTGAAGGACACAATGCAACGTAGGTGGCCTGATCAACATGAAGCACGATTCTACTGGCCCATTACCAACATCTGCAGCATGCCTCGTGATCTCAGCACATTGCATGATTGAATACGTAGCCATAGTACCAATAGAAAGGTAAGAGAAAATAGCCTTTGATCTTGAACGCTCACGTTCATGATCCCACCTCACTACCAGATTACCGAAGTAGGGGGCCTGGATGCGAAGCATATTCGAAGTGTATCTGAAACCCACGATACCTAACAGAGTCGAAGCCATTTTCATAACGTTCGCAAAGTAAAACGCCTTGCCATATTTAATTGCCCTGAGTTCACGTTTCATTTTCTTCGGCAACATGCTGTCGTACATGTGTAACATGGCATCACCCTTGAGGATAAACCTGACGGAGTTGACGAATTCGGGTTTTTCCATATCTTTGATCGAGTTGTTCTGGCTAAGCGTTTTTTCGAATGTTTTGATCGAAGCTGGGCTGCGCAAAGCGTTCATAGTGAAGGCCAAGAGTGCTTTCCATATGGCACCGCAGTGTTGGCCGCACATACCCTGTTGGAATTCAACTTTCCTTTCATCCGGCGACATCCTGGTATATAATGGGTTGATACCAGGTATACCCAAATTTTCCTGGGTACCCGAAGGTCGCCTGAATGCATCGTTAGACACAACTGCTACAGCATCATCGATAATATGCCCAAAGGCCTCCTGTAAATTGTATGATTCCATGGATGACATGACGTTCGAGATCTTGTTGAGCTCCTCAACTACTTCGACAATGTGTTGATAATTCAACTTAACTCCAAACCAAACTGCGTGCTCAACATTCTGCAGCGATCTGTTGAACAAAACCTTTGTCACTTTAGCAGCCCTTTGGAAAGCACGTTTCCATTTGTTGTTGTAAACAGGTGGGTTTACAACACGACCGAAAAAGATAGTGTCGTTGAGATTCTGTTCAAGGTTATCCCTACTGTCCTTAACAACCTCATAGACAAGTGAGTGTTTACCATCAAGAAGCTTGATAGAGGGTATTTCTAAAAAGTTGTTATATCCCTCCAATATAATGGAATTGAGATGTTTCTCCCATCTTAGTGACTCTGTATGTACGATGTTATGCATGTTTGCATTCTTTAAATCTTCACTGCTAAGATCCTCACCTTGTTTGACCTTCTTGTCAATGGTTTCTGTATAGCCTTCATCAGACCACTCCTTGATAACACTATCAATGCGATTCACATATCCACCATTGACGAAATGTTTTTTGGTTCTTTCTTTATCGGACAACATACCACGACCCCAAATCGGCGCGTTTTGGTTTATTTGCATATCGGCAAGCGAATGTGTGACAAATGTAATAGCGCTAATGGCCTTTCTCAACAACTCTACCGGTAGCAATTGCAGTAACGCATGTTTAGCCCTTTCTCGTCTGTATTCTTTGGCAAGACCACCCTTGAGCATCCACTTGATTCCTCGCTTGAGGCTGGCTGGGATGAACATGTTCGACGATTCAACTATATTGTACAAAAGGTTGCCACCCCTAAAACTGTTGATATCAGTCATGAATTCATATGCGGGGTTCGAAGATGTCAACATATGGTACAATACGATGTGACCCAGAGCCGAACTGCTGCTTTGTGCAACCTGCCTGAAGTAGGGAGCCAAATTTCCAGCCATTAAAGCAGATGGTGAAAAACCAAACCGCTGCTGAAGAGCCTCCAGATTTCCAACGATCCATGGCTTGATTCCCGAAGCGGACATGTATAAAAATGCCCTCTTAAGGGGATGTGGCTTTTTTGAATTGCTGGCGTTTTTCTGATCTAGCATAGATAATGCGGTATGTAAATCGACGTGTGTTCTATCTAAACCGGGCGATGCTTTCCTCTCGGTATTCCTATAATCCGACATCCATGATTTGCGTTTTCCCGCGAACATCCTATTGTCATATTTGATTGCATATTCGAATATGTTGGTATACTTTCTAGGGTCAGAAATCATTTGCATCCATGTTGCTCGTTGTTCACCATCGATGGTAACATCACTCAGGAGCTTGAAGAAATCGAATGCTTCCTGAAGTCGCGCCCATAATTCCTTACCTTCGTCTTTGGATTTACCTTCAAATAGCTTCGTAGTGTTGAGGGTGCTTGACCTGAAGTCACATCTGACGGAGATAGCAGGATCCTTTGGATTAGAACAGAGTACGGCCTGCATACGTCTACCGTTTGCAACGGGTCCTATGTGGTGTTCATATGGCACACCATGTTGGCTGAGAAGCTGACCCATGTCGTCTATGGAAGCATCAATGGATATGAGTAGAATCTCTAATAGGTTACATAGAAAGACACCGTCGGCACTGAGATCTGGGTCATCCCTTCTTCTGCGTCGCTTGTTTACAGAAACTGAACCATCAGAACCTCTTTTGTATTTTGGTCCACGTTTTGTTCCACACATGCGATCAAGCATATCCAGGTTTCCGGAGTTTACTAGTTCAAGCCATGTGTAGAATTGCCTGCCATTTGATGCAGCGAAGAAGAGATTGTATTGAGTGTATGCCAACATGTTGGTGGCGAGGTGTCCTAGCAAGAATGGATTGTTGCCACATACCCAAAACATTTCCATTCCTAAATTCATGGCTAAGGTTTTGTGCTGTGAGCCTTTTTTGTTCTCTTCGGTCTCGCCGTTTTCATAACCTAGCGCTGACGCCATGTTGGCCAAACGTTTGTAGAGATCGGTCTCACTGGCCCATTACCAACATCT